GTTTGATGATGGAATTTCAAACCTAAACCATCCTTTCTCTGTCTCTGTCTCTATGTATATATATATATAATCTCGAGCCACTGAATTATAAGCTTAATTCCAAACACACCCCTCCCTTAAAATAAGATGAAAAGAGAGTTGACACTTTTCTTTATGGGTAAAAAGAATGGCAATTATTGTATAAATATAAAAGAGATTGGCATAAAAGTCTAAGCAAGTTGGTAGTGCATGGTATAAGATATTGGAGAGAGAGAGACAGAGAGAAGGCATATGGATTCTTTTTTTTAGTTATAGTTTTTTATTTTTTTGGTATTGGGTTTATGGGTATATTTATAAAAGTAGAAAAGATGAATAATCGTTTCAGTGGTGGAGGGAGTAGTATTTGTTCTTCTAGCTAGCTTTCCAAGCGTGGGTGTTTTTGTTGGAGAATCCACAACCAAATGGCTCCATGTATGGTATCTCATACCCCACGCTTATACTTATATCTCTCTCCTCCTCCTTCCCCACCATAACTCATTTTTATAATTATATATATTTTAGATCATTCTTAATGGTCTCTCCTGAAAGGAATTACTTCTTTTCTTTCTCTCTCCTATTTTTCTGATTGGTTTTCCTTTTTATCCCCTTTTCAACTAACGTTTTTGTGCCAATAAACTAATTTCTTTTGTTGCATAAAACACGGGATTGATCTTTGATTGTATTGCGCATAATGCTAGCTTTCTCTCTTTTGTTAGTGCACATTTATAACTTCCTCTTTTTTTGGGTGCTTTTATGCTTTAATCAAAGAAAGATTGGTTTGAATCCGTCCTGGTGGTGAGATGAGATGACAAATATCTATTCTCAAGTCTTGCGTATAAAGTTATTTTAAACACCGAAAAGGATCGGATTTGCTTAATGCGAATTTTATATTCAAAAAGAAAGTGGAAAGATTAGTTTTAGCTATATGCATGCATCAGTTCATCATCCTTCAAACAAAGTTTATGGTATGGAGTGTCCACTATAACAAGTGAACATGAAGCTCAGATAGCGAAAATTATGGATTTGTGCGTTACACAGAGTTATCCATTTCATCTCCTTCTGTGGATAAGCTATATGTACACTACACTTATGAGCTTGAGCTCTGTGGTATTGGTAGCATAAAAAAGCAAGAGACTTTTAGTTAAGTGGTCAATCCACAACCAACATTCTAATGTCATTTCTCAAGGCTTTATTGCTTCAATTGAGATTAATTATGAAAAATTTTTAATAATAATTAATTAAAAGTGGCTGGAAAAAGCAAACATGTATAATGATTCGAATGTCATATTCATATTAAATATTAATATATAAAGTAATAAAATAATTTGTTTTGATATAAATAAAATTACAATTTTGAATTCAATAGAATCCTAATTAATAAACAATGATACATTGTTTAAAAATGAGTTTCTTGATTTTCAAAATTATGTAAGTTCAAGCAAGAATTAACGTCTAAAAAACATACATCTGAAAACAAAATTTTGATATCTAATAAAAATATCTAAATTTTATAAAAGATTAGGGCATTTTAAGCAAGTGATGAGTGTTTACTCATTATAAATCGAGAAAGCTCCTATTGAGGCGAGAGTGCTTTCTCTTATGGGCTTGACGCGGTACGAGTAAGACGATGCTTAATCCAATGGACTGAGTACACATGTGGTGTGACATAATAAAAAAAAAATCTAAAAAAATATATTTAAAATTTTGTTTTGATCTATAAAGAAAATATCTAAATTTTAGTGATGACTACTCAAGTCCCTTAACTTAGATAGGAGTGTTCGATCATTGTGGATGAAGAAAATTTTCATTGAAAGTGCTTTTCTCTCTTGTGGCCTCAATACATGGCGAGCAATATTAAATTTCTCCCTTACGTCCTCGTTACATGGCGAGCAATATTAGATTTAACTCGATGAATGGAAAAATATCCGGGTTATAAACAAAAAAATGGTCCAACTTTGTTCCTATTGACAAATATATATGAAAAAGATATTTTATTAATATATAAAACGTGTAGAGGAAGGAGGAATCGTTTGGTTTGGTTTGCTTTACATGTCATGAGGGGGAGTAGTTGTTTTGGTGCTACCAAAAGTGTAGACCCAATGGGATTGGAGAGTTGTAGAGTGAGTTGATTAAAGCATGGTTGTTGTTCCCTCCACTCCAAACAAGAGGGCATGAAAGTAAGTTTATTATTATTAATTAATTGTTTATTCACAAATTACATTTATAATTGGAGCATTGGATCTTCTTACCTGTTCATAAGATTTTCCTTCAGGTGATTAAAATCATGGGTTCCCCTTTTTATTATTTTCTAATTTCTAGCTTGTACCATACCCTGTCTTGGCACGGCAGTCTCTTTTGCCCTTTTTCTAAATTTTCTAGTGATCATTTTATTACTTTAAGACAATAGATAAGGAGGGAGACATGTCATGTAGTCCCTCCCTCCATTACTCTATTTCTTTTTGTTTCTTTACAAAGCATGCCCTTCTCTTTCTCTTGCTTAGTATTAACATTAATTAATTTTTGGTGTATAAAATGAAACATATGTATGTAGACAAAAATATATTACATCCATTGCTTCCTTATATGTTACAAAATAAAACGAAAACGATCTTTGATGAGAATGAGCATCGAATACAACTGTAGCTTAATTGAACCGAATTGAAATATCTTAATTTTATTCATAGAAAAATTTAGCCAAATTCAAATAATCAAAATCACAATTTTTTATCTATTTTTTTATCGATTTGGTTCAGATTGAATTGAAATTTACATTTTTTTTTTACAATAATAGATTAATTTCAGTCAGATTGGATGGAATCAAATAAGGTTTTGTTTAATTTTTCAATTAAAATTGAAATATACTCACTTTAATCTTAATTTTAAGAAGCGAATAAATGATCGTTATAATATCTATATAGAAAAATAACTTTTAAACAATTGAAAAAATTACTTGAAAACTCAAATCCTTTTTTTGCATAGTTGAATGGAGTAGAAAGCAGTCAAATAAAAGTATATTTAGTATTTAATATTTTTTAAAAATTCTTTAATTTAGAATATCCAAAATATTCTTTTAAAGTCGATTCAATTTCATATTATTTATGTAAATATCTAAGGACCTTTAGATATAGACACCTATAGGTTCTTAGATATTTACATAAATAATATGAAATTGAATCGACTTTCTAATTTGAATATTTATATTTCAAAATTGAACACAAATTTTTAATCCAATATAATAATTTATTTTTCTCTATTTTCTCATATGCGCTCATTTAGATCACTTAATAATTGAGCGTTGTCTAATTTTCAGTATCGAAGAAATTTCAAAACATTCTTTTTAAGAATTTGGTTATACATAATTTCTTTTTGCTTGAAAGGCTACTGAAAAATCAAAAAGGAAAGAGTTTGTTAAATTTGATGGATAATTAGATATAATAATTAGCCCTAATAATAGAGTGAGATCGTAAATGAATTAGAGAGTTAATTTGAAACCCCTTGGTCTTGGGTTTGGTCTAATTCATGTATATGCTATAGCTATTTTTTATGGTTTAGGCAAATCCATAGATCACATCAATGAAAAGTATTATTGTACTCTGTGGAGGGGCCAAAAGAGTCTAACGACCTTTTTACCATTCTTTCCAATTCTAAAGTTAGTCCATAGCTACCAAAACAGATATTACTGTCAGGTAGATAGTATTGAGTTTAAATATGATGCAGCCAGTGCTGATCACTAGGGTGGGCTCCCATCATCTTCCTATAATCATATGGTTTGAACGGTCAAGCTACAAATAATTGGTGTGCATGTTAAACATAGGATACCATCCCTTTCTAATAATCTTCATCTCATTTTTTTCTTTTCTTTTTTAACCCTTATTGTAAAAGTATTTTTTTGCTCTCTTTTGATTCCTCTACAAACTTTTAACTCAGTTAAAAAAAGAACACTTCAATTCAATCTATGGAAGTTAGAGAAACCATTTTTTATTAGAATTTCCTATGTTGATCTTTTCTATTTAAAGAAAGATTATATATATATATAGCATATTTGAATATCTTTTCGTTTTACATGTCACAATGTAATATTAATTTCTTTATATAGTTGATAGAATTTTTTTCTTTTGTTTTTTTTTTTTTAGTATTGAAAGAAAGAATATTCGAATTCGGATCTATTGCCGATCGTATCATTTAATATTACACTATGTCTTGATGTGCTTAGATTCGCTTCTTTTGATTGCTCATGATATACCAAATACAACTTATATGCCAGTTTTGCTTCTTTTCTTCTACACTACCAAAAAAAAAAAAAAGTTTTGTCTGAATAATATTAGAATATGAGAAATTCAATTTAAAATTTAATTTTAATAATCTCTTATCAATGTGTATATATATATTATCTAATAAAAACTTGAGTTCAAACTAATCTAAAAATTAATTTGAAACTAATATATAAATTTATTAAAATTTTAATATAAATTATTCGTTTTGATTTGATATTGATTATATTCCTCAAACAACAATAAAATAAAAAATTAAAGTAATCCCAATAAAAGAAACAAAGAAATAGAAAAAAAAAACATATAAGGAATATTTTAATAAATATGGAAAATGTAATGTTATTTTTCACTAAAAGTGTGGAAATTATAGCTGGCATGATGGAATTGGTCCCTAATAGAAGGTACAAGTTCTCCTAGTCCAACCAGATCGGATTAACTTAACTATAGTCAGGGGTTGGGTTCGAACCCAAGCAAAGCAGGCCATAAATCATAATACTACCACCCCCACACGGAGGGAGAGAGAGAGAGAGAGAGAGATGGGTTTTGTTACAGTGCATCATCATTATACACTAATACCTTGCGTGCACTCCTCACGCACGCACGTATGAAACATCGCTTTTTTCTTTTTTGTTTTCTGATTTTTATTCTCGCTTTTGATACAAGTAGCAAAGGACATTTCCGTCAATTTAGTTTCTATATAACCTTAGCTTCCGTGCACTCCCAACATTTCGACTTTGACTGTTCTCTCTCCATCTCTCTACCACTGGCACTGCCAAGCAAAAGCATTTTTTTTGCATCTGTGTTTCCTGTCGCGTGTTCTTCCGTCTGGCTATTTGATTGTTCTTGATTGAATTGGGTCTGGATTTTACTGTAAGTCCTATTTAGCTTTTTGTTGATTGTTTATGTTGATTTTTTGACTGGATCATCCTTTTTGCCAAATGGGTTTTTATTCTTTTGATTTCTTCTGGTTCTGGTCTTAAATTTCGGCTTCTTACTTTGCTTTTGATTTTTCTTTTCGGTTACAGTTTATTTATTAATTTTCTTTCTCAATCTCCTCCTCATTTTTTCATTTCTACTACTGTTTGTTCTTTGGACCTATTTTCTCATTTCTAAACTACTGGGTACGAGTATATGCTGCTAAAGATGAGATCTTTGGTTTAGTTTTTGAACGGTTAACTATTTAGATTCATTCTGCATATTAATAACTGTAAACTCTTAAGCTGGTTGTATTTTGTTTTTTGATCCATTTTGTGTTTCAGCTAACAAATCCAATGAAAACCAAATAAAATTTCTTTTCTTTAATGGAAGCCTTGAAACTCTAAGTTCACTTCTTATGTACTATATAGTATATGTCAATTCTTAGTTGCCAAAACCGCATGTTTTTGGTTGATTTCTCTAGCATTAGAAATAAGATCTACAGGATCACTCTGATGTTGAAAACCCTTTTGCAGGGTTCTTAAAGTGGTATTGGAGCAAGAAACATCTGTGGCTATCTTTTGGCTGAGAGAAACAGTATGCGGTGGTTTTTAAGTCTTTCTGTAGATGTGTATAGGAAAGTTATCTCCCTGAACCTCTACTGTAGAGTGATCCTGTAATTTCTTTTTCCCCATCAACTATACCCTCCAATTCTACTGCTTTTTTCATTCAGTCTACTTTCCATGGGATCGACTTTTTTTGTTGTTATTCCCTGTTATGTCCGCCAGATTAGCTGAAGGGGAATCAATCTTTTACAATTTCCAATTGTATCTTGCTCATTTCTCTTGATTAGCTGTATTATTCTTTTACTTTTGTTGGTCTACTCTCTCCAGCTACGTTTATTGAGCGTCCATTGTGGTTTATGTGTCTGGCTTTTTTCCTGTTGTTCAATTGGTATCGCCTAGCGTGCGGCCTGCGAGTATTTGGTTTATATTCCCCTGGAAGATTGTACTCTATTCTGTTTTCATTATATTGAAGGATTGGAAAGTAGTTATGGTGTGCCAAGCAGCAAGCCAAACAAATTTTCGGGCATTGAAACACGAAAATGGGATTGCTGGGACTGCCACCATTATAGTTAGAGTCATAGCATGCTTTCAACCTCTTCAAGATTGCCAGGTTAGTGGAAGTTGATTTTATTCCTTGAATCTGTCTTTTCTTATAGGAATTTGATATTCTTGTTGCATTGCTTAATAAATATTCTCTCTTTTTTTTATTTTTTTTATGTGTGAGATTACTTTGTATTCCCTTTTGTTGCTGATGATGTTTGAAAAGTTTATGCCCTTTTTTTTACTGATATTTTCCTTGTTTGTTGGATTTTTTGCCAGGCTGAATATTTCCGTCATTTGCTTAAACCTGTAACGTAGATTTATTTTTTGTCCTTCTGTTTTCAAGTTAAGCTGGAGTTTTTTGTTTTTCCTATTACTACTGAAAGAAACAGCAAGTAAACAACCACTTTTACTAGTGAGAAATCCTTCTGGTATGTTTCATTTTTCTGATTACGTAAAGTTTAGTTGCAGTTTCTTCTGAATTTCTTTTATAGGATGAGGTATAAAATCATTTCCCGTTGTTTTATTATAGGTTATTGTTTTGGTTGGATGGGTGAAGACTGGGTATCCTGGTTTCCTCAGCAACAATTTGATTGGCAAATGCTCAATCTGAATCACTTGGGTGCTCCATTTAACTTGGGGCAGCAGTATTCCATCCCTTCACTTGTGAACTCTGGCACTGACATGGTTTCTATAAATGGGACTTTACCTGTATATCCATACCCTGAGCAACCTCATTCGCATGTTGGTCAAGCAAATGAAAGTCATGGTTGGTTTTACCGTGTGCCTCGTTTCCAACAGGCTTTTGCACCTACTTTACATTCTGGTCTCAAAGAGAAACTCTCAACTGCCCCTTGTGACAATCATACAGAGGCCATCATGCCCAAGGTGGAGTCTGGGTGTGCTCAAAAGAGATTCCTTGTGTTTGATCAATCAGGCGATCAAACAACTTTGGTTTTTAGTTCTGGGATTGGATCTCCTGTCCAATGCTTTTCTTCTTGGGGTCCAAATCCAACTGGTCTGTATAATTTGAAGAGGGAAGATCCTGGGACTAAAGAAAATCTGAATATTCACTTAGGGTCAATTGCAGATGACCATTTTGATGAAAATAATGATACTGATTTGCACAGTGAGATGCATGAGGACACTGAAGAACTGAATGCATTACTTTACTCAGATGATGATAGCGATTCCACCAAGGATGATGAAGTGACTAGTACTGGTCACTCGCCTAGTACAATGACAACGCACTGCAGGCAAGATTGGTTTGAGGGAAGTACAGAAGAGGTTGCAAGTTCTGATGGTTCAACTAAGAAGAGAAAATTGTTTATTGAAGGTTATAGTGATGCACCGGCACTGATGGACACTGCTACTTCTAAGAAATCCATTACAAGTTTTGAGCATGAGGATGATGCTGAATCTAGGTGTGATGGTGACATGAACTGGGCTTCAGGTGAGATGGGTTATGAATCAAGCAATAAGAGGATTAGAAAAGAGAGAATAAGAGAGACTATCAGCATTTTGCAAAGCTTAATTCCGGGTGGAAAGGGGAAGGATACAACTGTGGTTCTTGATGAAGCTATTAATTACTTGAAATCCTTGAAGCTGAAAGCAAAAGCTTTAGGACTTGATGTGCTGTGTGATTAGTAAAACTTCATCGAGTAATTTTAGTACTAGTACTAGGTCTTTTCAGTTAAAATGTGAATTAGAAGTTAATATGGTGTGCAGAATAAGTCAGGTAAATATGAGCTGGGCACGGACTTGCAGGTTTGTTCACGATAGATGAATTTCTTGCAAAAGAATCACAAAAAGAGCACCATTGCAGTATCTAATCAATGATTGATTTAGAAATCAACAAGCTTTAGATATTAATATTTTTTATAGTTCCTGTAAAGAGGAAGGCAAGTGCAGCATTATATGTCCCATTAAAGGAAGAGATAGAATGATTAAGGCGTCTTAGGGCCTAGAGAAAGTAGCACTCACACTTGAGCGTGGAGAATGGTTGTGAATGAGAAGACTAGTTATTCCAGAGGGACCGCGGCAAAGAAAGATGAATGCACGCTGCTTTTGTGTTTTGGGACCCAATCTTCACTTTCTCACCCCTTTTTGTATTTTTGTCATGTATTTGTTTTTCTCGGTGGGGTTATCACTTTCTTGATGTGTAACATTGCACGAGCAAGGGCCTCCTCCATCTTTTATCTTGGCGACCTCCTGGGCCCCCCTGATTTGCTATTTCATGCATCTGCGCAGGCGCTGTTACTCTATCTGCTCTGCTTTCGGAAAGATAAGCTTGGCTTGGCTTTTTAAACGGGTAGGAGTGTTTGAAATTTGATCATGAAAGAACATTTATGTTTGTTTGCTCTCTTGTTTGCCTCAAGCTCATAGCTGTACCTTTCCTATTGTTATTTCTTTCAAGTGACTCTGGTTTTGGTTGGTTAGATGTAATTTAATTTGCTTGGTTTTACTATTGTCTTTATGCCTATGTACATATGCTGCATGCAAATATTTATTAAACGCAAACAGTGATGTGATTCCTTTCCCTCCAATAAATTGTTGCAAATGCTTTCGAGTCCCTCTAGAAATGATGGGTTTCTATAATGGGACCACAGTATTGCATTATTTGGTGAAGGAAAGAAGAAGATATATATGCTACAAGCCATGTGATTGTGGAGAGGGCCTCAGGTTTAAATCCGGTAAAAGAAATTTGCATTTAAGAGAGAGAGGCGTGTGTCCTTTTCCTTCGCTTTCAAAACAATGACCTCTTATTTTACAGCTTTTCTTCCTAATTGCATGCTTTATCAAAAACTATTGGACTTCAAAAGGACATGGTCCTTGTCAAGTAGACCTTATGGATATCAAAATTATTAATTAGAACGAGCGTGCTAATTGGGGATTTAATTTCTATATTCCAAATGATGAAAGTAACAAAAATGAGGAGCAAATGATCCCTGAGGTGAAATTGCCTGCTGTTTTCAAGCTTTTGGCTTTTCTATTGTGGGTGGATGAAGAGGAGGAAGGGGGAAGAAAGAAAGAAAGAAAGAAAGAAAGAGAATATTCTTCTGTTGTATATAAAAATAAGATTGCTTAAGTTGCTCACGCTACCAATATTCTTTGACAAAAGCTTGTTGGTATAAGAACAAAAATTGCTTTCCTTAATGTTAAGGTTTGTTCCAACTGGATAAGAAAAATATTCATTTTACAGAAAAGGATCCAAACAACTTTTTTATATTCTGACTATATTTAAACTTCAGTTGCTAAATAATTTTCCAATCCAATTTCCAGTGCTTCAGTGGTCCCTCATTACATTAACAAGTAACTTTTACTTTTCTTTTTCTTTTTCTTTTTCCTTCTTTCTAATTTTTAACTGCTAGTTTGAGTAAATTGCAAAATTATTCTTGCTCAAGACTTGGCTCCTGATTCCGCTTCTTAGATTCGGAGGCCCAAAATTTGTTATTGTATACATAGGCTCAAAATTACTCTAATAAAATCCAATTTTAGCCCAATCCATCAATGGCCTCAAATTATAAGGCAATGAGTGTAAAAAAACCACCAATGGCCCGTGTCCGCATGGATGATGGATCCCATTTCATCCACGCAAAACCCGTGTCTCCATTAAAAATGATAAGACAACCGTCGATCTTGTGATCAACGTGCTTTATCGCTACGCGAACATTGCGAACCCGAACCATCTTTTATTATTATTATTTATATTCACTGAAAAATCGAAAATAAATAATGAATTTAATAAATTATTTAAAATTCAAGTCGTATATTGAGTAGAAAGAAGAAATGTGTAGAAATTCATTCAAACGGAAAAAAAAAAAGAAATGTTTAGAAATAAGCACAGGAAGGCGGCACTGTCACTCTGCACGTATTTTAATTAATCATATTATATTATTATATTATTACTAAAATCCATGATTATAAATTAGTTAAAAGTGCCACCTGCATAGGCATTACGATCATTTTAGCGATCAATCAATCAATTTAGCAGTTTCGATCAGAAGTTGGGGTTGGGAATTTCGCTGGAAGTTCCCCATTTCCTTTCAACAAAAATGGATACTTTTGGCTTTCACGATGGCAACATCTTTAAGTTCCTGGAGAGCAGATACTTCGACGCTCGCCATGTATGTTTACCTTACGCTTCTGATTATTTCAATTTCGATTTCTTTTTTTTTTTTTTTTTTTTTTGTTTTAGATAAAGCACAGAAGGCGGCACTGTCACTCTTGCACGTATGTTTAATTATCATCATTATATATTATGATTATTACTAAAATCCATGATTATAAATTAGTTAAAAATGTGCCCCTGCATAGGGCATTACGATCATTTAAGCGATCAATTCAGATCAATTAGCAGTTTCGATCAGAAGTGTGGGGTTGGGGGAGATTTGCGCCTGGAACGTTCTCCCCATTCCTTCAACAAAAAATGGATACTTTGGCTTCACGATGGCCAACCATCTTTCAAGTATTCCTGGAGAGCAGGAATACTTCGACCGCTCGCCATGCTATGTTTACCTTACCGCTTGCTGATTATTTCAAACTTCGATTTCTTCTTTTTTTTTTTTTTTTTTTTTTTTTTTTTTTTTTGAACTGTTTATTCCATGATTATTTGAATATTTTTTTCGTGCTTGCGGTTAAGATTGCTAGGTTTTTCTGTTTCTGATTTGAAATTGGAATTTGGGATTTGTATGATCCCAGTTAATATTTGAGGTAACTTAACCAGGTGTAGCCGAGTGTAAATGAAGTTTGGTGCTTATTGTACAAGTCTCACTGAGTTTATCTGGCCATTGTACGAGTGCTAGTTGTTTAATTGAGAATTGAGAATTTCGTGTTTTCTTTTTGGTGATTTCGGTTTTTGAAGTCATATGTATGTGCAAGTTTTGAACTGAGAATGATTGGGGGTCAGGATTACTAAGAAGAATAGAATAGAGTTTTTTATTTATTAAATCAAATTTTTACCTAGGGAGGAAATGGTGTCAAGGAATAATTGGATACTGTTTCAGAAAGGTCACTTGGAGTAAAATCTTATCTTTTAAATTGGCTATTTGTAATTTAATATCTAAGATGACTTGCATTCTGCTAATAAGTCAAATGTCAAATGGTAGCACCATTGTTTGTTCCGCGGAGTGATGTTTTGCACTCTTCAGTATTTTGTTCTATGACAAGAACAAGTGCACTGCCATTGAGCCTTTTCTCAGCTTTCCTTCTTTGCCATTTCTCAGAAATTAAGCTGGGAAGAGAGAGAGAAAGGGGATGATAATTCTTTTCGGTTGTGAGTTTGCTTTTCTGATTCGTATTTCCATGGCCTCAATGAAAATTTATAGATATGTTTATTTTTCTAATTCAAGGAAGTAAGTGCTTTAACATCAATACATGGAAGTTTTTTGGATTTACGCCAGCTAAGGAAAATGCTTTATTCCTTATGTAGGATATCAATCACAGTGTACAAATGCATTCATCATTGATACGAAGACTCTCCCAGGAAAAGGAATTAGAGGTTAGTATAGATTTCAATATTTAATGTTGAGATTGTTGATACTGTGGTCTTAGTAAGTTTATTTTCATTATTATTCCCACCATGATTGCTTTTACATCTTATTGCACTGCCAAAGTATGATGTCTTCTGAAGTCGAATAGGTTTTCAGCTTCTTTTGCTGATTCATATATTATACCAATCTGTTCTATTTGTTGGTGTAGCAGTGTTGCTTTCATGAAGAGTGATCATTTAACTCATAATAGGTTGCTGATTTTTGTTGGATACATGCAAAGCTATATTCATATATAATTTGTTGCCTATTAGAAAACTTGTATTTTCAATAAGCTTGTAATCTCAAATTCCTTCTCTCTCTCTTCAACAGGGGCACCAAGGTTGTGTCAATTCTATAGCTTGGAATTCTACTGGTTCACTCTTGGTTTCTGGATCAGATGACACTCAGGTATGCTACTTCTCAAGTTTTTCTAATTCAGGCATATAAAAGGGAAAAGATCCTGGTTATGCTGAAAGTGAACTATTCTATTGTTTTTCCCCATGTTTTCAAATATAGCTATGCTGAAAGTGAACTATCCTTGTGCTTTCTTTTGGATGGTTGGTAAAACGTTATCTTTTCTGCAATTTTCATCAATTTTTCATATTATCTGCACAAGGAGAAAAAAAGGAGGGCGCAGGATTATATGTGGTTGGGTAAGTATAGATTCTGAATTTATATGGTGTAACTTTAGATTTGGTGAGGGTCAGGAAATACTGAATGGAGTGGCCTTGTGTAAAGCTTTGAACTAATACTCCCTTGCATGTGTGCATGCACACGCTACATACCGATGATTATGTGCATCTGTCTCCATTCTTGCACAGGGACAAGCAATTGCATATTGGCAATGGAATATATTATTAATTTTTCATATTTATGCAGATGAATATATGGAGCTATAATGGTCGAAAGCTTTTGCATTCTATAGATACTGGGCATTCCGCAAACATATTCTGTACAAAATTTATTCCTGAAACTTCTGATGAGCTTGTGGTCTCTGGAGCTGGAGATGCTGAAGTAATTTTCTGAAGAATTGAAATTTATAATTGGATGCTATCTGGGTACAGTTAAAGTTAAATATGTTGTTAACTTTTATCTTATTTCCTTCTGCCCAGGTTCGCTTGTTTAATTTGTCTCGCCTAAGTGGCAGGGGCCCAGATGATAGTGCTATAGCTCCCTCAGCTGTGTATCAATGTCACACTAGACGAGTAAAAAAATTAGCTGTAAGATCTTATCAGATTGATGACGATGAAAGGGGATTACATTTATTGTGTAATATGAAAACAAGAAAAAAACTTAAATTGTTTTCTATTGTTTGAAATGCTGAATAAGTAAATTTTGTGTTCTTGCTTGCTTATCATTTACTTCCATCTACATCTTGTGGCATTTTAGGTTGAAGTTGGAAACCCCAATGTGGTTTGGAGTGCCAGTGAAGATGGAACACTGAGACAGCATGACTTTCGGGAGGGTACTTCTTGTCCTCCAGCTGGATCTTCACCCCAAGAGTGTTGTAACATTCTAGTGAGTTAAAATAAATGGGGAAATTCTTCACTCTCTGTACTTTATTTTGTTTTCCTGCTGTATTAGACAGCTTTGATGATAGTATGTTTGGTGAAGCGCCTTTTGCTGACTGGCTGAGTTCCTTACTGTTACCTTAACATGTTTGGAAAGCAAGGGTGGCTATCTATGTGTGATTATCGCTTTTGATTGTATGATTTGTGTCAAATGTAATAACCATAAGAGACTCAAATTTCTGGTGCTTCATTGTGAGAAACAATAGATGCATGTAGCCTTTTTCTTTATAAAATACTCTAAAGTCTAAATGGGCATTATTATAGTGTGAAGCTTAGGTTATCACATTCAGTATGTTTTTCATTGTAGGAAAATGTGAGAAATAAAAGGTTATCGTCTAGGTTTCCTTAGATATGACATTTTAATTTCTTACAGCTTTAAATGTAGTTCAACTGGAAATACAGCTCACTGTGATATGTCCCATCACGATGTTTAGAGTTTATTTTCAATTTTATACTTATTTACTAACAGCAGCATACTAAGTACTCAATATACCAATGAAACTTGTTCCTAGATGAGTGATCGATCAATTGGCTGGAAAGCCAGGAGGCTGATATCTGAGATTCTGGATCTAGTGCACATAATTACCTGGTTATAGAGGTCTAGTTAACATTTGATAAATATGACTCAAATGTTATTATGAGATCTTGCAGATTAGCATTTATGAATTGTGTGTACAAAGTTTTATGAAGTTTGGTGAACTTGTGTTTCTTCTGCAATTCTGATTCTGAGCATCCCTTTTAAAATGTTTTACCAGTCATCTAAAATTGTTCACATATTTAGTACTTGATGACAGCTTGACTTGAGGTGTGGGGCAAAGAGGTCGCTGGCCGATCCTCCTAAACAGACCCTTGCTCTGAAATCTTGTGACATTAGTGCCAGTCGGCCTCATCTGCTCCTAGTTGGTGGGAGGTGAATCTGATAATCAAACTGGAGTTTTGTAACCTTTCTTATTGTTCTTGTTTTGGCTGAACTTTCTTTGTTTGGATGTATGCAGTGATGCCTTTGCTCGTCTATATGATAGAAGGATGCTGCCTTCTCTGACCTCCTGCCGGAAAAGGACACAACCACCTCCTTGTGTTAATTATTTCTGTCCAATGCATCTTTCTGAACGTGTAAGTGGTGAACTTCACTATTGAATTGCTATCTTATTATTTCTTTTTCTTGAAGTTGACTATCTCATTGACATTATAGATACTATTGGATGGATGTCAAAAAGAAAAAGAGGAGAGAAGGGAAAAGGACATTTTTTTTTACGATAAAATATATTGTGGGGCCAGGTTGCTAAGATGAATTGGAACTTATTCATATTTGTTCTTAAAACCCTAAATTGCTATTGGTTTGGATATTGTCTTATTCTTAATGCGTATTATTCTATGGCTGATTGTTATTATTATTTATATCATCTTCAGATTTCTTATGTAAAAATTGTAAATAATTTCTATAGTAAGATTTTAGAAATGCCAGGGTTAGTAAATTATGAAAGGAATGTAGCTTAAGTCTCTTTTCCCCCCTTCTTTCCAGGTACGGTCAGGCTTGCACTTAACTCATGTGGGTTTTAGTCCGAGTGGAGATGAGGTTCTTGTCAGTTATAGTGGAGAGCATGTATACCTCATGAATGTAAATCATGGTATGCATCTTCCCTTGTGAAGTTGGCTTTGTTGCATTCACTAGCTTTGATTTTCATGTTGTTTCTTTACTCTTAAGTTGTTAGTGTTGCTTGATCTTGTGTTGCTTTATCTATATCTAAATGATGTTGACAACCCAGAGGATCAACCACATACAATTTATTTGCATCGTGGATATTTTATTTATCTTGTGGTTCTTAATATTTATAATTTATAGTTTTTCGATTGGTTATGTAAACAAGGTAGATAAGATTATTTTATAAATTTTCTCTTCATTTGTAGCTGGAGGAAGTGCTATGCAATATACTTCAGGAGATGCTTCAAAACTAATGACCTTCACTCCTATTCTCAATGGGCTAGAATTGCAACCACCACCATCTGATGTTTTCAGAAGTGGTCTTCATTTTAAAAGCAATTTGGCTTCCATGGTACACTTATTTTATATGTTTGTTTATTTCTTCTTGTTAAATGTGCCATATTGGTATTAGTGAGAAAGTTTCTTGCTACTTTTTCTGTGTTTTTATATTTGCTAATCTAATACACTTGCTACAGCTTGATAAATGTAGGAAACTGCTTAAAATTGCTGAAAAATGCTTAGAGGATGGTGCAAATTATTACCATGGAATTGAGGCGTGCAATGAAGTTTTAGATCGGCATGGTCAAGATATTGGAGCTGCAATTAGGCATGACTGTCTCTGTACACGTGCAGCCTTGTTGCTTAAGGTTACTCAAATTTAGTTGTGGTACTTGGTTTCCATTTATCTATTGATACGTATTTCTCATAATGTACTTATTCTTCTTTCTTGCCCTTTATTTTCAGCGTAAGTGGAAAAATGATGTTCACATGGCCATAAGAGACTGCTATAATGCTCGGAAAATTGACAGCTCTTCCTTTAGAGCCCTTTATTTTATGTCTGAAGCTTTGTCACAGGTAATTTCATAGTCTGGACTATGGCCCACAATATTGTGTTGCTGAATATGCAACTACGACAAGATATTATCTACACACAATTGCATTGGTTTAACAGCATGTTGTCTCTGCTGCCACCTGATGCTAGCTATAGAACATCAAATTTATTTTGATATTTGAAGACTGAAGTGCTACAATTATTAACGTGGAATGTCCTTTTTCTTATTAATCATCTGTCTGCTTTAATTTTATGCGTGGATGATTTACTCTGGTGTGTCACTTGGCTATTAATATTCTGTTGCATTTTTTATACCTGGATGTTTATATAGATGATTTGATGTCTGTTTGGTATAGGCAAATAGAAAATAATGTGAGAAGACTTTATAAAAGGGCTAAGTTCGAAGCACATGGGATTAAATTGAACTGAGTTAATCAATTTATGTTTGGTCAGTCATTGAGATCAGTTCCTTATTGTGAGGATATTGCAGTTGGGAAAATATAAAGAAGCTCTGGACTTTGCTGTTGCTGCTCAACACGTGGCCCCATCCAATACTGAGATCGCGGAATGGGTGGAGAACATAAAAAAGAATCTTGCTGCAGGTAATATGTTTGCAATTTCTTGTGCCTTGTGTTTTGGTCCTTCCCTGCCTCCTTCCTGGTTGAACTGTAACATCTATCACTTCTGATGTTATGTCATTAGCAATGCATTGTTCATTTTGTTTTTCAGAACAAAGTTCTTTTAGCATTGGAATGATTACCTCAGTGTTTGACATCTTGAGAGTTTTAAAAGTAAAGAAGTTCATTGTGTTATGGCATTGGTTAACCTCTTGAAAAGCCAAATCATTTAAAATGAAAGGAAGTATGCTAATTTAATGTATACATGGCACTGTACTTCCCTTGTTTGGACATCTGGTCGTCAATTATAAACTAAATACAAGTTTCACATGGATCAAGGCCATTTGACGTGCATAGTTTGTGAAAAAACTAAATGTGCAATTTTCATTCTAGTTGCAATCTTGTGCCCAGCTCAGACATCATACGAAATGCAGTGATTTCAAAATATTCCCTTTAGTTTTTATATGTTCTTCTAAGTGGATATGGTTAGTTGGTTCTGGTAAACATAATAGTTTTTCTCTCCTAATAGAAAAGGATATAGTAGGAAAAATTACCTATTTAATGTGAAAGGCATAATGTAATTTTACTTCGGCCTTTAATGCGTATCTGATTTGTGTGACAAGCTGAAGCTGAAAAAACTAATAAGGCAAATGATGGCTCCCTGAAGTCTGAATTTCGAAGTGGTAGAGCACTGTCACTAAGTGACATACTTTACCGCTCAGAGGCTAACAGTGATGCATCACAAGATGGTCTAAGGTCTGAAAGAGAAGACTCTGACTATGATGAGGAATTGGAGTTGGACTTTGAAACATCAATATCAGGTGATGAAGGGCGTGATGTTGAGCCCAATACTCTTCATGGAAGTTTAAATTTGAGGATTCATCGAAGAGGTGATTCAACACGAGAAACAAGTTGTACAAATGGCTCCTGCGGATCACCTTCATCATCACAAAATGATCGGATGCCTTATCAGGTTACATTCAGATTTTACAGGGGCCTATGTTGCTGTTATATATTTTTTGTGGGAATAGAAATGCTGCTTTCATAGTCTTGGACTCAAACAACTGTTAAATTATTTCTTCTTGAAAGATTATGATTACTGTATAGTCTCTAGTCATTGTGGCTCTTGAGATGGACCTGCTGCTTAGTGGCTTATCTGCTGGTAGAGCAACTATACCATTGAGTACCTATATTCTAAGGCCTTGGAAATAACGAATGAGAGCAATTGGAGTCGAGTATTGATTAAAGGAACAGTTTAGCATATGTGAGAAGACATCACCTGTTTGTCTCCGGATCTCCCTCCCCCCCCCCCCCCCCCTAAGGCCTTGGAAATAACGGAATGAGAGCAAAATTGGAGTCGAGTATTGATTAAAGGGAACAGTTTAGCATATGTGAGAAGACTCACTGTTTGGTCTTCCGGATCTCCTCCCCCCCCCCCCCCCCCAAAAAAAAAAACCAATGGGGGTCTTTCTCCCATCTAAGTCACCCACCCACCAAGAAAAAAAAGCAGATGCACCGTTTATATATATGTATATCTGGTTCATTCCCCCCCCCAAAAAAAAAAAAAAACATGGGGGATCTTTCATCTACAGTCACCCACCCCACCAGAAAAAAAAGCAGATGCACGTTATATATATGTATATCTGGTTCATTTAAATTTTTTATTATTCTCTTTTTGGTTGATAAATTTTTTCTGTGGTTTTAAGTAAGATTATGGTTGTATTGCAGCCGGAGACAGTCATTGATATGAAGCAGAGATTTGTTGGCCACTGTAATGTTGGAACTGATATAAAACAGGCCAGTTTTCTGGGCCAGAGAGGTATTTTAGATATACAAATGATAAGCACACATGCTATGTTCACACATTCATCATCGTCTGTATGCAAGAATGTGAATGAGTTTGCAGTGTTTATTGTTAATTCAATGAAATGGTAGCCTGTTTTTATGCAAATTATATTTCTATTTGATGCAACATATATCTGCATTCATCCATTGGATTCTGGCTGACTAACTGCATGCATGACATGGTAGCAAAATGAAATCAAATAACAACCTACAGATGAGATTAAATTTCTCATTACTGATTTACAGGTGAGTATATCGGCAGTGGAAGTGATGATGGTAGATGGTTTATTTGGGAAAAGCAAACTGGTAGACTAATAAAAATGCTTCTCGGAGATGAAGCTGGTATTATTCTGTCCCATTCTAAATATATGCTACAATACGAGCTTAGTATTGGCATTCTGTAGTCTCTCTTCAGTTCTTTTGATCTATTTCTCTCTCTCTCTCTGCAGTTGTGAATTGTGTGCAGTGCCACCCATTTGATTGTGTCGTGGCTACCAGCGGGATTGATAACACAATAAAGGTAAATCGGATGAAAATAATTGTCTTTTGGTGCAGTCACTTTGTTTTCTAACTTCACTGTCTTGATTCTAGATTTGGACTCCAACTGCTTCTGTCCCCTCAATTGTAGCTGGAGGATCAGCTGGGCCAGAAACTTCCAACATTTTGGAAGCCATGGAAAGCAATCAACGTAGATTAAGCCACAATCGTGAAGTTATTCTGTAAGACACAAAAATTCCATTTTGTCCTGTGTCTATTATTGCATTTCAAGCATTTACTGAGTGAGTTCTTTAGCCACTGAAGTTGCAGAACAGCCAAAAACATGAATTTTGTGGTTGGCAATTTGCCTACATTCATTGAGCCACTTGCGTTGTTCACTTAACTAGGCCTTCATTCCAGGCTAGTTGCATTTTTCACAATGTTACAAATCCCCTACAGTTGTACAGTTTTTCCTTTCTAGGTTATAGAAATATAGGGGGAAAACCCAAAATTAAAAAAGTGAAAATAGCCACCAACTGAGAAAGAAAGAAAAGAAGAGAAAGGAGAACAAGAAAGAGGGAAAAGGAAGGGGGGGTATTGCACATACTTCTTATCCCTCCTCAAGAAGTCTGCCAGGAGCTTAAAGTGTATAATGTTTCTCTGAATATGAGCCACAAGCACAATCATCCACTTGCCCGTTCTTTCTTCCTCAACAATTTCTACATTATTTCATTAGATGATAATGTGCATACTCTGCTTTCAATCCTTTCATGCACCACTCTACTCTGCTCACCAATGCCCATCTTTGTCTTTGCTATCTGATGTTGGCAGTGTCAGTTATTTTCATTAGGGCCATTCATTGTTCATACTTTAACACTCGCACTTAAACATCCCGTCTCGGTTGCTTGTCATTTCAATGTACCTTCGATAGAGATATTTCTATTACAGGTTATCTAATTGATACTTCATCAATTTTGAGGGGCCTGTTGCCCTCCAACTTCTCTTCTCACAAAATCTAGGTTGTGGCTTTGGTAGTAAAATATTCTGTCATTTAAAAGTTTCTTTCTAATCTTATTATTCATTGTTTTTACAATTATCTATAATGTTAGTTGCAGCCCCTTTGAACTTCTGGAGCGCTTTCGGATGCATGAATTTACCGAAGGTACTTTGCACCCTCATGAGTGTGTGCAGAGCTAATCATGATGTCTTTTGTTGGAGCATGCAGTTAAGTCTCTCTCTCTCTCTCTCTCTCTCTCTCTCAAATTTCATGTTCTTGTCGTCTAGAAAAATGTGTGGGAGTTATGCAGTTAGCACTTTGTAAAATCAATGGGCTAATTGGAAGTCTGAGCATATCTTTAATTTTCTATGAATATAATAAACAGAGGTTGATATACTGCACAGAATATTGATTTTCTATGAATATAATAAACAGAGGTTGATATACTGCACAGAATATTGTAATTGACAGGAAGAAAACCCATGACGTGTTACATCCATTTTTTGACTATGTTTCAGCCTTTTTATCCCAAAATCCTTAACAGTCACTCAGTTGGCTCAAAAGTTAAATTGCAGGAAGATATTTGCACAGGATTTTTATGACTTGTAAGAGAATTCTTATTAGGCTAGGATTTAAGTTCGAAGAATAAGGTAGAGAAGCTTAGCAAATTGAAGGAAGCAAATCACCAATTAGGACTCAGAGCACAGTGCTCCCTAGTCCCTTAAGCAGTCAAGAAAATAACTCAGCTCCAGTGCTGTCTCCCTAGCACATGTTGAACCACTGTGGCCAACCTGCAGAAGGCTTTATTATTATTATTATTATTATTATTGTTATTTTCTTATTTCTTCCACATGAATCCATAGACTTCAGCACAAAGTCATTATGTTCCCAGATTGATTGATTTTTGTTGTATTATTACAGATGTTATCTGATGAAGTATAAATGGAGGATATTGTGTTTTTACGGCAAAAACTCGGGAAAGAAGATACAGGCAGCCGATTGGTATTAGTAGTAGGAAATTAGATGACCATGTAAAGCCTTTTGATGTTTTATGAAATAAGTTGAAGGATCTTATAAAGCATATTGGCGTAGTATAATGATCTTATAGAGCATCATTTACCTTTACCCTCTTTAAGTAACTTTTTTCTTTTTGTTTGTTTTTTTGAGAAATTGTGTTTGTTAATGTATTTATTGAATGTATTCCTGTATAGATGATATTTTCTTCCAATGTAGATGTTATCTTTTTAAATGGCTTTTCGACTGAATTGCTGAACTTTGTGCGGGGGTGTGAATATATTGGCTTTTTCTCAAGATGCTTAAGCATATGCCAACGATGTTCTTCGGTACGAGAATTCATACTAGACTTAAAAATATCAGTCTCATTTCATATCCGATTCCAGTAAGATGCTTTGATTATTTTATATTAATGATCGCTAAATTGTTTTTAACTCGTTTGCCTTTTGATTGGTACGGTATTGACAGGCCTTTTTAAAAGCCAGTCATATTGTTATATAACAGGGAGAAAAGAAAACAATAACGTAGTCTTACTTTTCTCAGTTGCTGGTAGCCAGATGATTGCATTAGCAAGCCAGGTAGATGGCTGATTTCTATTTTCTTCTTATCTATTATGTGAAAGGCACAACATGGCATAACATAACGTAATAAATTATTTTTTTTTTCCCCTTTTCGTGTTTTTTGTGAAGCTGGAAGGACTATACCATACTTCTATATTCTTGCTTTGCAAGTATTCAAATACTTGGAGCATGTGCATGGTCTACCTTGAGAGAGGAGAAAAATACAAGCACGTGCTCCACACGTGGAACAGCCTAAAAAACAATTTGAGGCTATCTGGATGGGGCCAGAGGAAGAATCAAATGGTAATTGTAAAAGTGTCTCAGATTTTGAGGACTTCTGTCAAACAAAGTATTATTGATAAACATAATAAAGATGCCTCCTGTTTGCTCATGTGGTTGAGTGATCTTCGATCTTGTGCATGTGGACTTAAAGCACTTGCAATGCTCAATTCGTTATGACCCATGAGATAAAATAACACCGTAGACTACAAAATAGAGAGTAGCTCTCTCCTTAATTCAGTAAATCAGTGAAAACTCTTATGATTAAGAGGACTTAAATTCGAGATCAAATCACACCTGATCGGGTATTATTACTGCTGATAGTAGTCTTTGGTTAAGAAATGAAGAGTAATTCTTTTAGGTTCATTGTTAAAACTCAAAAGCCCTTCTATGAACCCTCAAGTGAAGGAACAAGGACCAGCCTTGTACCGGTCAGTTCTGGAATCCGGTCTCAAATTCCAAAAAATAATTCAGTTCCACACATTTTAATTTGATTCACACAAATTAGGAAAATATTGTTAACATGATCATACTATAATTTTTGCTTTGTTTTTTCTTAATATACGTTCCCTATTAAATGATCTACGTTACTATTTCCATTTAAATGACTCTTGTTAAATTATTATTGAAACTAGTCAAAATATAATTAAAGAACAAAGGCAATCAAAATCATATTATTTGGTTTATTTCAAGACTTGTTGATGGAGATCCACATTATATAGGAAACTACCAATATTACAAAAGGATTACTGAAAAAGGTAAGCCTACATATAGAATTAAATGCATTCGTTAAAGGAAAAGAAAATAAATATGTTTAATAATTAGATATTTGAGAATTTAAAAAAATAATAAAAATAAGAGAAAAAATAATTGTAAAGATAAAGAATCGCATCCGTTGATAGCAAATTAACCTTACTGAATAAAGGAAATCAAATACATTTATTAACCCTTGATTTGATTAAATAATCTTTTAGAAAATATTTATTGGGTTTAGTGGAGATAACGTAAAAGTGAAAAAATTAAAACTTTTTAATCTTTTCAAAATCACATATTATTTTTGGACAAAATAATTTCTAAAAAGCAAAAATAAAAATGAATAAATTGCCCAACCCATCTTTAATTTTGCAAAAAGGAAATTAATGTATAGCATAAGAACAAAATAAAGGTGTTCACATCAAATTTCCAACTTCCAAGAAATTTCCTTTGTAGAAGAATAAGACTCTCTTTCAGCCACGCATTCTGTCCGTTTTGTTGCTCCAAGTAATTTCAGAATGGACCCCCCTCAAAATTACTCCTAAATACCTATTTTCTTTTTGTCCATCAAAAGCATTTTCATATAATATGCCAACCATTGTAAAGGACTTCCTGTTTTTTTTTTTTTTTTTTTTTTTTTTTTTTTTTTTTTTTACCTATTTTTTTCTTTTGGTCCATAAAAAGCATTTTTCATATAATATGCCAACCATTGTAAAGGACTTCCTGTTTTTTTTTTTTTTTTTTTTTTTTTTTTTTTTTTTTTTTTTTTTTTTTTTTTTTTTTTTTTTTATCAACAGATTATGTTTTTATTTATTAACTAAAACCTACCTTGAGATTTGACATTGTGGTCTTATTACTAAGCATAAAAAGATTCTTTGCCTGATGTAGATACAAGTTTCATTTCAAAATGGTTGCTTTGATGCTTCATTTTCTTCACTTTCCTTCTTAGTGCAAGGAATATGTTATAAATTTGCACTGTAAATGCTGCGATTTAAGTTTTGTTTAGCAGCAGCTTTTCATATAGTATTTACTGATTAAGCAAAACACTAGCGTTAATATTAATATTTAGAATTTAAAAGAACGCATTTTAATGAATAATTAAATAATTGACATCTATTAAAATAACTAATTTTATTGAATAAATCCTCAAACATATTTGCATAATTATGATCTTAGTACATCAGCTTTACCACTTATTATGTGATCCTTTTAATATCAATATCACATATTTTTAAAAATTATATTATAGAACTCTCCAATATAAACTCTCTTTTTTTTTTTTGACATTCAATATAAAATCTCTATTTGATGTCTACATTTTCTAAATCATTATATCATTATATATCTAATAAAATTTGATTAATTAGCTCATCTACCATTATAAGATCTACCTGTAATCAATAATTTATTTGCATATTTTCTGTAAACAGAAAGAAAAGAAAAGAAAAGAAAAGAAAGAATTAATAACGACTTAATATATATATAATAACGACTTAAATATATATATATATATATATATATATATATAATATATTATATATATATATATATATATATATATTATATATATTAACCTCAATTATGTATTCTCTTTTGCGCAAGAAAACGAAATTATTATATTACTTTTCAAACACGGGACTCCTAAAAATCATATACAATCGACACCCACACGCGTATATCTATATATATATATATATATATATATATACACACACACAACATAAACCGTGTGCAATTTATAAACACCTTTCTTTCTGCTATTTTATAAAGTTTTTGTGTCCGTGTCTTCCATTCCACCCATCTCCACCGCTCTCACTTCTCTCTCTCTCTCTCTTTCTTTAATTCTTTCCTTCTTCCTATGAAACTAAACCTGAAACCAGAAAAATGACCACGGCACCTAAACCTGCACCAACCATTAATATTGCTTCATCGCAGCCAATCAATCCTGAATGTTGTATGTGTGGAGATTTTGGCCTTTCTTATGAGCTTTTCCAGTGCAAGATTTGCCATTTCAGATCTCAGCACAGGTTCGTTTCTTTAATTTCAGGTTTTCAATTTCTTGAATCGAAATCTCTCTGATGGTAAAACAGATTGAATTTTTTTTTTTTTCCGGTTTACGCAGATACTGTAGCAATCTTTATCCGAAAGCGGAGTCTTATCAAGTCTGCAATTGGTGTTTAGGCAATGAAGGGAAAGAAAAATCGCAAAATTCTTCGAATTCATCATCGTCAAATAAGAACAGCAGCGAAGATGATAGCAGCAAGAGTATAAAAAAAGGCGTAAAGAACCAGAGAGGAAGTTTACAGTTGGAAGTAATTAATAGCCCGATCAAGAAACAAAGATCGCCGGAAAGATCGCCGGTGACGACCAGAAGAAGACTTATCACTTATGGTAAATTAGAAGAGAAGAAGCTAATTAGAAGAACAAAATCAGAAGAAATATCCAATAATAATAATAATAGTAATAGTAATGGAATCACCATTACGCAAGTATTTAGAAACAGAGTTAGAAGGTATAAGCTTCTTGATGAAGTTTCAAGCTGATAATTAATCAATCTCCATTAATTATCACTCTTTTCTTTTCTTTTCTTTTCTTTTCTGGTGGAAATTTTGGTCCGTAGAAATTGCGGTTGATGAGGATTTGGTCATTTTCCCTGTATATTTTCCAGTATATGATAATGTTCAAATCGACCAATCCAGTTCAAGAAAAAGAATCAGAATAATTATCACCATTAAAACGTTTTATAGATGGCTTCTTTTTTTTTGTAGCCAATAAAAGTAGAGTCTTTTTTTTTTTTTTTTTTCCAATAAAAGTAGAGTCTTTTTTTTTTGAGTCTTTTTTTTTTTTTTTTTCTCTTGTGATTGTGACTGCAGTTTAGGCATCAACACGTTACGCGATTCTTAAGACAGTTTTGGAACAACACTGAATCGTTTTTAGGCGATTTAGGGGAGTGTTTTAGAATTATTGATTCGGATGTGTTCCAATTTGAAATTGAAATTAAATAAATTTATTTTAAGCATTTTAAAATTGTAGTTTGCATAAATAATAATTATAAATATTATTATTAAAAAACTGAATCAATTTAATAATAAACAAATTGAAAGTTTTTTAAATATTACTATTAAAATCACTGGTTTTAGTTTCAAAAATGAATAATCGGAAATTGAACCTTAAATTTAAATTTCAATTACGGTGTTAAGTTAGAAACCATTGATCATAGTTTAATAACAGTTTTGATTTCGATTAAATTTCAATTTAAAATCGACCTGTAGTAATTATTAAGAAATTAAACATTTTGATTGTTACCTTGCAACTTTCTGTTTAAGGTATTAAAACTACTGTAACCTTTTGTTCAAGTCTCAAAACACTTATTCTCAAAAAAAAAAAAAAAAAAATTTCCTCAAAAAAAAAAAAAAAAAAAAAAATTTCAAAACACTTGTCAAAACCAAAATAGAATTAGTGGAATAAATGTATAAGAAAAAAGTAGGATTAGACGCCACAATACGACATTGAGGTCAACTTCTAACTTTTTCTTAAAATTCTATTTATGTTAGATTGTAAGTTGCACTTCACAATTCACATAAGCACATTCTGTTCACGTTACCGAACTAGAAATTTTTATTTGTGGAGGGGTCAAAAACCAAAAATAAAAGGGTTAATTGAGTAATTTCACTATATAAAAAAAATTAGAAAAAAAAAGTGTCAATTAACTCTCTTTTGGTGAATAGGTCCTCTGTTTATAAGAAATATTTAAAGATAACAAATGGAAGTATTTTTACTTCGAGTCTTTTAGTATTTGATTAATAATCAAATTTAGTAAATGAAAGATGTATCAAAATATTAATAATATAAAGATATAAATTTGAAATTTTATAAATCAGATATATACTTGATTGGAGTATAAATATTAAAATTCTCAAATTCAATCCAATTTTCTATCTCAGTTCAAATTAGACTAGATTAAAAATTAGTTCAATGTTGAATTTAAATATATTACCGCTCAAGCTCAAACAATTTAAGTTCGTTTAACTCGGCGGTTCGTACCAGCTCATAGTTGATAGCAATTAATCTGAATAACTACTATTCGTATTTGATAAAATTTTGATAGCAATTACTGTTAAAATATAAAACAACCATTAAAGGCATATTTGTTTTATATATTATGATGTATAATATATATTATAATTTAAGGTGAATTTATTGTTTTTACTTTAATTTATTATATTAATTAAAATTTTAAAATCATATTTAAGAAAAAAAATTTATTTTAAATAACTATAAATAAAACGAGCATAAATGATATTAATTTGAAAAAAAAATTATTTTTATGATATTAATAGAGTGCAAATAATACAAATATGAATTAGCTCCATCGATATAAAAAAATTCAAAATATAATTAATGAAATCAACAGTTGGTGGAGACTTCTATCAATAATCAGCTAATTGAAAAACCTACTAAATACCTACAATATGACTATTAGGTACAAATTAACAATTATCAATAACATGAATCAGTTGAATCAAACGTTATCTTAAATACACTTATATTATAAACATTTTGTTTTCTTCTTATAATCTAGTTGTTAACCTTTAAATATTTCCAAAAACGTGTGCTTCAAAGGGGTGGCTTAATTGTTATAGTTGCATTTATTTTTCTTCATTATGTGTGTGAAATGAATATAAAGGTGACAAGTAAAGACAATAAATAGTATTTTTGAGATATTTTTATTTTACTATATAGTATGAAACATCTTAGATTCCTTGGGAAAGTGGTAAAAGCTAATGTAAAAATGGTGATTTTTTCAGCCATAAGTCTTCATGTTTAAATAATTAATTCGGCTATTATTTTTTCGACTGATTCTAAAACCCATGCATCACGGAATTATATAAACGTGTCAATGTCATATATTTTCTTTTTTTTTGGTGTTTTCCATGTTAGCTTATGCTGAGGGTCGATTAGGGGTGGCCACGGTTCCGGAACCGGCGGTTCCGGTTCCAGAACCGGCGGTTCGGTTCCGGACCCGGCGGTTCCGGTTCCAGAACCGGCGGTTCCGGTTCCAAAAAAAACTGAACCGGAACCGAACGCGAAAAATTCCGGTTTCCGGTTTCCGGTTTGGAACCGGAGGTTCCCGGTTCCGGTCCGGTTGAATAAAAAACCGACGGTTCCGATCGATTTTCCGGTGAAATCAACATAATTTTAATTTTAAATTTGAAGACCGGGTTTTCAAATTTAATAATTTTGTGGAAAGTTATTTGTTGTAAAAAAAATACACCTAAAAAATTAAAAAATTCTACAATTAAATTTATTTTTTTAAAGACTTGAATATAATTATTTTTTACAAAAAAATTCTTCCACTGAAATTATTTTTTGTTTAAAAAAGTTTGAATATAATTTAAAAAAATATTGTAGAGAGAGTAAGTAGAGAGAGTAGAGATTTTTTTATAATGAATTTGTAAATGAAATGAGGTATTTATAATAAATTCAAAAAATTAATTTTTCAAAAATACCCTTGAAACTAGCCGTTATATAGCCGTTTATAGCTATTGGGAGGAATAATTAATAGATTTCACAATAAAATGGACACAATTACTTTACCTTATTAGCTATATATATGTATCTACTTATAATAGACATACGTACCTTGATTAGATGGGGAATCATAAAAAAGCAAAAACAACACCAAATATTTCTCTTCAGACCAATAATTATAAGGAGAATATGTATTTATTTTTTTATTTCATTTTTCTGTTGTCCCTTTGTAGGGTTTATAATTTTATTTTGTGTCTAAGGTTGGGTGGACAGAGTGGTGGGGTTTCTTTGTTCTAAAAGGAGCGCTTTTTTTTTTTTTTTTTTTTTTTTTTTGGATAGTGGACTAGTTTATAAAACCTCCGGTTCGAAAACCGCGTTCGAACCGGCGGTTTTCTAACCCGGCCGGAGAACGGCGGGTTCCAACCGGTCCGGAGAACCGGCGGTTCCAACCGGTTCCGACCGGTTTTCTGGAACCGCCGGTTCTGGTTCCAGAAAATCTGGAACCGGAACTGAACCGGAATATTCCGGTTCCGGTTCCGGTTCGTCCCGGTTCCGGTTCTCACCGGTTCCGATTCCGGTTCCGGACCGGTTCGAACCGGCGGTTCCGGTTCCAGGAACCGTGATTTGGCCAAGCCTAGGGTCGATGACCTTCGTTTTATGAATTATAGGCTGAATAGACTTATTAAAAGTGAAAATTACATTTAAGGTCTGATTGATACTATTATAATGTGCTTGATTGCAGAGTAGAACGTGGCATACAGCAACATAGCCCATAGGAAAGTAGTTGAGACAAAAGGAATTTAATCTAGGATACGAATTAATCCGAATCCGACACAAAACCCTTACAGTGGTTTTTTATAAGAGATATGTTTTGATTTTGTCTACCATAAACATATTTACATGTCCAAAATTAATTAATTAATTAATATATGATATCAAAAGAAAATAGAATAAGATTTTCATATTAATAACATGATGAGTTTCAATATTAAGATACAAATGGGCCTTTTAAGTTGAAGAAAATAAGCAACCATCCTATCACCATTACATTTAAGCCCAAGCCCAATAAAAGAAAAGCCATTTATTTTGTAAATGCAAACAATATATATATCAAAAGAGAAAAGCCATTTATTTGTAAATGCAAACAATATATATATATATATCTATATACTTTTTTTTTATTTTTGTTAAGGTAAATGTATTATTTTTATTTTAATACAATTATATAAATAAAAATATAAATAAAAATATTAACTTCAAAAAATTAATTTTATTAGTAATCATTGTATAAAATTTATAAAATTCAAATATAATATAATACCAAATCAACTGGCAACTGCATTAATCAAATGAACCAAACCCCCTCTTGCATTAATCAAATGAACAAGAGTTGGCCTCTTGATAGATACAAGAGGCACAAACGCCTTCAATGGCCATAGGCCAGTCTTAACACTTTTGGGCCCCATTCCAAACACAAAATAGGCCTATGCAGGCAACTACATAGGAATCCTATATATATATATATATTCCATCATCAGAATTTATAATAGGCCTATGTCCAGTACGTTTTATATTAGGAATTGAAATTAGACATTTTAATATATACTGATTATAAATTTAGGGATAATAAGGGATAAAATAGTGTAGTTATCAACCTGCATGAAGCATTCGTGTGAATTATGATGTTTATTAATTGTTAAGTGTTAGCATTTTCTTATTGTTTGCTTCTTATCAATGGCAGGGCTGCAAATATTTTAATTCTATTGATGGTCTAATTGTAATTCTCAGCTTAATTAAATATCAATTATTAATCATTGGTACTTTATTTCAATCTATTAAAAAGAGATGTATGAATATATTTGATAATATCATACAACGAAATAATATATTTTTTTTAATATTACATTATATCCTATAAAAACAATATATTTATTACATTATATCCTAAAAAAACAATATATATATACTAACTATATATTATATATATATACATATATATATAGTCATAGATGAGAATTAACATTATGCCTGCCCAATTCCAACAAAAATAATGAAAGCTTTATGATGATCTTGTGCCAAAGCAAAGGATGTGTCGTTGTGGCCTTCTTTTTTGGTTGCAGCATTATTAAATTTTGCATTTGGTATATGTCTATAATTTTTCACCATCTCTTTGCCTCCATTAATTGTGAAAAAAGATTCTATCCAACAGAAAAGGAAACTGAAAAAATGGCCAGATATGGAAATGTATTCAATTGTTGTTTCTATGTCAGGCTTTTCTAGGATAGTTAACTAATGGATGTCACTTGGCAAAACTATAATAATGAGTTTTTTACTTTAAGCCATAAATTATTTATCAATAATTAATGATTTTTTATTTTGAAATTATCGGTGCATAAATTCTTTTCAAAGGCAGTTAATTATTGTTAATTTAAACAAAAATAAATTTCGAAAAAAAAGTTTTAAAAGATAATCATTATTGGCATCTATAAAAAATTGGACATATTCAGATTTAGGGTTTGAGTTTCTTTTCTTCTCTGACTATGTATAAGCATAAGCCGGGGACGGGCAATCTCCCCCCCCCTCTTTTCCTTTTCCCTTTCCTCCGCCCATTTAATAATAACCATATAAAAATAACCAGAAGAATTGAAAAATTATACTGAAACATCAATTTTAGGCCCAAATCATACAAAGTAAAAAATTCCATGATTGGTCCAATATCCAAACCAAAATTTTTTGACAACATCGCAAATCAAAATTACAATTAGCTATATTATAGCATAGAGAGAATAACATATGCCTGCCCAATCCAACAAAATAATGAAAGCTTTATGATGATTGTGCCAAAAGCAAAGGATGGGTGTCGTGTGGCCTTCTTTTTGGTGCAGCATTATAATTTTGCATTTGGTATTTCTATAATTTTTCCCATCTCTTTGCCTCCATTATGTGAAAAAGATTCTATCCAACAGAAAAGGAACTGAAAAAATGGCAGATAATGGAATGATCAATTGTGTTTTATGTCAGGCTTTTAGGATAGTTAACTAAATGGATGTCACTTGGCAACTTTATAATGATTTTTTATCTTTAAAGCCATAAATTTATTTATAAATAATAATGATTTTTATTTTGAAATTATCGGTGCATAAATTCTTTTCAAAGGCAGTTAATTATTGTTAATTTAAACAAAAATAAATTTTGAAAAAAAAAGTTTAAAAGATAATTATTATTGGCATCTATAAAATTGGACATGATTAGATTAGGGTTTTGAGTTTCTTTCTTCTTGATATGTATAGCATAGCGGGGACGGGCAATCCTTTAATAATAACATATAAAAATAACAGAAGATTGAAAAATTATACTGAACATCATTTAGGCCCAAATCTATACAAAGTAAAAAATCATGATGGGCCAATGATCCAAACAAATTTTTGACAAATCGCAAATCAAATTACAATTAGCAGTTAATTAACCACAACTAATAATCCCACTCAAATCATAAAAAAGTTACAAGTCAGATGGCCCCATCAAATACAATTTTCACCTTTCATAACGATTTTTAAAATAATAAATTTGTAATATCTTCTTTTCTTGCAAGCATTTGCTGTATTACACAATAAATCAATCTTCTGTGAAGTCAAATTTACTATTGCTAACGTGGGTTCAGTTCAGAGTCAAAGTTCAAAAAAGGAATTTTAGATTCTTTCTAATTTCTAAAATTTCTAAAGCCAATCAGAGGCTGCCTACTCACTCTACTGTATTCTGCTTTTTCAAGGAATAAACCGGGTCTAAAAAGAGAGTGCACATACTACCATATACGCAGTAGCTACGTTAGGAATCCACCAAAATTTTTATAATTCCATGTTAATATTTTTATTACTATTTTTTCTTGTATTTTGTGACGTATAATATAATATAATATATACTGATTCTAAACGTAAGCTACAAGCATTTTTACTCAATTTGGCTGAGTGTACATAAAAATTAAATTATGACATTTTCTTTCATTTTTTTGCATTATTAATGTTTTAAAAATTCGTGGCGGCAGGTAAGGGATAACCATCTATCCATTCTTATTCAAATTTCAACCAAAAAAATATTATAATAATCATTTTCCTTATCTGTGGATGAAAGTTATCCATAGCCAAGATCGACCCATCAATAATTGACAAGTTTATAAAAATAACGATATTTAATTTAATTTAATTTTTTGTACAAGTATATATGAAATATAGTACACAAGTAAAAATTTTAATTTTTAAAAGCTAGTAATTGTCTGTGTACTTTATGCCTAATCATATCCAACTATGCATATAATTTTATGTTTAAAAATTACTTTTCATTGATATTTTCTCTTTTCTCCAATTTTTTTTTTTATCAACTTTATAACCTAAAATTTAATAAATTAAGCAAAATGAATATATATTGTTGATAGATGATAACTTTTAAAAACAGGGAATCTAATATAAGGTATTATAATATAGAGAGTAAACAAAATAATTCACACTAAAGAGTAAAATTGAATACACTAGAGTAAAAAAGTCCACATTCTTATTAAGTTATCATCTAAAATTGAATAATAGATGATAACTTAATTAGCATATTTTAAATTTTTTTTTTTAAAAAAAAAAAACCAGTTCATGGACCGGAATAGAAAAGTAAAAGTGAAAACAGATACCTGGCCCGGCCCCACCGTCTTTAAGCCAAGCCCGAGAAATTCCACCTAAAGTCGCACGCTTTTGCATGTAAAAAGAAAGAGAAAAACATTAAAATATTTACAAACACCAGCAGCATTCAAAATTTTCAAGCTTTGATTATTTTCACATCGTTCGGTTCTCAACTTCAAAGCTGTAAAACACAGCCCACGCCTTTAGACTTTCTCTACCTTCTTTCTACTAATAATGGCATTTGCCGTTCTACTTTCCAACTTCCACCTCCACCTTCTTCTGAATCCATCTATCTCTCACTATCTTCGTCTCCCTTGCAAATAACCCTATACTTTCTTTCTTCTTCTTCTTATTATTTTAATTATGGGTTATCTCTCTTGTAATGCAGAGTCTGCAATAGCCACCTGCGATCCATACAATTGGGATCGCAATAGAAGAAAAAATAAAGCTACCAAAGCTAAACAAAATAAACCAATAAAAATCAGAGACTTCACTTACCCGGAGTTAGTACAAGCTACCAACGGCTTCTCTGCCGAAAGTTTTCTCGGTAAAGGTAGCCACGGCACCGTTTATAAAGCTTTTCTCGACGACGGTAAGCTTATAGCCGCCGTTAAGAAAACCTACCCAAATCCTTCAATTAGTCATCACAATAACTGTACTGGCAGTAACTGCACCACTTGCATGACTCCTGCAGAGAACGAGATTGAGATTCTCTCCAGAGTTCAACACACAAGGCTTGTTAATCTCATTGGTTTCGCTGTTGACGCGAAAGACCGGAAACTACTGGTTGTGGAGTATATGCCAAATGGTACTTTATACAGTCTTTTACATTGTAGCTCTAGACCGCCCGGTTGGACCAGACGTGTTCGGTTCGCTTTGCAAATAGCCAAGGCGATTCATGCTTTGCACTCTTCCAATCCACCGGTGATTCATAGAGATATTAAATCCTCGAATGTGTTGATCGATGATAACTGGAAAGCGAGGATAGGTGATTTCGGGCTAGCGTTAAGAGGACACGTGGAGGATGTCCGCGTTAAATGCACGCCGCCGGCGGGGACTTTAGGATACCTCGACCCTGGCTATCTTGCTCCCGGCGATTTGAGCACGAAGAGCGACGTCTTCAGTTTCGGGATCTTATTATTGGAAATTATCAGCGGCAGAAATGCAATTGATGTCAACTACAGCCCTCCGTCAATCGTCGACTGGGCGGTTCCGTTGATAAAGCGCGGCGATTTCTTGCCGATTTGCGATCATCGAATCGGTACCCCTGTCGATCCAGGAGTGATAAAGAATCTGGCTATTTTAGCGGCCAGGTGCGTGAGATCCACGGCGGAGAAGCGACCGGGAATGGAAGAGCTAGTGGAGGGATTGAAAGTTGTGAACAAAAGAGTTCACGCGCCGCTCATATGGAACCGTTTGAGGAGGCGCGTGGGACGCGCTGAAGAATCGCGGACGTTAGAATCGGTGGTTGATAGTACAAATGAAGAGATGGTTAATGCAAACATCAAGACAGTTAGGATGGGAAGTAGGAGAAACAGGAAAGTATCGAGTGTTACGAGCGTAGAGTATGGAAACGAAATGACTGGGTCATCAGTGGGCGAGCGAGTTATCAGATCAAAATCAATCGGATCATTTGGCGAGATAAAGATGAGCGGCTCTGATTTAAGAAGAAAACAAGGAGTGGCAGTGAAAATGCCACTGGTAAAACTAAGCAAGTCAAGATCAATGGGAGTATTGCAAAGTCCAAAGCTTAGTAGCAGAAGCAGAGGATTTGTTTTTGAACTGGAAAGAGAGAATGGTTCAAGAGAAATTGAAGCCTCTATAGCAAAGCTGTTTATAGGTTTGGATGAGAAATCTGAAAGAGAAATGCAAGAGAAGCCGTTAGTCTCAATTTAAAAATTGTAGTATTTTGTAGCAGTAACAGTAATATCATAAATGGTGAACATTGGTATTCCTGTCACATGGAATGTTGTCAGTTGATGAATTTTGAAATTTTGAAATTTAATTGAATCTTGAGGATTCATCAACTTACAACAGATCATCTTTAAGGGGATCACACTAAATCTAGTTTTTGTGAATTAAATTGTTTGGTTCTACTATAATTTAAATGAAACTTTGAAGAATATTTTTCACAACAGAAACTTCTTACGACTTAATAATTAGTCCCTACTGTACTTCTCAAACTATGATGCTTGTGGAAATAAAAGACGACTACAAAAACTTGTAAAGTTTTGATATCTAATTACGTTAATTAAGAAGTTATTGTGGTCAATGAGAACCGTTATGGAGAGTTGAAGACCACACAACACAACACAGAGATAAGTATCCAGTTGTACACATGCAGTCCAAAACATTTAATACAAGCAGATCTTGTTGGCCGACGTTTGTTTATTGGGTGCCATCGTTGAAAATGATTCTTCTTCTTTCAACAACAGCAGTTGATGTTAGTAAATACATGGTTGCTAAAATTAGAACCAAAGTCACATTCAGTTCTACCATATATGCTCTCTTATTAATGATTTTAACTCATCTGCATCCATGTATGATGGATCTTTCATTTCTTTAGCACGTGCTGTACGCTTTCATGGATTGTTTGTTACCTTATTTCTGGGCCATGCCATTTAATTGATGGAAGTTTTTTAGATGCTTTTTCTTCGACATACACCAAATTCCTTATTACCTATAAGTAAATCAAGCCTCATTTCTTCCATTTTGTGCATGTTATGATTACTGATAGACACGAACGTTTATAGTTAACGGGTCACTGTCTTTCAAAAACTTTTTTAAATATGTTAATGTATAATTCCTGCGTAACTCACTTAGTAAAATTAAAAATTAAAAATTAATTTTATTTGAAAGTAAATTTTCTAATTCATTCTCATCCTATCAATTAAAATTCTGAAAATAACAATAATATTTCAGCTTTTCACAAATCATTCCGACATAAAAAGACGTTACCAATAAATTTTGAAACTGGGTTCCTGAATCCAGAACCTATGCATAGCCCATGTTGATGCAGATTGGGCTTTAATTTGCACGTGAAGTAAAATGGACATGCATTTAAGTCGAGCTCCAGCCAGTAGCCATTGGCTGCAGTCAACAGCTAGTGCCTATTGAACAGATGGAACTTGAAATTAGACTTTATGCATTTGTTTCTACTGAGCCTCTCCTAAAGGCTATTGCCCTAAACCTGGCTTATTTAATCATATAACAATAAATGTGCAGACAAGAAACTCCAAGAATAGGGTACTATTCTTTAACCTGCGAATCCCTAACCCAAAACCCTACTACGTTTCTTCAATCCATTTAGATTGGGAGCTGAATCCATATTGGGCTCTGCAAAGCATCTCACTTCAAACTTTACCTTCAAATTACTTGGCATATATAAAGTCTTAGCTTATAGACACAAATGGGATGATATGAATTTCTTTTCCTTTAATTAGAGGTGTTAAGTTCGAGTTCTGGGTATATAGATTTTTTAAACATTTGGGAGAGAGTAATTTATTCTTTTTGTAGACTTGATGTGAATTCGAATTAATCAGACTAATATGCTTGGAATATTAGACGATTTAATAATAATAAAAAAAAAATGAACCTTAGCCTTTGCTTCCAAAGGAGACTCAAGAAAAATAGAGGGGAATTATTAATTTTAATCCCATATTTAGAAAGGACAAAATATTAAAAGAAAAAAAGTATTATTATTGAGAATTAAATTCATGCCTTCATTTATTTTTAATAAGTAAAATGTGACTTTAGTTGTTGCTTAATAAATGGTTAATTTGTTAGTAATTTGGATATTTGAATATTTTAATAAAAATAAAATAAAATCATGCTTTCCTCCAATATTTTCTCTCTAATTGGAGAGGCACAAAATATATAATTCTAAGTGAAAAATAAATAAAATATTACTTCTTTCAATGTTTTTCTTTCCTTTACAAACAAGAGAAAACAGTTTTATGTAAATATTTTTTTCAAAAAAAAAAAAAAAAAAACTCATGTACAAACAAAGGCTTAATGTTATTTTTGGACATGTAGAGAAAAATAATGAAGTTCTTACAAGTCTCTAGGTATAGTTTCTTCCTAATGAACAATAGGTTTCTTATTTTGAGTTTACTATCTAAGGTTAACGGTAATTTGGAGTTTTAATATATAGGACAAGGCAAAGTCTTGGGTGTACAAAAAAGTTGGGCTATCTCACATCTTAACTGGTTTTTCTTACTAGGTTTGATTCAATCATTGAGTTAGCTTTTGGTTCTTGACAGTTTCAGACAACTTAACAATTAAAATTTTAATTTTCAATATTTCAATTGTAATTTTACCAATAAACTTAATTAAAAGTTTAAACGATAAATATTAATTTCAACTTGCTTATTCAGATAGATAAGATCCTCAACTAGAGAATTGAAGAAGAAAAAATCGAGTGTATCAGTGATAAAAATGTAAAATAAAAATAATTTGAATTGTTATGGAAATAATTATTTTTTGGGTGATGCAGAATAGAAGAAGTTGGGCCGAGTTTTCGGACAGGGAACCGTAACTTGAACATGTGGTCCAAAACTAATCCCACCGAACAAACTTTTTTACGTTGTCACAAAGTCATAACCATCATGTGCAAACTGTAAATTTTCTCATCTATCTCTGACACAAAGCCTATTTTGAAGCTAAATCCACCAAAGTCTTCATTAATATTTTTCAAAGACTCAGTTTTTAATAATTGAGATGAAGTGAGATTATTATACAATACAGACATACTAACGCTAGAGTTAATCAACGGTAATGAAACGCTGTACCCGTCCCCGGCCCAAATAGTCATGGAGTTAAAAAAATAATTTTACTAAAATTAATTTTTTTTTCAAAAACTTTTCATGTGGGAAATTTAAAAAATTTTTAGCTTGGAGACCAGAGTCCCCTTAAAATTCTCCATGTTGGCCCCCTAATGAAATGTGTATAATATAATTAAATCTATTAAAATTTTAATTATATTGCACTATTTCTCGATGCAAAGTTAGGGTTTATCCCTTAAAACTTCATCAACTTCAATTTTATAATACTGAACTTCCTCTAGCCATAATCCGATGATGAACGACACCGGAATGCTGATGTGGCAATAATCATTTAAAAGAAAATAGATATTTTATTCCATGTATAAAAGCCTACTCTTTAGCTTTTCGTATCATTATCTCTCTCTTATGTCCGAGCTCCAGTCTTGTGCCATAAATGATCATAAACATCTAAATCAAAAGCCCATAATAGATTGAATCTCTCTTATGCCAATTCAAATCTGCTGAATGCTATTGCTTTTTTATATGCAAAGACAATATAAACTATTTTTTACGCTTGAATTTTGTTTTGCTACAGTTTATTCCTCCTCATGAAGGTTTGGGTGCCAATAATGTAAAATTTTGTGAACTCTCTAACTGAGAGCTTACTCTTTCATGGAGTTAGTTACTCAATTCATAGAACAACTTACGGGCATTTTCAACTTTTCTAATCTGGAAGTAAAAAGCTCTTAGAAAATTGACATATATAAGAGCTAAAATCTTCTTTCAGCAAATACTCATAAGTCCGATTTTGCGTAGTTCAATCTCTGTTTTTCTCTTTTAGAGAGAAACCGCAGAGAAGCAGAGAAGGAAGGAGTTAATAGAAGTCTAATATGTGTTTATGCAGCTATTAGGCAAAAAGTCATCTTTTGTGGCTCGGCTAGTGACTACTTTACAGAAAAAGAAGCAATAGAGTACCATACAGTGGTAGCCAAAACAGCGAATTCCCCAGCTACGTTATAATACCTCTATGTGCAAGGCGGACAAAAATAGCATACGAGCAGGAGAGAAAATATTGGACCTTAAAGATTGATATGGAATTGGAAAATTACGGGTCATGAACTTAGTCTTGCCACGTCAGTTTTCCGGTGACGTTGGATACCATATTATAGTTTGAGGGAGTTTAGTGTTAAAAAAAAATTAAATTTTAGACAGTTTCAAATGATAAATTGAAATTTGGAAACGATAAAATGATCATGTCTTAAGTTGAGGGACCATTAATGAAAATAAGCCATAATAATATAAATAATTTTACAAAAGGGGTGAAAATAATGGAGATTATAAAGACAAAGATTCCATGATTAAGGTATTAATGCAATTATTATACTAGAATAAGTTAGATTAAGGTTGGGTTTGGGAGTATGGTTAGAATTGGACATGATAGAGGGAATTGGACTATTAGTGAAGTGATAGTAACGCGACATAAGGATCCAAAACTAGGATGGGCCATGAGAGCTTTTAAGTGGGGATTGGTTGGTGAAGGACCCACCAAAGAAGATTGATGGATCAACAATTTACATGTTGATGTTTGTGTGTGATAATTAGGATGCAAAGCTCATTTCATTCTTTCTTTATATAAATAATAATCATATTATATGAAGAATTAAATAGAAAAAAAAAAAAAAAAAAAAAAAGTCTCCCGCATTTTGCGTAGTTCATCCCTCCTGTTTTTTCTCTTTTAGAGGGAGAAATCCGCAGATAAGTCATGGGAGAAGGGAAGGGACGTTAATAGAAGTCTTCTAATCATGTGTTTTATGCCAGCTATTTTAGGGCCAAAAAGTCAAATTCTTTTGTGCTCGGCTAGTGAACTACTTTACAGAAAAGAGACGCAATCCAGCAGTACCATACACGTGGTAGCCAAAGAACAGTCGCACATTCCCCATGCCTACGCGTTTGATACCTAATACCTCCTATGTGCTCAAAAGGCCGACTCAAATAGCATACTGAGCAGACGCAGAAAATATTGGACTTAAAGGACTTGATATGCGGAATTGGGAACAATTTAACGGGTCACTGAAACTGTAGTCTCTGGCCACGTCAGTTTTCCGGTTGACGTTGGATACCTATCATCTATAGGTATTGAGGGAGTCTTAGTGTTTCAAAAAAAAATTATAAGAAATTCTTAGACAGTGTTCATAATGATAAAATTGAAATTTGGAAAACGGATTAAAAAAATGCAGCATGTCTATTAAGTGAGGACATTAATGAAAAATACAGCCATAATAATATAAATAATTTTAACAAAACGGGTTGAAAATAATGGAAGTATTCATAAAGACCAAAGTTCCCATTGATTAAGTCTTAATGACATCTAATAGATTACTATAGAATAAGTTAGATTAAGGGTTGTGGTTGGGAGCTATTGGTTAAGAGTCTGACCATGATCAGAGGAATTGGACCTATTAGGTGAGTTCGATAGTAACCGCGGACATAAGGAATCCAAAACTAGAGGATGAGCATGAGAGCTTTTAAGTGTGGGACTGGTTGGTGAAGGGAGCCACCAACAAGAAGCCATTTGCATGGTATCAACCAATTTTACGAGTTGATGTTTCCATGTGCTGTTATAATTAGGATGCAGAAGGGCTCATTTCATTCTTCTTTCACTCTTAAATAATAACTCTACTCTCTCTCACTGAAGAATTACAATAGAAAAAAAAAAAATAAAAAAAAAAAGGCTGCCCAAAAAGCATGGGAAATGGAAAATTTTCAAAGATCAAAGGGCTCAGAGACCAGAGCCCCTTCCCACCACTCCCCCCACCTCCTTTTAAAAAAAAAAAAAAAAAAAAAAGGCTGCCAAAAAGCATGGAAATGGAAATCAAGATCAAAGGGCCAGAGACAGAGCCCTCCCCACACTCCCACTCCTTTTCTCCGTCTTGTCACCATCTTTGTCCCCTCTCTCTCCCTCTCGTAATCACAAGAAATAAAGAAAAGAATCTCCGTTATTCAAAAACGGTTAAAAATATTAAACAACGGAACGGAAAAGCAAGACTCACAAGTCACACCACACGTGGCCTTTTCTTTAGGCTAGCTAGTACCTAACCACTACCAGTCGTGAGTCGTAACCCACCTCTCTTCTTCTTGCAGGTACACTGTAACACACAATTTCAGAAGAAAGGAAAACGGAGGGTGGTTGGTTTCCCGCCAGCTGACATGACAGTGACACCAGTACGGGGGCACCCCGTCGAGTCAGACATACCTGGATTGCCTTTACCTTTCCATGGCCATCACATGACGGCCTCTCTTCTCTTTCTCTCTGGTTCTTGCTTTTGTGCTTAGTATTATTACTCACAACAATGGAAATGGAAAATATACTCATTACATAATTTTACAATGTCAGCAAGTGTATTTGTTTATATTTTAATTATTGTATTATTATTATTATTATTTTTGTTGTTGGGAGTGTTTCAAGGCTGTCCAAGTCCCAAGGTGTAAACCTCTCCATCTTCTTCTTCTCCATATATTCTGCAAAAATGAAACAAGAGTCCCCCAATCATTTACAAGATATGTGCTCTCTCTTCCAGCTATTTTCTTGTTTCAATCCTTTGTTCACTTCTGGCCTATGGGGTTTTGGGCCCTAATTTCCCAATACTGCAACTTAATTATCCCAAAAAAAAAAAAAAAAAAGATATTATAGAACTGAATTATGAGTCACCACCTTTCAGAAAAAAGAATTATGATTCACCACATTATTTGTTGTTTATTTATTTATTTTTATTTATACGTCTCTACATTTATACAGAAATACTAACAATGACAGTTCTTTTTTTTTTTCAACAATGACCATTCTAAATTTTAAACTCTTAATTTTACAAATAAAATTCACTTAACTACACTTTATGCTTCAATTGATCTGACCCACTATTCATCTTTCAAAAATCAAATTCTAACAGTATAAATTTAGGGTAATTAATGTTTTTTTTTTTTTTTATTAATGTTTTTTTTTTTTTTATATTGTTGTTAGCTGAATTTATAACTTGAAAAAAAAAAAACAAAAAAAAACGCTTACATATCTTACAGATCGGAAACCCCACAATTCTACATGGTTACAAAAAAAAAAAAAAAAAAAACCTTACATATCTACCAGATCGAAACCCAAATTCTACATGTACAGGATAAAAAAATTAAAGTAAAATCTTTATTTTTATATAATAATGTTATTAGAAATTAAATTTAGAGGAATAAAATATTATATTAGTTAGAAGTTAATTTTTGCAGTAATGCATAACATAATAATAAGTACATGTACAACATAATCATAAATCTAAATTTCTAATACTTCTCCCAAATATTTAAAAAAAAAAAATTGTAACAGTAAAGTCACTTGACTGGGAACCGTTGATTTGAGCTGTAGAAACAGCCTCCAGGTAAAAATAAGGAAGATACTGCATGTAATAACGCTTCCCAAATTCTATAAATATGAACTTATCACCTTCACGTAATTTACAAGTATTCTTAAAAAAAAGAAATTCGGAGGCTAGGCTCCTCAGTCTTCACTGCTCCAAAGTTTTCATAGGTGGAAAGTTTTAATCTACGAAGATAAAGGAATCTAAAATTATTTTGTCAGAATGACCAAACTCAAAGCAATAATGATTTCATATACTTACTGTAATTTTCTTTTCGCTCAATATTGAAATTGAGTTTCAATGTAAAATATCCATATAATTTACGGAAAACAAATTAAGGAAGCATAATATATTTTTTATTATCATTAAAATTTCCAAAAAAAAAAAAAAAAAAAATTGTATTATCAATTTAAGAATTCCAACAAAAAAAAAAAAAAAGAGGCAGCGTACTAAAAAAAAAAAAAAAAAAAAGAGCAGCGTATATATGAAGTATAAAAATAATAAATAAGAAGATCCAGAAAAGAAATGTATAAATGTAGGCGGTGAAGGAAAGAGGGTCACATATAGTCGGAGATGAACGTCACGCTGCAATTAATGCCCACAAAATTAATTTTTTCTGATTTAAATCCGTGTCCTATCCTATAGTTTTATAATGTTATTCTTCTCCTCCTCTATCTCCATCGTCTCCACTCTGTTTTTCTGCTTCTCGAACGCTTATATATTTCTCTTTGGGCCGCCAACTTCATTTGTTTAAATTACAAGTTGAAGAGGTAATTTAGACTTTATTTGAATTAAATTACCGGTAACGATGTCTTGGCCTGGTGCCTAACGCTGGACACTAATTTCAATTATTGGTTCCACCATCCACCATTCAATAATGAATCCATGAAAAACAAATCACTACACAAATTACTGTCAAATGGTAATGGCCTTAAAACTGCTACCAATGCAGGAAATTAACTTAGCATTGTGTCTTTTTTTTTTTAAGTAAGATAATTTAATTCATTGCAAATGGGTAGATGAGATTTAAAAACAGCTCAATGTATAACTTAGGAGGAGTGAAAATGAGAACCCCTACCATAAATTGGAAATATTTTGTGAGAAAAAAATAATTATAAATTGGATTAAACATAAATTGATTATTGATTATAACTATAAATTGGGGAAGTGCCAAAGATAATCTTGTCCCATGTTCCCAAACACCACCTTTCTCTATCACTCTTACGTCACTTTTCTTGACACTACCTACACGCTACCTCTCTGCTATTTTTATCTCTCTTTTCCTTTGCATATGTTTGGGTGAATTTCTACATTTCCACTTTTACTTTTTACTGCACTAACTGTCAACAAATATGGAAAAAGAACCAGACAACAGTGCACGCCACCATCACCCCAATTCCTTAATTACTACATAACATTTCTACCATTATTTTCTTTCTCTCTCTTTTTTTTTTTTTTTTTTACCGCCACGCATCACCCCCAATTCCCTTAGATGCTACTACCATTAACATTTCTACCATTATTTCTTTCTCTCTCTTTTTCTTTTTTTTTTAAATTTTTTAAAAATTCGTACTTTAATCAATTTTCTTTAAGCGCAAAGAAAAGGAGAGAAAAAGAAAAAAAACCATATGAAAGGCTTTCGGAGTTTAAGAACACCTTTTTTTTGCAGTCGAGGATTAAATGGGCCCACCCACTTCTCCTTAAACTCTTTACTTCTTCTCTTATTGGGAGCTAATTTTTAATTTTTTTTAAAAAAAAATTTTTTCCTATGACATTATTTTTTTTTTTTTTTTTTTTTAAATTTTTAAAAAATGTAATTTAATAATTTTTTTTTAAGGCAAAGAAAGAGAGAAAAAGAAAAAAAAACATATGAAAGGCTTTCGAGTAAGACACCTTTTTTTTGCAGGTCGAGGATTAATGGCCACACTCTCCTTAAACTCTTATCTTCTCTTATGAGCTAATTTTTAATTTTTTTTAAAAAATTTTTTATGACATATTAATCCCATATAAATACAAGGCTTATCACGGTTACCATTTGCTTATTGTGGTGGATCTGCTAAATAAACCGGCCATGTAGATCTTCCTCTATCAAGAAAGAGAGAGCAAGAAGACAACAGAGAGAGATAGCGAGATAGAAAGAGGGGAAAAGAAAGAGAAAGAATGGATTTTGATGATGAGCACGAAGATCAAGAAGAAGAAATGGGCATGCCGGTGCCTGCTGGTTATGACGCTATTAGCAACTCAGCTCGGCCAAAAATGGGTCCAGGTACCGGCGGCGCTGGGGAAGGAGGAGGAGGAGGAGGAGAAGGTGCCTCAACAATTGCAACAGCAACAAACACAAGAAAATCCGGCAGCTCAGTTAGATATAGAGAGTGTTTGAAAAACCACGCCGTCAATATCGGCGGACATGCGGTGGATGGTTGTGGAGAATTCATGGCGGCGGGAGAAAAAGGTACTTTAGATGCACTTAAATGTGCTGCGTGTAACTGCCACCGAAATTTCCACCGCAAGGAGACTGACGGTGGCGGAGAAGGAATATATCACCACCACCAGCAACACTACCCCCAATTCTCTCCTTTCTATCGTGCTCCGCCACCTGCAGGTTATTTACACCTGACGCCGCCAACGCAGCATAGGCCTTTAGCTCTACCAGCAGCATCTGGTGGTGGAGCAGGAGGTGATGTTGTTGGTGGTGGGTATAGTAGAGAGGAAGAGGATGTATCGAATCCTAGTAGTAGTGGGGGTGGAGGCGGCGGAGTCAGCGGTGGTTCAAAGAAGAGGTTTCGTACGAAGTTTACACAAGAACAGAAAGATAAGATGTTGGATTTTGCAGAAAGGCTTGGTTGGAGGATCCAAAAACACGATGAGGTTGCTGTGGAGCAGTTTTGTGGAGAAAATGGAGTGAAAAGGCATGTGCTCAAGGTGTGGATGCATAATAACAAACACACTCTTGGTAAGAAACCCTAATTTTTAGAAAACTCAACTTGAAAAAAAACCATTTCTTTATCATCTTCAAGCAATCAAATTAGCTACTTATAGAGCCAAATGCCAAAGGAGAAAATGAGAGCGAGGAAGAGACATAAAGATATTATCACCATTGCTTAGTGCAGTTGATGATATATATCAAGAAAGGATCAAAAATGGCAAAAAGTTTGTGATTGACAATTTGTTTAGGTGTAGTAACGTGACTAGGGTTCTTACTTTTTTTTTTCCTTTTCTTGGTTCTTTTTCTTTTTCCTTTCAATTTAATTTGTTTTCTTCTTTAGTTTTTTCTTTTTTTTTTCTTTCTTGAATATTGTAGGATGGATGGTGAAGAAGATGGTGATGGTGATGATGATGACCCTTTTATTTCTTGAATACATTGTTGCTGATGGACCATTTTGCTCCTCAAATCAGCATCTTCTAATTCTTGTTTCTTTCTTTCATTTCAAGAAGAAGAAGAAAAAAAAAAAGAACCCATTAGTTAAGCGCTGGAAAAATTATATGGAGCTGCAATAACTCTGCAACTTCACCAGCTAGCTTTTACATTTCCAGTCAAATAAAACAGTCTTTACTCTTTAGTTTCACAATAAACAGGTTGAAGAAGCAAGAAATAGCCAAGTTACTGCAAGTCTGTAATATATCAGGTTGAAGAAGCAAGAAATAGCCAAGTTACTGGCAAGTCTTGTCATGATAATTATATATACTATATATATATATATACTAAATAACTATATATATACTAATTTACCTATACTATTGGTATAGTATTTAATGAGAAGCTGATGGAAAAAATGATATATAATGAGAAGCTGATGAAAAATGAAACATCATCATCATCATCATAATCGAGAGAGAAAATAAAAGAAAAGAAAAGAGAATTAGAATTGAATTCTTAGTATTGAATCATCAGAACGTGTATAACATGCAAAGCTGCATTTTTTTCGTGTTTGCTCACAACTGTCAACTTCTCCTTCTTTCTTTCCATCTCACCGCTCTTATTTAACTTTACTCGTTTCTTTCTTTCCTTTCGATTCTCTCTCATATTAATTTCTTTCAACCTCCATTTTACTTCATGAAGCCAAAGCTGCTGATTCCGAATTATATATAAAAACCCCAAAAAACCACCGAAGACGGGCATGTCGACAAAAATGTGTCCTTAGGAAAGAGAGTACGGCTCAAATTTGCCACTCTCTTCTGCTTCTTCATATACCTCGTCCGCCATTAATTTCTCTCCTTTCTTCTATGTAGAATTGTTTTATTTCTTTTTTATCTTTTTTTATTTGTTTTTCTTTCTTTACAACTTGTTTTGTTTCTTGCAGCAGTCTTCTTCTCGGTCTTGGTAGTTCTTTAGATATGATAATACAATAATCTTAGGATTTGCTAAATTGCTAGCTCAGTGTGTGTACTAACACTGGTAAATTAGTAAAAAACAAAATTTCTGATGAGGTTATTAACGTAGCCAGTAGTACAGTGGCACAGTGTTTTGCCAGTTTTTTTGCAGTATTATGCAGATTTGCAGACCTTGTGATTATCATATAGTAATTGCACATGTAAGCAAAAAAATAAAAAAATAAAAGAAAATTAAAATTCTCCTTTTACAAGCGTTTCTTTTTCTTTTTGAATATAATTCTTGAATTCTTTTTCTCTACTTAATCCGGTCAAGAATCAAAGATAAATAATATAGCTGATGAAAACTCAAAGAAAGAGAGAAATTCTTGCACGGAGGAAAGTGGATAGACAAGAAAATGTTGGAGAAAGGGAAGAAGTTAAAACAAGAGAGCATCTGAATTGAAGCTGTCGGAAAAACGATCTAAAGTTCGGTCTCATGTTATGTTAGCTCAAGAAATTTGCTTTTTTTCTGTTCCGTTTGAGGGACATGTGGGCTCTGTCTCTTAAGAAAGAAAGAAAGAAAGAAAGAAAACGGAAGAATAATAAATGGACTGACATTACAGCTAATGGTGTTGTGATGTTTTTGCTGCAAGCTTGTCTCTTACTCCTATATATTCCACATCAACACAACAATAGCTCAATTCTTGTTCACCTAATTTCTTTAATCTACTTGGATTTTTCTGATACTGTTCAAAGAGTTAGATGAAGCTCTTTATTTAATTTTCTCTGACGATGGAAGAAAAGTGAGCCATGGGGTTTCTTTTTAGTCTTGAAAATTATATTTACAGAGGCATTGTTTCTGCATACATATGCTGTCTTTTGACCTAGTTTGAGCTACTACCTGTTTATGGACCAAGACTGAGTTTGGAAGAATTAACGATTGTAATCTGATCAGCTAATAATACTAGTAATAATAAATAATAAAAAACGTGGTGTGTTCTCTCTACAATTATTGGTTTACCGAGTCAAATCTTGATTTTAATTCAGGAAAAATAATGTAGAAATCAATGTAGAATTATGATTGTGATTCAGGTTTTTATGTTGGAAAAAATTTACTTGGGAGAGGTTCTTAATTCCTATTCTAATGCCTAACAATATGTTGAAGAGGAATATGACTCACCATAAAAAAAGGGGGTTTAAAAAATTATTACTGTTTTTTTTTTTAGATTGCCTTTGAAACTGCCGATAATTTTGGTGTATACTAAAACATTTTAATTTGTAAAATTGTATTATTAAACACTTTTAACACGTAAAAACAATATTCAACGCTCCAACTAATAGAACTAGATCGATTAGATACTTATTTTATAGTTTAAAAATATGAAAATTTTATTTGGAAAATTGCACTAATGATGTATTAATCAGCATTTCAGTTTTAAAAAGTTAAAATCCTAAAAAAATGTATGGCATTATCAAAATTATAATCATAAAAGCACAAAAGATCACTTAAACCTACGTATAAAGAAAGGAGACTTTCAGTTGGCCCTTTAATCTGATTATATAGCTATTTAAACTTGATAAAAAGAAAAGATGAAAATGAATTACAAATTTCTTAAGAAGACAATTATTGGGATGGTACATCGTTAGAGTGTATTTGCAGAGGAAAAGAAAGAATCAGAAGACATGTTAAGATATGTAAGTAAGAGAGTGGTTGGGGGAGAAGAGAGGCCAATTGCCAATCTTACAACTTACTTTGTGTATGCTAACAACCAAAACCTAATATCACAATCAGTTCTTTCTATATATGGGCTGACATGTTAAGATGCCACCTCCTTTGCTACCAACATAACATTTTCTTATTCCACCTCGTAGTTAAAAATAACGATAATTTTTTACTCATTTTAATAAAACATGTTCTTTTCAAGATTTAGTTGAGCATATTTCGAGTTAAACTAATCAAACTCATTCGATTTGACTCTTTTCTTATGTAAGGAAGTTTGATTTTCTATTTAAATGGGTAAATTGAAGTTTTCTTTGGTTCAATGTAATTTGATTTCAAGAAGCTTAAAAGGTCAGGCTTAAACTAAATTGATAGGAGAAATGCTCAAACCGATTGAATCAATTGGTCTGATTTTATTCTGACAACTATTTTGACTTGAATTCGTTTTGATTTTTAAAGTTCGGTGTGGATTTATTTACTTATCTATTTGGTTCAGTTTTGAACCGAACTGACCCGTTTACACGCTTCTAGACGCAAATAAGTATAATTATTTTTTTCACTAGAAAAAAGGAAAAAAAATAATAATAGTGTACCAATTTTTTTAAATGACCATTAATTATTAGCTAGGTATATAAGGAATACATATAAATCCAATGTGGCAAATATTTTCTCCATTAAACAGGGCAAATTGATCTAAACAACCAAAATTACTTAATCCAATTTAAATTTTTGATTGTTAGGTGAAAATGTTGTACTAGAAATTAGCTAAAGGCTTGAATACAAAATTTGAAGTCAAAGTGTGCATAACCAAAACCAATAATTCTGAAGTCCAAATAGATGTATATATTGTCAAAATTAAAAAACCAACAATATGGGCATATATATTTATATAAATAGTCAAATATAAGTGTAAAAAGTATGGAGAGTGTTGACTTGGGGTTTTGGTATATAAAATATTTACAATCATTGTTTAGTTGTATGATGGCTGGAGGACCCCATTGGTTTGTGTTTTGGGAAAAATCCTTTCAAGTTGAAAGCTTTTTCCTCCAAGTCTAACATGAAATAACTTTGGGACCAATTGCATTGCAATGAAATAAAATATTATTTATTTTTTACTTCGTCTGTCCCAAAATATATGTCGTTTTTAGGTGACTAATTTGTCTTAAAATATAAGCTGATTTGAATATTTTAAGGAGTAATAAATGATGTTGTTCTAACGTTATCTCAAGAAAAAATTATTTTTTCTAACGTTACCCTTATTTATTAAATACAATAATTATCTTCACAAGTTACTCCATCTGTCCCAAAATATAAGTCGTTTTTTGGGTGATTATTTTGTCACAAAATATAAGTCAGTTTCGAGTATTTTAAGGAGTAATAAATAATGTTTGTTTAATGTTACCCTTGTTAGATTAGTTATAATAAATACTTTTACAAATAATTATTGATTTTGAGATAAATGATAATTTGATCAAATTACTCTTGAGTTTGTTATAATCTAAGAGAATTAATTGTTTTCTTAATTACTGTACAACAACTTTAAATGATTTATATTTTAGAACAAAGAAAGTTGTTGATTTTCAGATAAATGGTAATTTGATTAAATCATATTTGATTTTGTTATAATATGATAATTAATTAATTGATTTCTTAATCTCTGTGAAAAATTTTAAAAGAGGACAAATAGAATTAAAAACAATCTATTTATTTTGGAAAAAAAAAATAAATTGAACAACGCATGTTTTAATTTTTCAAGATGATTTCGAGAACATCTAATTTAGATTTCTAACTTAAAATTTCATGATTTTAAACATTTGAAACATGAATTATTTTGCTTGCATTCTAAGTTAAAACCTTTTTTGTGCAATTGCATCAAAGTTTCGGTGAAGCAATAACGGAAATTTTATGTAACAACTAATTAACTTTTTTTTCTTTCTTTGTTAGTTAGTTAAAATGGATTGCCATGTTCATCTTGAAGTGCAAAATAATAACTAGAAAGTGGTATAAATCGTGGTCTATAAGATTTGGTTAGGTTTTATCTTTTCCATCAAAAAAAGATTAGGTAGGCTTATAAGATGGGCCCCATGCAATTGATGAATTGTTAAGTTAGATCTCTGCCATTAATCGTGTTTTGTGTTCCCGCTTTTCAGTTTGCCAGTTGGAATGCAGACAGACAAAGCTGTCCTGACCATTTTCTTCAGACTATCACCCTATTAACTAACCCTTCCGACACAAGTTTTTGTTGGGCCTGTCCAACTTCCAGGTTCCAGGTTTCCACCTTGTAATTTTAAATTGAAAATAGTTTCGGATATATTTGACCCGCTCCACATAATCTCGAAGGACGAATTAATCATGTTTGCCCTGTAGCTGGAGTGAAGAGCCAAGTCTTTTTTTGTTTTTTTTGTTTGTTTGTTTCAAATTGGCGCTTCTTGTTCATCAATCAGGACAGAGATGAAATCATAAAAATGGAGAAGTTACAAGGCAACAGCAGAATTACCTGTTTCCTCTTTTGGATTTTTCTTTTTTAATTTCACATGCTAACCATATTTAATGTGCATTTCTTTTAATAAAATCATTATTTTTAACTTTTTAAAATTATTATTACTACCACCAATATTAGTCAATTACCTATCTTTAGTTACCTTATTCTTACATTAAAATATTACTCTATCCGTCCCATAAATAAATTATAATTTTTATTTTGTTTTTCCCAATATACCCTACAGAAATTAAGTAATTCATATTAAGTTGTTCTTGAAATTAATCAAATTATAATCAAATACTATTTGATTAAATTGAATTTTTCTTGGAAGATTAAAGGTTGATATTTTAACTTTATTTACATCCATAATATAATAGTTTGACTATTGTATTTGAAGACAAAAACATATTAAATAAGGATACAATTATAAACTTTAAATATTATTCACTCCTTATAAAAGAAAACAGGACAATAATTATAAGACCAGGGGAGAAATTTACATATTTTTCAGTAATATTTTAATATGCATTATTTAATTATAATAGAATAACATAGATTATTTAATAATTAACATAAGAATATATTAAGAAAAAAAAATTAAGCAAAATTTATAATTTAACCATATTTATTGTATTTTCTTAATATGACAACATAAAGTACATAATATTAAATACAATCTATAAGTTTGAATCACAAATGAATATTCAGTATCACAAATGCAACATACTGCTACTATCTACACCAACCTCCAGTATGAGACTTGCATTTGATAGGGTTGGATATTTGCTGGCCCCAACACATCACAAGCTGCGGTTCTGCTCTAATGCTCCTTGCAGATTTTTCACAGCACTATCATAGTGTACAAAACCCATGAACCAAAATTCATGGTTATCAACTGAGATTATCTGGATGTATTTTTCTCCAGGTTTGGCCTTGCTTGTTGATGGATTGACACCCTTCAGCTGGTGCAATGGAATAACAACCTATATAATACAGAGTTGGAATATGTTATTACCAAAACCAAACAATACACAGCATGAAAATTGCAAATGATGAATCAACAATTATACTTCATTTCATGAGACCATCACATGAGATGCAGATTGACACATGATTGTTTCCTTACTTCAAAGAAGCAATATAATCTCAAATGAAGCAATAATCTTTGGAATTCTAACTCCGTTTTACCTTCTTTTTTTTTTTTTTTTTCTTTTGGCATGGAGGATTTTGATGGAGAGAAATGAATGATCTTCCAAAAATCAGATTTGGTTAATTATGGGGCAATGTGGTGTTTTTAGCTTCTATATGAACTTACGCTTCCAAAAGCTTTTAGGAAGGCATTGCTTTTTAAGCTTACATTTAATCTTCTTACAAGTTAAGTAGGAGATTCCTTGTCCTCCATGATCCACTCAACTTATTTTTCTTTCAATAAAGCTTCCATTCTTGAATATACACACAATCATATGGACAATACAGATATAAACAGTTTGGGCATTTGCCCTAGGTCAATCTTGAAACTTATTCCCAGCCATGACTGAACCATCTATACCAAACCTAAAGGCCTTGCCATCCACTACTGATCTTAAAACAATGTAGTCAAAACCTTTGTCAGCTTCAACTTCGATGTATCAATGATCAGGTGTTCAATACAATATTCCAGTCAAAGAAGAATTGTTTACATCAGAAACAGTTTTTTCATATACATAATTGTTTCGCATCATACTAGCTAAGAAATAAATGCGTATATTATAACAAATATCACAATCATTGCAGTTACTGGAGATAAAAAAAAAATGTTTCATGATAATAAAAAAAATGATCACTGAAAGTAATATCAATATCAAAAGGGGAAAAATGTGACAAGGATTTTAGAAAGAGGCTTGGATCTGTGTCCTAGCCCTGGCAGTAGAAGTGCAAAATTATTTAAAATGTTATCAAACCACAATGTGCATACCTTGTAGTAACTATATTGTGTTTGATCCCCAGCTTTGTAAGACAGAGGATTATCGCTACAAAATGCCAGCTTTGCAGTTGACAAATATAAAACTCCCATAACTGGACCAGCAGAAGTAGATAGGTAGCATGCATATGTCTTCTGGAGTTGTTCCTCAGGAACGGTCTCAAAAGTTTGTCGAAAGATCTTCTCGTAACCTCCTTCTGCAAGAACTTTAGTTTGCTGAGCAATTCTTCCCACAGCAGCATCAGCAAAACTAGGACCTGTTTTCACTGATTAAGAGAAGAAAGATTCAATTTTTTTGTATGAAGAAAAATACTAAGAGGAAACTGAGCATTAAAACATTAAATTGTTTGGATGTAGAATACGACTAGCATTGTTTTAGTACTCATTAATTCGACAAGTGATTTTGGAAAATAAATCCAGAGACAAGCTATAACTTCAATGGCCAATGCAAAACCCTTTCAGATATTCAGAGATGTCCAAAATTTTAGAAAATTTGATCAGATTTAAAATATCACTTCAATAGCCAATAGCTAACACTGCAATCACTATCAGATTGAATAACCAAAATTGTAGAAAATTTGATCCACTCAACACCCTCCGTTATAGTAGATATACAGCTGAAATAATTACAGACAAAGATAGTTACCAGTAACCATCTTTTTAGAACATCAACTATCACTACGACAAGAAGATCATAAACCATTTTAGAAAAGTCCAAAACCAAAAGTAACAATCTATTCTATGCAGAAGCATGTATGACATGACACTGAAGAAATCAAATTAAAAAGTGAAATTTACCATTGCGATTAACAGAGCAAAAACACTTAAAGGAAATCTACAGACTTTTAAATATACCAATAAACAAACGAAATGAATAAAATCGGAAGAAGACAGATACTCACAGTGTTGCCACATGTTACCAGCAAGATCCTCCGCCTTCTTGGTCGCCTCTGCCGCCTTCTTTCCCCATTTCCCCAACACATCCTTCACCGATTCCATCGTATCTGTTCAAAATGAACCACAAATTTCATTTATTTATTTATTTCCAAAAAAAAAAATTGCAACAATTGGCTAAAGCATTTCGCCAATTCGAACTCCAATCAAAAAACAAATGCAGATATACATTACTATATAGTTAACGAAGCTTACTCTTGGAGGAGGAAGAAGCAACAGGTGCCGGAGAGACGTAGGGATTAGACTCAGCAGGCATAGTAGTAGCAGCTGCTCCGGAAATCGGCGCTGGGCCTTCAGCTGGCTGTGGTGGGTGATCCGTGGCTCTTGACACGTTAGCCCAATTCTCGGCTGGAGGAGCAACGTCGTTTGGATCAAGCTTAGGGTAAGGCGCGTAGTCCGAGGGGTGAGGATTCTTTTGGTTGTCCTCGGGTTCCTTTGACTCTTTGGTATGATCGAGCTGCTGTTGCTGCTTCTGATCCATGTTCGTTCTGATCTAATAAAGAAGAGCAAAAGCTTTTGAAACCGAAGCTATGGCTTCTAGGACCTATCGAATTGAGGAAGGATTTTTGTTGCTTTTGTTTGGAGTTAGGAGGGTTTAATGGTGATGGAGGCTATTACCATTACCAACGGTTAGAAGGCAGACAGATTTGGATTTTCGATACAGAAGTATTTTGTTGTCCAAACGGTCAAATTGATTTTCTAGAGTATTCTTTTGGGGTTCCATTTTATTGTTGGTCTTACAGTTTTTGTCGTTTTTGACAGTTGAAGCCCACAAAAAGCCCATAAAGCTGCGTTGGGCATGGGGCCAATTCCCACAAAAGGGCATCTACGGCCCAATAAAAAAGGCTACACCTCCACATCTCTATGCCCAAAACAGCGAGTTAAAAAGCAAAGTGCTTTTTCTAGTATTTCTCTTCTTAAAATATTTGCTAATTCAGTGGAAATCAACCTATAATAAGAGAAGGATTTTCCTTTTTTTTTTTTTTTTATTACAGCCAGACAGTCAATACCTTATCAAAATCAAATTAATTGCTCAAAAGAAATCATTGTTGAGGTGTTGATAAACATCATTTGAAAGTTGCACCTAATTTGGGCAAACCCAATTACTTATATTTATTTTAACAAAATTTTATAGATATTATGAAATTACAAATTTCTTCACTATCTCATATTTAATCTAAAACTAGGTATCGTCAACAAGGAAAATTCATATCTTTTTTTTTCTTTTGATTTATTATTGTAATGTGTACTATTACTATCTCGACTCGAGCTATTTAAAGGGATAATGATTTCGATTCATAGAACCATCGGTTTTGATTCTTCCATAAGAACCAACTGCTCTAATTTAGTTTCAATTTCAACATGATTTCAATTGATTCCTTTTTTTTTTTTTTCTATCTTATTTTCCCGGCTGAAATGGCTAAAATCGGGCAATTCTAGCTGAAATGACGATTCTCAATTCTAACATTTGAAATCGAATCGGCTCAAAATTGATTAATTTCATGCCAACCTCGATATCATTTTTTTAGGTACGTTCCGATACGATTTCGATTTGGAGTTGACCCAACCGGCTTTTTTTATATAGATCATTCTGTACAAGGCCCAATAGCCTTTATATGGACTTTTATAGTCCTAACAAATAGACACAACATAGTTCAGAAAATTTTCATTTTCTTATTTGTTGTGTGGTGTTTTTATATTAATAATTAACGTGAATTTAAGAAAATAAATTTCCTCTAACTTTTTTTTATTTAAAAAATTTCAATGTGATCTTTCTTTTTCCTCAAAAAAAATAAAAAAACGTTAAATGGGCCAAACAGAAACTATCAATTAACAAGGTGAGCATTCCCAAAATAATAGAACAGACAATGTCGAAGGACTGCCAAACAATGAAACAGTAAAAGGTTTATCATCTATCATGGTGAGCTTACAATAATTGTAATAAGACATAAAAGAACAAGATTTATAAATACATGGTACTTACTTTTATTTCCTTTTTTCTTTAAATTAATGAATGCTTCATTAAGAATCAATGTCATAAGTACTACTGAAACAAGAAAGATTCCCATAGTTGGAAAAATTTTAAAATAAAAATTAAATAAGGGAACCAAAAATTTTAAAGCATAGAAATAAACAGTGCATTGATTCCTGAGTGTGAGTTTTTTAGACAAAATAGCAATTCAATTGTCATTAGAACTGTTTCAATTTAAAAGAAAAATGAATTTTTTTTTAAATAGATTTTCTTATTGGATTCTTATAATGATGGTTTTCTTGTAAGTTCAAACTAATTGCATGCATGGGAAATTAAATAGAAAATAAGTGAATAAAACCAATATTAACAAGATTAAAAAGAAAAAAGAGGGAAAAAAAATTGTCAATATAGACAAATAAAAGACCGACAGAGGTTATCACCCTCCTAAAATTTTCAATTTGTATATAAATATAAACGAATATTTTTATGTCTGCTCAATCTAAATCATGTATCCGTTACGGTCTATTCTTATCGTTAATTTTATAATTAATAATTGAAAAATAGGAATTAATTATATTGTAATTTAAGCGATGGTCGGTCCCTAATAGTTCGATTCTTATTTTGAAAATAAGAGATATGAAAATATTATGGTCCCACGTAGAGTAGAATAAAACTATTGATTCATAAAATTATGATGACAAACTTCCCTTATAATACAAAAGGTCAATGGAATTAAAACAGAGGTAGTTGTTATCTTGTAATTTTAGTGAGACCTAAAAGGTGATTAGACTTGAAAATTGGACATGCCACATTAGACCTTTAGTTTTTAGAAAGCTTCCAAGCTTTTCCTTATCACTATGATATGGATTATGATTCCTTACAGGGCAACAAGACAATGCATATATAATTTTTAATTAATTTATAATTAACATGATAAATTACAAGTCATGAGTTTGAATTCTATTTAAGTCTTATTTGTATCACAATTTTTTATGCATATGATTCTATTGGGATTATTGCTAATTAATTCAATTCTTTTTTTTTTATTAATATAGGTATCCTCGGCTTATTGGGCTAGAACCAAATCATGCTCGCACCGGATCGGTCCACTAAAGGGTGAAGTATTTTCAGTGAATATTTACTTCATTCATGATGATTAAACCTTCGAGCTCACTTAAAAGGAAAAAAACGTGGAACCGCTCATCACAACACTCGCCGGTATTAATTTAAATATTTTAACGGACATGGCACTTGCAATTATCATTATTTGAAATAACTTCCAAAATTTTTTCATAGCAGATAGATTTTTTGATAGATAATTAGAGAGTTTGTTTGGAATTGTGATTAAGGACATTGATATAGTTAAAGAGTCATTTCCTAGAAACTGTGTTTTTGATTTGATATGTTTGTGCTCTAAATATTTTCATGATTCATCCACCTTAATACAATACATGTAGTAATGAACTAATGAAGGGACTTCTCTCAATAATGTTTCAACACTTCGTTTCCCCTCATTTTTTCTACCAAATCCACTCACATATTTATAAGGAAGAATAAAAGCAAAAGACAAAAACATAATTGACAAACTCTAACATATGCAATTCCTATTTAATCATAATTAATTAATAAAGAAGCATAGCGGAATAAATTATTGCGGGAAAAACACATATAGTCTATAATTTTTTTTAAAAAAAAAAAAAATCATCTTTTAATTTACTATTATCATACGAAAAAATGATTTTAAACTTTAATATATATATATATAAAAAAAACCTACTTCAATCACATATTGTCTCTTAATTTTATTTAATTAACTTATTTATTATTTTGTCCATCTCAACTGTTTGATGAGTTATGATTATTTATATCTTTAATCATTCAAACGTATCAAGACATGGGCTTTTACCCACTTGCTAAAAGTGAGGAGAAAAATTGAAAAATGTTTTAACTACCCCATAACCTAAAAAAGGTATGGATGATCTTTTTTTTTTTCTTTTTTTTTTTTTTTAAAAAAAATGATCTTTTTTTTTTTTCTTTTTTTTTTTTTTTAAAAAAACAAAGGATACATAATTGTTAACAATCCCAATTTTTTTTTTTCTTTTTTTTTTTTTTTAAAAAAAAAGGATACATAATTGTTACAACCCAATATCAATGAATGCAAAGATTAACCGAAAAAACCCACAAAGTAAAAAAAAACTTACTGAGGGTTTTGAGTAAAGGTGAGATTGCATAACAAGTAAAAAACTAGAATAGAGAGGACGGTAAAAAAAAATTGGTTAAGAGTAAAATTTACATAACAAGAGAGAGAGAGAGAGAGAGATCTAAGATTAGATCCAAAGTGTAAGAAGGACAAATGATGCTAACCTCAGCAACACCCAAAGAAAAAAAGATGAGTTCAATCACATCCACTCTCCTTTCATTTTATTTGTTGATTAATTATTTATTTGCTCATAAGTATTATTTAGCCTTCTTTTTTGCCCTTTCTGCACTAAAGAATAACAAAGAAGACAGCATAGTAGATTGCACAAAATGAAATAGGAAAGAAAAAATATTTTATTCATACATTTTTACATAATTAATTACTTTGTCTTTATTTTTTAAAAATTATATTATTTTATTCTTATAATTTATTCATGTTAAATGAAAGTATCATTCCATCCATTATGTAAGATTTAAGTCGTTAACGGATTTAGGTTATAAATAATGTATTTTTTTTAACTACGAGGACAAAGTAATTAATTATATTAAAATATAGAGACAAAAATGTAAGTTTTTTATTTTAGTTTATATGTATGTAGGGTTAATCCAATAATCTTACCGGCAATTAACGACTTAAATCTCAAATAATGGATGAAAGAATAATTTCATTTAACGGATTCAAACTACAGGGAAAAATAGTGTAATTTTTAAATTAGAAGAACAAAGTAATTATTATGTCAAAATATATGGATAAAAATAAACCTTTTCTAAAAAAATAAGAGTGTTATTTTTGTCCCTATATTTTTTATATGATAACCCAAAAAAAAATTGTTTTTCAGAAATTTATTTAAATTTATTATTTACATATAGTAACATTGTAACTTGTTTACAAATGATACTCAAGTAATGGTGAAAGTTAAAAACAGACCAACTAAATAAAAATGAGAATAATTTCATTTTAAGGGAAAATTATATACAAGGACATATTACTTAATTTACCATATTAACGATAAAAAACTTGAATCCGAGATCATCTATTACTAAAAATAATCAATTAACGTGTTAATTATTCAACACTTGATTAAGCTATGGATAGTGATATTGAAAATTAAAAAAAAAAAAAGAAAAAAAAGTTAAAATACTTAATTGATAAAAAACTAGACAAAACAAAAAAACAAAATTTTCAATTTTTTATTAATAGATATATGTATTTTATCTTGTAATTGTATGTTTTTTTTTTTTGAGAAATGACATTATAACGTTAATTGATAATAATTATTTCAGAAAAATAATCCACGAGCTGGAAAAATTAAAATAGGTACAAAAAAATATATTATATTTTACAAAATCATAGCAAGTTATATTCCGCGAAGATAGAGCGCGTGGTGAAGGCACTAATCTGAGTGTGCCATGTCAGCTGTGTCAGCCTTTGGTCGAATAAAGTCCTTGAAGTTTCAGGAAGTACTGGAGTTTGATTGGAGCGTGTCATTTACCTTCCTTGTAAAGCGTAGACATATAGGTCTCTCATACTCATTGAAAAATTAGAAGAATATTATCCTTCCTTTTTCTTTCTTGTGAAATTATCATTTCATTTCGTTTATTTAAAAGTAAACCCATTCCATTTTTTTTTTTTTTTTTTACTTTGTTACCCATTGACAAAGAAATTATCCTCCCTATAGCCACTGGTAATGCTCCAATTCCTCACTTGCAAGTTGCAAATTAGGCTTTTTTTTTTTTTTTTTAATTTGCGCATGTATTTTGATGTGTTTTTTAATATTGAGGAAGAGAGATTCGAACATGGATCTATTGTCGACTTGTATATGCATTTACTACTAGGTTATGTTTTGGTGCATTTTGATGTTTGATTAGTGTTAAAATAAATAGATATATTACAAATGGTTTCTATCTAAGATTTATCTTTACTTGAATTATTAGATTATTATGTGGTAAAAATTAGGAATTTTACATATAAAGATTATAAATTGGTAAAAAATTCTACTTTTTTTGAGAAGAAAATTTATAATTTTCAAATTGATGCAATATAACCATTCTTGAGAATGTGAACTATAAGCAAAATAATATTTCCAATGCTCACAATACTCAATTTAGCTAAGACATTTTTCCTTTTTTTTCCCATTATATAAGGGAAAGATAAAATCAAGTGAAATGAAGACTTACTGCTAGAAATCCAATAAAAAGATATGAGAGACCTCAAAGAATAGGATGAGTAAAAAGTGGCAATTATCACATCAAGTAAGTTGATAAGGCGGCACAAGTTTTTTTTTTTTTTTTTTTCCCTTTTTTTTTGCGCAACAAGTTTTTCTATTGGGTAATTTTTTTTTTTTTTTTCCCTTGTTTTTTCCCATTATATATCAAATAATCAACAGAACCATTGAATTTTTAAAAAAAAAAAATTAAGTAAAAGATTTTTAGAAATAACATTTCTCTTTATAATTAATAAGATTAGACAAGCAATTATAAGAATTAATTTCATCATCTGAGAATTTCTTTTCTTTTTGATTCTTCATGAGATTGATAGCAAAATTTGAATCTGATTGATGATGACCTTAAGCAAACCTTTAAGCCCCTCCACTAAAGTCAATGGCTCAGAGCTCTCATACAACAACTAGGTTTTAGCCTCTAATTGGGCTAAAGCCACCGAGAATCCGCCAGGTGAAACTAAAATTACAAGAACTCAATAATTAAAAAAAAAAAAAAAAAAAAGAAAAAGTATTAAAATATCAAAGAGGAGTGTATAGGGGTAATTCTAACAATAATACCGTTTGCAATTTAAACAAGATTTTTAAAAAAAAAAGGGAAAAAAAAAAAAAAAAAAAAAAAAGAAGAAGAAAAGTATTAAAATATCAAAGAGAGTTATAGGGGTAATTCTAACAATAATACCTTTGCAAATTTTAACAAGATTTTTAAAAAAAAAAAGGGAAAAAGGAAATTAGCAGAAAAAGATAGTAATTAAAGGACAAAAAAGCATGTAAAAAGAGGAAAAAAAAAAAAAAAACTCCCAAATAATGGAGGAGAAGTGTGGAGAGCCATTGGATATTGCAGATGAGAGAGAGAAAGAGGCATGGAGAATCCCAATGCTCAGTCTATCAGACATCACAGCCTACTCTTCACACCCTCCTGTCACCAGTTATACTACTAAACTAATCTCTTCCATTTTCTTTACTTCTTCTCTTCTCTCCTTCTCTTCTTCTTCTTCTTCTTCTTCTTCTAATCTTGAAAAGCTCTTACCTTTATTTACCAAACTCACTGCTCATCTCCTTCTTTCTGACTAAAATCCCTTTCATGATCTGAAAATCTGAAAAACCAATAAGAAACAATTTTTTTTATTATTATTTTATGATCATCAATAAAAAACCTAGATCAGATACTGACTCTCAAACCCCTAATTTCATGAGAGAAGATCGAACTGAAATGTCTGAAGACGACAACCGATCTCCGCCGTCTGATTCTGTTACTAATTCTGATTTATCTTCTAACAAGACCCAAACTTGCACTTCTGGGTGTGGTTCTAGTTCCGGGTCTAGCTCCATACCCGAATACCAAGCTCCTTATCCTGACCAGGTTCTTGAAAATGTCCTCGAGAATGTTCTCTGCTTCTTGACCTCACGCCGGGACAGAAACGCTGCCTCATTGGTCTGTAGGTCTTGGTATCGTGTGGAGGCGCTTACACGATCCGAGCTCTTCATCGGGAATTGTTATGCAGTCTCTCCACAACGCGCTACGGCGCGGTTTGCTCGAATCCGGTCCCTGACATTGAAGGGCAAGCCCCGGTTCGCTGATTTCAACCTTATGCCTCCTCGATGGGGGGCTCACTTTGCGCCATGGGTTTCTTCTATGGCAAAGGCATACCCTTGGCTCGAGAAGGTTCACTTGAAGCGGATGACCGTGACGGATGATGATCTTGCGCTGCTTGCGGAGTCATTTTTGGGATTTAAGGAGCTTGTGCTAGTGTGTTGTGATGGGTTTGGCACTAGTGGGCTTGCTGTGGTTGCTAGTAGATGCAGGTATGTGGGTTTTTGATTTTATACTGGTGTGTGTTTATATATTTTGTAGTTTATGTTAGTAATGGCAGAGTAGATCTGGTTATAGTGCTGGCTTTTTTAGGAAAGTTTGAAACTTTTCTGGGTTTTGTTTTATTTTGGTTATTGTTTGTAATTATATGACAAAGTCTAAGTAGAAGAATTTGATTAGCATAATAATTTTCTGGGTTCACATTTGTAGAAGGCATGTTTAGATCTGTGTTGTAGTTTGAAACTGATCAAAAGTTTGTTCATTGAGGTTGGGATTGTTGCTTCTGATCTGTTTTGTTTATTGCGATTTGATAACAAATGTAAACCTCAACAATGCCTTTTCAAATATTGGGATGTTAAAGATATTATTCAGAACTTGCAATGACGAAGGCTGTTTGATTCTGTAATTATGACCATGTTTTGTGGATTTTTACATCTTTTGTACAGACAACTGAGAGTGCTTGATCTGATTGAATCTGAGGTATCAGATGATGAAGTTGATTGGATTTCGTGTTTTCCAGAGAGTGAAATGTGCCTCGAATCTCTGATTTTTGATTGCGTAGAATGTCCAATCAATTTTAGTGCACTGGAAAGGCTGGTGGCACGGTCACCATCACTGAAGAAAATTAGATTGAACCGACATGTTTCAATTGGCCAGTTATACCGCCTCATGGTCCGAGCTCCACAACTTACTCATCTTGGAACAGGCTCATTTCGGCCATCAGAGGATGTGGCTCAGGGAGAACAAGAACCAGATTTTGTATCTGCATTTGCTGCTTGCAAATCTTTAGTTTGCCTATCTGGATTTAGGGATATACTTCCGGATTACTTACCAGCAATTTACCCTGTTTGTGCCATTCTCACTTCTCTAAACTTAAGCTATGCAAATGTTACTGCTGAACAGATTAAACCAATAATAAGCAATTGCTATAAGCTTCAGATTTTCTGGGTATGTGTTATAATGTGCCATCCTTTTTTTAGGCAATGCACTGAATTGGGTGATTTGAAGTGATGTTGGTTTTGTTCTGCAGGTCCTTGATTCAATATGTGATGAAGGACTACAGGCTGTGGCTGCAACGTGCAAGGAACTCCGAGAGCTGCGGGTCTTCCCTATTGATGCTCGGGAGGATAGTGAAGGCCCTGTTTCTGAAGTGGGCCTTCAAGCAATTTCAGAGGGTTGTAGAAAGCTCCAATCTATTTTGTATTTTTGCCAAAGGATGACGAATGCAGCTGTGATTGCCATGTCTAAGAACTGCCCAGATCTAGTGGTGTTCCGTCTTTGTATAATGGGGCGCCACAGGCCTGATCATGTCACTGGAGAACCTATGGATGAAGGCTTTGGAGCTATTGTCATGAATTGTAAGAAACTCACACGGCTTGCTGTATCAGGTTTATTGACTGATAGAGCTTTCAATTATATTGGAAAATATGGGAAAACAGTAAGAACCCTGTCTGTTGCTTTTGCTGGGGACAGTGACATGGGGCTTAAGTATGTGCTTGAGGGCTGCCCTAGATTACAGAAGCTTGAGATTAGAGATAGTCCATTTGGGGATGCAGCCCTGCTTTCTGGTCTACACCACTATTACAATATGAGATTCCTGTGGATGTCTTCTTGTAAATTAACTCAAGGTGGTTGTCAGCAGGTTGCTCGAGCGCTACCGCATCTGGTGTTGGAAGTGATTAATCAGGAAATTGATGAGGACATGGATAGTAATGTTGATACATTATACATGTATCGATCTCTGGAAGGGCCAAGAGATGATGCGCCAAAATTTGTTTCCATCTTGTAGGAATTTGTGCTGCAGGAAGTTGTATCAGATGTTCTTAATGTCAGCTATTGGACAAGTGGCAAATGTTTTTTGCTTTTGCGGGAATGTCTGAGTTCATTAAGAACTAGTTATATAAAGCCCTGCAAGAGAAGGTCAATATTTGTATCAGAGAAAGTTTAGCAAACAGCTTCTGTCCTTGCCCTGTGATGTTGAAAATGAATTCGTAGCAGAAGCTATATGAAGGACCACAATTTTTTATTTGCTTTGGTTCTTTAAGAGGACTTGATCAAGGAAGTGCTAGTTCAGAAGATAGATCACTGTGTAAGGATTAGATCATTGGATCTTGTTGTATTGTTAAGCTTCTAAATTTTTATGTTTCTTTTTTGGTGTCATATTCATTTGATCATAAAGGACAAGGCGGCCAGAGAAAAGGGATATTTGGTATCAAGGTACATAAGAAATCCAATGGCCAATGGGAAAAATTGTGTACCATTTGATATAAAGAAATCAAGATGGGTTCGAATCATGTTAGATTTAATGTGTATCCTGAGGAAGCTTTTCTTAAACATTAATGCCATCAGCCAGAGCAAGAGCGAGAAGAAAGCAAAGCATTCAACTCTTCGGGAGAAGTTTAGTCAAATCTTATTCTTGAATCAGATGTGGTAGCTAGTCTAAAGCTGTAGCTGGTGAGAACCTAAATGCCCAGATTGATCCATCTCTCTGTCTATCTCTATCTCTCACTTTCTCTTTCTCAACGTTTGTTTTCTTAAGATGTGATGTTGTAACACCTGACTGTTGAATTTATTATTGTTATTGTTAGCCAATGTTGAGATGGGTAATAAATGCCAAATATTCATATGAATGGACCGTATGACTTCAGTGAGAGACTTATCCTTTTTTTAAAAGATATATATATATATATTTACTTTCTTTGAATGTGGAATGATCCAATTGACTATGAGGGCCATTAATTATGTATGGAAAGTGTTAGTACGAGTACATGTTCAAGGCCCTCGATAGTCCATTACCATTAATTTGATGAGGAACCCATTCCTATTCTTTAAGGGTATTGATCTGATCATTTCTCATATGCTGAAGTGTCTGTACTTTATTGAATTAGCAGCTTGGATTAGTTCTCTTGGTGTACTACACTTATATCTATGGTTGTGTGGTGGGACCAAACATTTGATGATTTGTCACACCCCTGTGTTTGCGTTATAAAGCAGCTAACTCCACCAATGCTGTGTATCTGTGTAAATCTCTCTCACACACATACACATTATTAGCAGAGAAATGTAGACTATATCTATATGGCTTGTTTGTTGGTATTCTGTGTGGCAGGAGGGTAAAAACCAAACTCATCATCAACGTGGGATCTGACTGTGCAATTGAATAAGTAATGGGAAGCAAAGCTTAGGCTTTTCTTTCTTGTCTTTCTATCCATTTTGTGGGCGTAGCATAGAAAAGCAAGTGGACAAAAATCTCTCTGTGTATTTCTCTTTTGCCCACAAACCCATTGCTAGACATTTTGTGAATCATTTGTGTGCTTACCTGAAGTACCAGTTCTCAACAGTTAAAGGGTAAGATGGTGTTTGTTTCTCATTTGTGGGTTCAACATAAAAGATAGAAGAAATAAAGAGACAAGCATTTTCAAGTCCTTGTACTACCGTTCTTACTGCTACTATGGTGTGAAGTGTGAACATTTGAGTTTTGTTTTTTATATTTTTGTTCTTTGATTATATTATTAATTTATTATCTAGAATATGATATGGATTTGAATTATCTTTTTGAGAGCTTGTTGTCCCTAGAGAAGAGAAAAAAAAGGTGACATGAAGAAATTGATAATGACCTTACACATAGATAGGGCCAGGAAGGGATTGGCATCATTGAAAAAAAAAAAAAAAAATGGCCCTTAGATAATGTGGAATTGTGCTTCTCTTTCCCTTTGGTGATAGAACTAGCTTACCTACTAGACATGTCTTATCTGTCTATCATTTGATAGAGAGACTTTCATTTAATTGAATGGTCATGATTGAATCAACCACATCACACCACCACTCCATCCATTTTCGAATTTTGGTTGAGCACATGCCTTCCACTGTTTGCTAAGCAGGTGCATCATTATAATAAATTTATAATAAATTAATGCTTTATTTATTAAGTTTTAGCTTCTTAGTACTGTGCTTTGTGGTGGATGCCCATCTTAAAAACCATGTCCCACCACCAGATCAATCAATCTGTGGGCCACGTGTACGGTATGGGAGGTGGGATACATGAATGGCTTAAAATTAGTAAAATTTGAGGGTGTCATATAATCATGCGTTTAATAATAATTAATATCATTTGTTTTTGATAATGGAAGAAGGATAATCAATGAGAAAAAGAAACTCAGCTAGTACCAATCAGAAAAAACCAACTACTAATATATTAGCAGCTGTTTAATCAGTCCAGTGGCCAGTAGCTGGTGGAGGTGCAGGTGGAGGTGGAGGTGGAGGTGGAGGAGGTGGTGGTGGAGATTAAGAAAAGATCATCGTTGAAGCCAAAGAAAATAAATAATAATATTAAAAAAAAGAGTGGTTTTTCATAACTTTTCTGTTAAACACATTCATGGCTGAACTAAGCACGAGGTCAACCACCAAAGTATGCTCTCTCGTGCTGCTCCACTTTATTTTTTTTTTTTTCCCTCTATGCACTGTTTATTGTATCTTCATTTTTCTTATTCTAATATTTTTCCCCTGCACTATTTCGATTTTTGCAATTGAGTCTTTATTTCCCATGGTTTTATTTGCCAATTTCTTGTACATATATATATTTTTTCCCTCTATGCACTGGTTTATTGTATCTCAATTTTTCTTTATTCTAATTATTTTTTCCCCCTGCACTATTTCGATTTTTTGGCAATTGAGTCTTTATTTCCCATGGTTTTATTGCCAATTTCTTGTTACAATATATTATATATATAGTATATATATATATTTTTAGTATAATGTGTAAATTATATTTTTAGTATATGTGTAAATTCACATCCATCTGAAACGACAATTTTCTAATAGCAGTGATTTTTAAGTCTCAGAATTTTTAACCTTTCAAATAAAATTTACCTTAAAATATAATTATTGTACTTTTGTAATATATAGACTAAGCAAAGCATCTCTTGCATTAGTAACAATTTTGACAGGAACCATTGGTTTTTTAATTTAACCATGGATAACTCAATGTTTTACTCTGATAGTAAATATTAAATCTTTGAACTTTTTTCAGGTGTGAATGTTATTAGAGTATCTCCAATTGATTAAGAATTTAATTTTATTAGGTTCAAATCCTTCAGCAAAATTGTGTACTGTGACTTTAATTATCATTTGTCACCCTTTTAAAAAAAAAAAAAAAAAGAAAGAAACAACTGTTTGTTGCCGACAAAAAAAAAAAAAAAAAAAAAAAAAAAGAACAACCTGTTTGTGCCGACAAAGCAAAAAAAAAAAAATAAAAAAAAATAAACGGAGTTTTTGATGACAAACATAATTATAGTATATTAGTTAAGTAAAATAATGGTATCAAATTTATATTTAGAGCAAGTTAATAAGAAGAACGTGAACACGGGTTTAAAAAAAAAAAAAAAAAAAAAAAAAAAAACGTTTTGATGACAAACAAGTAAATAAATTTGGTATCAATTAATTTAGCAAGTTATAGAAGAAACGTGACACGGGTTACCGCATGCGAGAGCGAGACATACCTGAAGCCTCTTGTTCTACTAGGAAACTTTGCCAAACATGGGATTCTTTTCTATGCATCTTCTATCTAATTAACAAGTTTTATTATGTCAAAAAGATCACAATTGAAGAAAACGATATATAACTAATTCTTTTGGAAATTATGGACAAAACAATCATATACAAACAACAACACATTCTGACACAAACCCAATTCTTTTGACCTGAATTGGACATAAGCATCTCATTAATTACTAATTAGGGTTATGCTACTAGTACTGTTTTTCTTTGCAATTTTGAGGAAGAAAAAAAAAATGTAAACAGCATCTTTTAAAACTCTCTACTGTGCATAGTTTTTCCAAAAATGTCAAATTCAAATCTCTCTTCTTGATCAATACTGCTAATATATATGGGCATGGTTTTAATTGCAAGAATACCAAGGTCAAGTATAAACGTTACTATAATCAAACGTCAAAACCTCAAAGTAAGAGCGGGTGATATGTTTGACGCTGAAAGATGCTTTCTTGCTTTCCATGCACCCATGCATGCATTTACACTCCCCAAAACATATCCTCCATTTTAATGTCAAAGAAAGGTTCAGTACTCCCAAGAAAGAAACAAGAAAGTTAGTGTGTATTACGTAATCTTTGGTTGGATTATAATTATTTGTTTGGATCCGATTAGAGGAATAAGCTAAGTGGCAAGAAGCTCCTTATAATTCTTGTTAAATGGGAGTATTATTTTTTATGCTCTCTTTATTTTAAAAAATAATTCTTGAAATTTTAAATACTCAAAAAAAAAAAAAAAAAAAAAAAAAAAAAAAAGTCCAAACATGTAACCTTATACTAAAAAGGAAAATATTTTCTTGATATTGATATATTTTACGAATAATCTTATAGGTTAGCATTTAATAATTCATTAAATCATATCTGAAAATCAATTTTATCAAATCACTAAATAATCTCTACCTGTCATCATAAATTTATTTTTTCACATTCAACAATAAATTTTGTTATTCAAATAAAATAATAAACTTTTAAAAATAATAAATTTTATAATTCTAACATATTTATATATTATGACTTATTAGAATTAAAAATTTTTATAATTTAAGTTAATTTCAAATTATTGGAATAATATAAATAACACAGATAAGTGAATTGTTTTGAAAAATATTTTAAGGAAAAAAAAAAAAAAAAAAAAGTCCAAACATAGTAACTTATACAAAAAGGAAAATATTTTCTTGATATTGATATATTTACGATAATCTTATAGGTACATTTATAATTCATTTGATCATCTGAAATCAATTTTATCAATCACTAATAATCTCTACCTGTCATCATAACAATTTATTTTTTCACATTCAACAATAAATTTTTATTCAATAAAATAATAAACTTTTAAAATATAAATTTTATAATTCTACATATTTATATAATCTTATAAATTAAAAATTTTTATAATTTTAAGTAATTTCAATATTGGAATAAATATAAATAACAGAAAGTGAATTGTTTGAAAAATATTTTTAAGGACAAGTTATTTCTGTAAAATAAATAGAGTCTAATCAGTCAAATATATTGTACATTAAAAAATATCACAACCCAGTTTCTGATGACAAGAAGCAATTGAGAGTAAGGAGACAAAATACCATCGCTCTAAGAAATACCCTATGCGGACCTAACGAGTCTTTGTATAAAATCCAAGACATGTAGGGGTCCTCTCTCCCTCTGTTTTTATCTATTGATAGGAGACACCATAATACTTGTTGCTTCAAGATGGATTGAACACCACTACTTTGAATCTTTCTTTTCTACCCACAATTCAAAAAAGATTTTAAAAGTTCCTATACCCTAAAGCTAGCTATAGAATTGTACCATGCATCTTCCTCTGTGATCCTTTGTTCTCCTAACATAATCATCTTCCATGAAAGATTGTCTTTAAGTTTTTGCCAAGCTTTATGGTTGTATTTTGAATACTAGAAATAGATTTCAAGGAAATAATAATAATAATTGAGCTAACCCCACAATTAAATCAATAATTTAATGATTAATTATCTCCAGTCCTTTTTTATTGTAAAAAGATTAGGAACTCAAATCATTTACAGTCTTTTTCCTTTTCTGGTTAATTTCATGTTGCCCGCGGTACAAATTCAACCTTCCAATTGCCTCTAAATATTTAAGGAAAGAAACATTTTATTATATTTGCTTTTGTTGAATAACTTTTAAGAATTTATTCCCAAATATTTGCCAAATTTATCCGGATTTGTGGAGAATATATATTTTTTAAATCAATTAGAATGTGTGCGCGCGTGTATATATATAGGAATAATGTCCCGTAGGAATACGGTTGACAATGATAGTTGTGAGGGGGTAATCAATTCAATCATCCGCCAAAAGCAAAAGCATCCAGAGTGAACAACATGTATTAGGACATTCCTTTCAGGTAAAAAAAAAAAAAGACACTTCCTTTTAGGACATTTTTTAAGGCATATCTCAATTCTCAAAATGTTGAAGACGTGGCCACTTACTCAGCATTAGGTCAAACTCCATTAATGGTTGGTTCCTCAACTCTTCTTCTATGGTGAATGTTATATTTTGGAGTCAAAAAATGGCCTACAAAAAGAAAAGGATTCCTTAACCTCTTCCAATGCTTATGACTCGTGAATTTTGATCAAACAGCTGTACCCACTTAGGAGATATTATAAAAAAAAAAAAAAAGAAAAAGAAAAAGAAAAAACACATACCCTCAAAAACCTATCAATAGATATAGAATATACTAATCATTTATCCTATACAACTCAAAAAGTTTCCCCCGCCTCTAGTTCTTGGATCTCTAGTGTGATGCACAATGACAAGAAAGGAACAGGATTTCTAAGGCCCTGAGATGTTCGATATTTTTCCACTTACCCCTCCCTCCTTTGAAAAGAAAGTGGTGTGGTCACCTTAGCATCAAAAAATAAATTGGCCTTTCAGAAAAGAATAGTGTGTCAGAATTTGGCTTCAGCTTCTTGGTCAAAAGAACCTTGAAAAGCAACTCCTGATATTTTTTCCTGGTGGAGCCCGGTTTGGTCAGGATCAACGTTAACCTCCCCCAACCAAACCAATTCCCCATTTTAATTTTTAAATATAAAATCATCAACAAAAATCCATTCAGGAAACTCCAAACTTTGTGACATGCTTGCACTGATTTGAAAGCATCTTTGCATAAAAAGACTACAAAATTTTCCACTTTACCTTTCTGCTTTATCTATATAGGGGGAAAAATATGACCAAAACAACGGATGAAAAAAAAATTGCCCGAGTTACACACACCATATCATTGGAACAATGCTTTAAATAATGGAATTCACAAATCATTATCAACATTTTCCATCTCAGGGCCCAAGCATGAGGATGCAGTTTAAAGAAAGCTTAACAGATCCAGCAATAAAGAGGCTTACCGTTATAAATGTTGCAAATTCACCTCAGCATTTGGAGCATTCAGACTGTTAAACTTTCATGCAACTGCTGCCAAGCCCACGAAGAGAGAGAGAGAGTGCCGTTATGTTCAAAAGATAGCTCTCTAACTTGCACTTCTCTAGTAAAACCTTAATGAGGATGATTTTGAAGGTTTAATGGCTCATACAATAGAACAAAGGCTGTAAACTTTATGCCGCACAAAAGAAAGCAATGGCATGACTGGTTAATCTAGGGTGAAGTTCAAAGACCTGATTTACTCGGGGAAAAACTCAGTGGGAAGACAGCCAGAGTGGAGGAATGGATGCTAAATGAGATGATGTTCAGGAGAAAACTGTGACCGTAGTTTTCAAGCAATTATAATTTCTAATATATTAAGAATAGTTCAAACCATTTCTTTGAAATCATGTTAAAATCTTTAATCTGCAGGCTGCAGACAGTAAATAATAGCAGAAGCAACAACCTAAATGATACCATCCACTACCTTTGGCACATCTTTCGTCCTTCACTGTGTTATTATCCGTAATTGCTCTTTCAATAGACTGTAATCCCAAACCCAACCCTCTAGCTATTCACCTAAAAGCTTATACCTGCACAAAACCATATCCATAATCATATTTCAGTTATTCTGCTTCCTCATCGAGTTGCAATTTATTATGCTTATGGCTGAATGCACTCCTCGAATGCTGCAAATATATCAATTAAAGACTTCAATGAGAGGGCGAATTAGTGTGAGCATGCACTCAACTAATTAAACAAAATATATGAACACAAAGGAGCAGATAGTGAGATACCAACAAATCATGAACTTCACAATGAAGAAGCTGAAAGTACTAGTCAGGGAGCCAACCGCACAATTTTCCATACTTGTTTCCCATTGATCTCTTGAGGAACATATTGCAACCTGAAAAGAGAGCAATATATTAGCAATGGGGCCAAAACAAATCTTCTTGGCTGGAAATCCCACTTCCCATTTTCAAAAACTATTATATATCCATTGAATAACCTGATTGAAACTTCCCTGTTACTTATCATTAAGTAAAATTTTTTGGTTCATATGGAGGCTACACATACACAACAAAGTGTAGCCCATTTCATAGCCCTCATCATATTATTGAAAATTTTATGGATGATGGTGGATGAGGGGTCTTGAGGCTTAGAAAACAACAACACCCCCCCCCCCCCGGCTTAGAAAACAACAACACCCCCCCCCCCCCAATAAAAATAAAAAAAAGAAAAAAAAAGAAAAAAAAAAAAAAAGAAAAAAAAAGAGAAAGAAATGTGAGGATATGAGATAGGGTAATGTTTTGACTCCTCTGGCTAAAACAAGCATTCAATTAAATAAATACACAACACAAATGTGCTTTTTATAGAGCTTGGTGCAAATCCATATTGTACATGAACTTTGACAAGCAACACACAAGAGAAAGGGGGAAGTTGCACCCAAACTCCACATTGAACTGCATTCATATGGTCACTACAGAAACAAATGCAACATAGTAGTAGTCATCAGCCTTAGTTCCCAGGAATTCATTTATTTGGTTAGAAAAGCTTTACACAATCCTGAAGGTAGAAAAGCTTTACACAATCCTGAAGGTGAAAATACAAGGATCTAACAAAACTCATTCACTGGTCCTGAATCTGAGTTTACCCAATTCATAACTTCATGTTCAGTCCATACCCATGCACATTGTAACAAATCAAGCATTCAAAAGCTTGGATACACCATTTTGCCAATTGGTCTAGAGATTGAGCTTAAGCTGTTCAATCAATATTTAAAGACGTTATAGAAATTAATGCAGGAGTAGGGATGAAAATAACCTGTCGTGCAAGCGAGACTGCTGTCCTTGCCAAAACTCAAAAAGCTCTGGTTCAAGCCTGTATCCTCCCCAGTGCTTAGGTTTTGGGATCAAACTTCTGCACTCAGAAGAAAGGACAAGAGAAAAAGAGTGAAAGGAGGGACTTCCATCATCTTTGTTTTCTTCCAAGAGGTAATGAATTTGGATATTCTCTTTCAAAAAAAAAAAAAAAAGAAAAGAAAACAATGAAAATCCTTCAAAATCAAGTAACCATGAACATCTTAGTCATGATCTTTCATTTGAGGATAATAAACAAAGCAGTATGACATTTTTTTACAATTAGAAAAAGATGCTTGGGAAGTAAAACTTACATGTTAGAAAACTTCTCTTCTAACTCTTTGTATTGTTGGTGTAGAACATGTCTTCCAGGAACTATACTACTCTGGAGGAACAAAAAAAAAAAAAAAAAAAAAAAATAAAAAAAAACGTGTACTTGAAGGCCTTACAAACAATAGTCAGCATGTAATTGATACAATTTATAAACTGGAAAGTAAAAAGGAAACGCTGTTTGCAAAAAAAAAAAAAAAAAAAAAAAACGGTACTTGAGGCCTTACAAACAAGTAGTCACATGTATTGATACAATTTGATAAACTGAAAGTAAAAGGAACCTGTTTGCTAACTATTGCTCCAATCTGACTTCCTCGAGGGCGGCTATGGAAGTATTTTTCAGATTCCTCATCAGAGACTTTCTGCACAGATCCTTCCACTCTTACCTAGAAGTCACACTTAACAAAATGTTAGGCAATGGACCAACTCCTAGATGAACATGAAAACAAAAAATATTCCCCATTATTTTTGACACACTTCAATGGGTATAGAACACTTAGTGGGGCTTCAGAACAACACCAAACTTAGATCTAAAAGCCAATTAAAGGAATACCATAACAACAATCTCCAAGTGCAGGCAGATAATATTTTCATATGGGTTCACTAAATTATGACATTGGAAGCCAGTAAGACTAATGACATTGTCACTAATTAATAGTTGTTGCTCCACTTTCAAGTGTTCATTCTGTATATCCAAATCCAACATCTGCATTTGTTTGAGGTCCACTTATCTGATTTAACATGCTGGGACAAGACATTGGTATGTCTCACTTGGCAAATATCCAACGAAGACAAAATGCTCAATGGAAAGGGCAGGAATTTTTCAGCAATAACTGAAAAGAAGCATGAGAGAGGGAGAGGGAAAAACAGGACGGGGGACACCAAATTAGAAAAATACCACTAAAATTTCATCCATAGGTTACCAGATAGTAGATATATAGAGGTCCTATGATCCTTAATTTCAAAACTTACAGAACATATTTTGCTGCTTTCTGTTCATTCCCACATGGAGAAAGAAGGTTTATCATTATAGATATAGAACAAACACCTACACAAGCTATTCTATCAGATTTCCGCATTATGTATATGATTAAGTTGAATAAAGAATAGAACAACAGCATATAAGTTAGAAAGTTGAGAAAGAAGAAAAAGAAAAGAAAGGTCAACCTAATGACCAAAGCAAGTAATATGCATTACCTGCCGATTAAGACCATCCCAGTAGAAAAGGAGTGCTGCTCGAGGATTTTCTGATAATTCATGTGCCTTTCGACTTTCATAATTGGTGAACCTGTAAAGGTAAAAATTGCAGCAAGATCAAAACCAGCAGTTCTAGTCACAAAACAGGAATCTCATTGCTGCAATGATAGTGCCAGATTTACTAACCAGACAAACCCATCCTTATCAACTCCTTTCAACAATACCATTCTTGATGAGCTGTATTGGCAAGTAAGATAACATATGATCAATATCAGGTCAAAATCAATGGACAAAAATTGGTATTTGGAATCCAGCAGTTCCACAAGATAAAATAATGAAAAATGACAAGTACTTCGAAAAATATAGCCAATGTCATATAATAAAGTTAGATGGATTCTTTTGCTTCATTGAAGAGGGAAATGTACTTGCAGGTTTAAACCTCGATTCATATCTCGTTTTCATCCATAAACAATCCAATAGGATTTTTTACCATGAAATAAAAACTAAAGAAGCTTTATTCTTAAGACAAAAAACATTAAAGAGAAAATTTTATTACAAAATTCCTCTTATAATATACATATACCTCAAATGTAAAAGCTTAAAAGTGTAGTTGCACATTTAATACCCTATAAAAAAGTTGAAACAGATAAATTTAGAGCCAATAATGTCGTTCTCCAGTTGGTATGCTAGAGGGATTCTTTTATACAGGGTAGTGGCACTTTAGGAAAGTCCTAAGTAAAATCCCAAGGATAGAGAAAGGTCTTCATAGGAAAAACCTCTATTCAATGCCGTTCTCCTGCTGTATGTCTTTGGTAATATGTTTCTGAGGACCTCCCATAGCAAGTGTTAAGTATAAAGATATGATACCCATGTGGACCTAAATTAATTGAGTATAGTTTCTCCCTATGCATATGCTACAGTTTTGCATTTTGCTTGTCTTCACTAGCGTGCACCACAGACTTTTGTTAAACAAGCCACAGTTAACCATTTACCTATATGGAAATTAGGGTAGTTAGTTACATTTTACCACCCTGGTTGTTTTTTGGTTTCTTGATTTATTTTGTTCTCCATAAGCTTAATTAGAGCTCTGAGAGAGAGAAAGACAAAGAGAGGGTGGGGAGTGTTGAGAAAATGTTGGATGCAGAAGTGGAGTTAAAGCTGTGTTTGTCCTGCTTCCATACTATATCAGCATAGAAGAGTTAAGTTCTGGGGGGAGAAAATATTTTTTCTCTGTGCCATGACTCGTGAACTCCTGTACCAGTGAACAGATATCGCGACTGAAGACAAATGGATTAAGTAGCCCAACAATAATTTGTCTACCACTTTGGACAATTTATAAATGCAATGGCTTACATTAGCAATTCTAAGACACTTTTTCCTTCTGTTTTCAAGGGTCACTTTATAAGCCAAAATCAATTAAAAGAATCATTCTTCACTTAAGTTCATAAACATCCATGCCAATCAGTTACTTTATCCATTTGGAAGAAGGTAATGACTTTCAACTGATGAATAGCAGAAGAAGAAAAACTCACGGTTTTCCATCCTTTCCAACAGTTGACAAGCACATAGCATTTGGCTCTTTTAATCCAGCAACCACAGCATCATCAAACCATTTACGGAACTGCAAGATAGCAAATGGCATAATCCCTGACACAGTAAACTGACTCTGCAATGATCCTGACTAAAAAAGCAACCTTACCAACTACAAATGGTTCATTTCCTTGTTGACTTGCAAGCTTAAAAAAAAAAAAAAAAAAAAAAAAAAAAAAAAATAAAAAATGAAATAAAAAAACAAACACACAACTCAAAGTATTATTACCACATTCATTAATACGAACCTGATCAGATGGGGTTGCACTCACCTGCTCCTCAAGGAATCTTCAGGAGAATATAGTTCTCTCTAAGAGCTGACTATATCAAGGTTTGTTGGAGGTATTTTCCTATATTCGGGAGCCACTATAGACGTACCAGGATATGGTGGAAGACTGCAACTTATTTCTTCACAATAATGGTGGATATAATCTTACCACCTAGAATGACCCAGAAAAATTTCTATTAGCTACACAACTTTGGAGCAGTCCATAAGAGACCTAGGAGATTCAACTGATAGTTGCATTAACAAGATGGTTTTCACCACTAAAGAAATATTCACATTGTGTAAAAGATTGTAAAAATCATTTTTGTAAATTAATTGATCACAAGTTATTTCAGCTATTGAGTTTATCAGCAGGAAAAAAAAAAAAATAATGAAGAGTTAACTGGTGTCTGTTACATAAGCATACCATACATGTCAGGTTTAATTCCCTCACCACCAATACATTCTACCTTCTTCAACATGCCATCCAGATGGAATAGTGCTATGGAGGGACATACGAACTCTGAACGTCTTCTTCATGAACTTGCATTGCACATTATGTTCAAGTATAATCCATATCTTTGTATTATGATGCATCAATAAGGTCCTTGGGGCACCTGAAAATTGAGAATGTTCATTTAGAGAAAGAGATCCAAGTTAATACTATCGAGTCTTTCAGCAGTAAAATAATTTCATGAATTAGATGTATAATTTGTATGTTAGCAGGCATAATATAAAATATAACATTAATACAATCTAAATAAGAAACTCAGGCCAAAGATAGGTGGTGCTTGATAGTAGGTGATATGCATAGTTAAATCAATCAGAGGAGCTATTAAACATAGTCTAACAAGTCAAGAGCAAGTTAGTTGATTAATAATTACAAAATCTCATTGGAGAGATTGCACTCCAATATTTCCATTATTACTTAGATGGTTCTCAAGTGACTATATTGATTCAATAATGGTTTGATCTTAGTTACAATTTTATATATATATAACACATGGAGTGAAGAGCTATGATATAAAGCCCTTACAAAGTGGCTTTCAGTGCCAGCGTAATACAGACTTGAGCATAAAAGCAAACAAAAATGGAAAAAATAAATTAAATTTCTAGATAAAAAGAGGCAGTATTACCAGGTTAATTGATGAACCCAAACATTGCATCAACTTTAGGAATGTCATAGTCGCTTTGACAAGTCTCAAAGGCAGGATCTTTCCGGAGCTGGCCAAGAAGGGAACTGACAGCGACTCCAGCTACGAAAATTACTCAGTATTCAAATAAGTAATCTGATGTTAAGTGTAGTGCATCTGTGGTTCAAGTAAGGTTTCAATACTTAGATGATCACTCCACCTGAGTGACCCAGACCAGTGTAAAGTTGATCTTGGCAGTTTACGGCTTTGGGGATTAGCAAATATTACATAGGCTTGTATCCATAAGTGGATGTGCATGATGGCGTGAGGCAGCTACCAAATCCATTCAACCACCGAGTATCCCAGGGATCCTGATATTATTATGTCAAACGTAATATTACTCGCTGTCGGTGTTGTAATAACGCTGCAAAAGATTTCAATTCCAGTTAGAAATCCTGGAATCCAAGTTCTTAAAGTATCTCATCTGAGTATAGAATTGTTACTTAATAATACTATATTTCCCTCTCCTTTATGTCTTATAAGATTTTATGAGGTATTTTAATGCGTAGTGTCATACAGCATCATAACCTATAAAACTTACTATAGTAAAGCATGTACATGTGCAAAAAAAAAAAAAAAAAAAAAGAAAAAAAAAAACACACAACTCAAAAGTAACTACCACATCATTAATACGAACCTGATCGATGGGGTTAGCCTCCACCTGCTCCTCAAGGAATTCAGGAGAAATATAGTTCTCTCTCAGAGCTGACATATCAATTTGTGGAGGTTTTCCAATTCGGACACACATAGACGTACCAGGATATGGTGGAAGATGCAACTTAAATTTCTCAACAATAATTGGTGGGATAAACCTACCACCTAGAAAGTGGTGCGGACCAGAAAATTTCTTTGCACACAACTTTGGAGCAGTCAAAGAGACCTAGGAGATACTGAAGTTGCATTAACAAGATGGTTTCACCACTAGAAATATAATTGTGTAAAATTGTAAAATATTTTGTAAATTTATGATCACAAGATTTCAGACTATTGAGTTACAGCAAGAAAAAAAAAAAAAAAAAGATTACTGGTGTCTGTTACATAACATACCAACATGTCAGGTTTAATTCCCTCACCACCAACATCACCTTCTTCAACATGCCATCCAGATGGAATATCTATGGAGACAACAACTGAACGCTTTTCATGAACTTCATTGCACTTATGCAAGTAAACCAACTTTTGGATTAGATCATCAAAAGGTGGCCTTGGGGCACCTGAAACATTTGAGAATGTCAGTTAGAAAAGAGATAAGAATACATGAGCTTTCAGCAGTAAAATAATTTCATAATTAGATAAATTATGTATGTTAGCCAGGCAAAATAAAAAACATAAACAATTAAAAGAACTCAGGCCAAGAAGGTTTGCTTGAAGAGGTGAATTTGCATAAGTTAAATAAAATCAGAGAGCTTATTAAACATAGTCTAACAAGTTCAAAGCAATTAGTGATTAAATTACAAGAAATCTCTACTTGAGAGATTGCACTCCAATATTCCATATACTTGAATATCTTCCAAGACAATGAATAGCAATAATGTTGACTTGTTACAATATATATAATATACACATGGAGTGAAGAAGCTATGAAAAAGCCCTACAAATTTGGCTTCAGTGCCAGCGTGAACAGACTTGAGCAAAAGCAAACAAAAAAAAAGAAAAAATAAATTAAATTACAGAAAAAAGAGCAATTACCATGAAATGAGAACCCAAACATTGCATCAACTAGAATGTCAAAGTCCTTTGACAAGTCCAAAGGCAGATCTTCCACTGCCAAGAAGGGGACTGACAGCGACTCCAGCTACAAAATTACTACAATCAAATAAGAATTCTGATGAAGTGTAGCATCTGGTGGTTCAAGTAGGTTTCAAACTTGTGATCACTCCGTACCTGAGTGACCAGACCAGTGTAAAGTTGTTTGGCAGTACGCTTTGGATAGCAAATAACTGGCTTGTATCCAAAGTGATGCAGATGGCGAGCAGCTACCAAACCATCACCACCATTATTCCCAGGACCGCATATAGCAAGAACACGATTATACTCGCTCGGTTTGTAAACCTGCCAAAGGATTCAATTCAGAAAAGAATCCTGGATCAAGTTCTTAATTCTCACTGAGTATAGAATTGTTTTACATAATAATACTTATTTCCCTCCCTTTTATGGGTCTTATAGATTTTAGAGGTATTAATGCCGAGTGTCATACAGCATCAAACCTAAAAACTACTATTAGTCAAAAGACATGATTACATGTGTACATGTGCAAACTTTCACAACTGTAAATCCATTTTCCAAGCAAAGATGAACAAGCAACAAGACAAGTAAATTACAAGATTTGTGGTTGTTTGCCTATGATAAAATTTAACTTATGCAAAATGCTAACTTACACGAAATTAATAATCTAAGAAATAATGATTGCCTGAACATTTCGCAGAAACTATTTGCAAGAAAAATATTATTACTATAAATGAAGCAATACCTCCTCTATGGAAGTAGCAACGCTCAAACCAGCCAATTCCTGCAAATACCGTTAAAAACATTAAAATTAAGAATAGAGCGAGAAGGAATCAAATCATAAAGCTTCTAAAATCCAAATAAAAACAAAACGATAAGGCTTGTAAACTGACCATCAATTGATCCACGCTAAATCCGAGAGGTCCCATGAGCATCTCATCAATCTCCGCAGCTTCACGCTGCCTGAGGTAGGATATAGACTCTGGATTTTGAATGCTCTGCATTTCTCTAGTCGGTTCGCTTGATTTTGAACTGGAGAAACGAATTACAGAACTCGAACAAAATTCAGGACGCGGAATTGGACAAGTAGAACCCTAAAAGACATGTCGCCAGAATTTAGATGGCTAAACAGTGCAGTGCAGTGAGAGAGAGAGAGAGAGAGAGAGAGAGAGAGAGAGGAGGCTACGCTTACCCAGGCTTTTGAGGGGAGGGAGTTGTAGAGAAAGCGAGATGAATTGGAAATGGAAGAAGAGTTATTGCGCTGAGTGAGAGCAAGAGGGATTAACTGGCTAAGAAATAAACATGTCATTGCTCGGGTTTTGCGTATCAATATCATCGCTACGTTAACCAGATTATTCTTTATTCGTGCGTGTTACTGTGTTTCGCTCCATTCTGCGTAAATGTTGATTTTGCGCCGAAATCATTCGCGAATTGGGACGTTTCAACTGCAGTTGGGCCATTACCAATAACCACAGTATGCGGCCCGATTCGGATAATTTAAAAGACGCTTCAACGTAGAATGATTTTCAAACGTTATCCATTTAGAAGGTGGGTTTTCAAGCGGGCTGGATTTTGGAGGCCCTTGCCCGAAACTTGAAACGTTATAGGACTAGTCGACTGGACGGTTTTTCAAATCTTGGTCACAGAGCTCAGTTCGAAGATTTGATTATCAAGCCAAACCCGCTAGGTTCAGCAATGGTATAATTTTTATTTTTTCAGATTTTAGATGTTGCTTTTTGGGCTTTGTTTGATAATATTAGATGTTTAAGTAGTTATTGATTATTGTAGTATCAATCATGTTAATTGGATGTTAATTGGTTGTTAGCGGTCAGTAGTTAGTTGTTTATATAATCATATAAAGTATGAGTTTTCAGTAAAAATAATTATTTAATTAATTTTGATTGGTTGTTTACATATACAATAGTTTTAAAACATAAATGTTTAATTTAAATAATTTAAAAAGTTCATTAATAGAGATTACTATAAAAAGCATCTTCAATATTACACATGAAATGCTATTGTTTAATTGACACATCATGAAAAACAAAAATATATTTTTTGAAAAAATACTCTCCAATGCTAATATGTAAAAGTAATACATTAGAGAGAAATTTTTAAAATTTAATGTACTATAAATAAATATTTAATCACATCATCATTTTGCATGATGCATCATTCACAATTCACATCATCATTTTATATGACACATCATTTACAATCCACGTTAATATTGGAAATGCTTTTAATCATTAAATAGTATAATCAACAAATATAAAAATGGTGATTTGACAATAATGTCTTAAAAACTGATGTTGGTGATTGAGGTACCTGTGGAAAAAATTGTACTCAGTTACTAAGTAAAATAATATTATATGATAAAATGTTACAGGTTTGTCCTAGTAAATCCAACTAGAACACAAAATGATATAATTTTCTTTGTGCTACTGACAAAGTTATTTTGATTACATGTATTTCCGATCACTTGATCAGGCTAATCAAATCAGTAGCATCTGAATGGGGCAACGTATTTTCAATCTTCTTAATGAAGCTCAGCATAGTTTCTTGACTTGTTTCATCTGAAAGGAAAAGACAGACAACAATCATCTATTAGCAATCATAGTATTAATATAGTAGTATTTACCAATAGCGAATAAAAGATTATATTTTTAATTACCAAGTCTGGGTATGGTATGGCCCTTTGGATGGTGAATCACAACAGGTTCTACAAACGATTCCAAGAGCTCTAAACCATGCGGCTTCAAAAAGTCCGTCTCTCCTGCCAAAGACAAACCAATATCAGTAAATTAATGTACATTGTCCGAATATTTCTATTGACTATTGCAGTTTGGCATTTTTATAATGTTTGGTATATATATACCTAAAAAGTGAATAGAGGCACATTGAATTGGAGAGGCATATGCTTTTTCGGCCACGGATGGTGACTTGAACTTAGCTCCGCCAATTATTATCAGGAACTTTATTTTGGGTACATTCTTTAAAGCCACGCCCTGCAAATGGAATCAAAACAAAATAAAACCTTATTAATATGATGTTTAATTGTTTATAGCGAGCCATAACAGGAATTGAATTTACCATAAAAATGCTTTTGATTTTAATTATATTGCATTACAATTTACAACACGATGGAATTTGTCTCAAATAATAAAAAATAAAAAAAACCTATTTTATCAAACCTTCATTAATTACTAAATTAAAAGACAGAACGATAATTAATTACCTTAGCTTGCAGCCCCGCAAGCCCCGCCGATAGTATTGCTCCCTGTATCAATAATGCAATTGCCGTGAATTAGTTGGATTTAAAAAAAAAAAGAAAAAAGAAAAAAAACTTTCAAACATCTAATCGCATACGGCATCCAAAAAAAAAAAAAGGGAAAAACTTTCCGTAATTTGATGTTTTTCTAGCAACCAAACAGAAAGTCAAGGCAATATAAATATTAATTCTGCACTTGACTCAATTACCTGAGAGAAACCCAAGAGACCATCAAAAGGTCCATGATTAATCATGAAATCCTCTATGTAAGCAAGACATTCGTCAAAATTGGTGTATTCTGTAAATTCCTGAGAGAAAACTCACAAAATTTTATTTTCCTGAGAGAAAAAAAGTTACAAAAGCAAAGCAGAAATAGCCGAAGAGAGAATAAGAATTTAACCTTGTTGAATTGGAACCACTCGTAATAAGGAGGATCGAAAATCCCTTCCACGTCGGATTTTCCTTGAGCTGGATAAGGTGCGTCTGGAAAAACAAGATCGATCTTTTGAAGAACTGATTCAGGCCACTTAGAGACCTGTTTCTTAAGAATTTCTCCGCTTGTTCTAAATCCATGTAGGCATAGAAATCTCGGTTTCCTCACAGTCTGTCGTTCTTGTACCATCTTAAAATTTCGATTTCTTACACGTATTGATTTTTTTTCTTTTTAGCAGAAAAGAGACGTTGCAGACTTGCGGCTCCGCTACCTTTGGAGGAGTATATATAGGCAAAACCAGGGCGTTGATGGGCCTGAATTAAAAAGCGAGATTTCAACGAACGCGTGAGAGTGACGTAGGGAGTGAGGGAAAACAAGGGAATTAGATGATCAGTGTAATCGAATGTTAGAAATGCCGGTTAGGCTTTATTTGACGGTCAAGATTTGCTGGGGATTTAGTGAATGGTGTGGGTGTATTGGAGTGTAGCACAGACAGTGCCATGAACGCGCGTTCCCTCGGTTTGACCCACGTGAACTTTGTGAAGGACGTGGGCTGTTAGGAACAAAAACATGAACCAATCAAAATAATATTGAAAATAAAATCAATTTGTTTATTTATATGGTCAAATTATTCCTAATGTTTTGTGGTGGTACTATTAATCAAGATTTTACTAATTATTTTTATTTTACTTTTTTTTCAAACTCTTACTACTCATATTAGATTATGTTTTCTTTTTAATTTATAAAAAAGTCGAACAAAAATAAAAATAATTTCTTATTTAGAAAGTAAGTGAGATTTTATTTTTCAATATCAATTAATGATTGAGATAAGAAATTAAATTTATTTATCATAAATAAAAAACATTACAAACGGAAGTATTATGTTTGAGATGCACAAAGTAACACCCTTGCTCTTCTTACCCATGAGTCAAAATTATAAAAGCCATTTTCTTCATATATATATATATATACAGATTGCTCTACAGCCGACACTTGTCTATGGAAACTTTTTATATTAGGTAACAAAACCTATGATTCTATTTGCTTATTTCTATATTTCTCAATGTATTTTCTTTTCTCTATTTTTCTTCTATTCCATAATATGTTATGTAGAAAGTATATAATACCGTTCAAAATAAGAATTAATTTTTTTTCTCGTCATCATACAAGAGTAAGTTACAAAAATATGATAAAATATTATAATATATTGTATAAATACTATTTATATGGTTTGATTTAATGTTATTATACTCTTATATAAATAATATAAAAAAGAGTATTTATATTACAGTATTTACATATATTATTAAATTAAACAAAATAATAGCATAAGTACATATTTACTTTGCATACTCGATGGAAGAAATATTATGTATAACTATTGTTAATTAGACTAATACATGTTCGGGTAAGAGGAAAATTAGATAAAATGTGTGGGTTTCTAAAGTTCTCGATGCAATGAAAGATAAAGAAGGTGAATTCACTAATTCAGTGAAGTTATTGTAGTCTATATATTTATTTTTGCTGACCTTTGAAACCACTTTCTTTATTCAGTTAATTAATGCTAAAAAGCTTCTTTTCGGATGAAGGGATCTTTTAATTGGACAGACTAAAACTGGAACTATATAATCGGTTCCCCAAAATAGAGTAGGATAGTAAATTTGACAATCCGTTAGCAACTAGTATTTTCTAATGTTAAGTTTCAATTTTATTATATATTAATTAAATTTAAAAAATTGAAAACCTATAGATTATAATTCAGTTGACAATACATATGGATATGTAAGAAGAACTATCGAGTTCGATCATTACTAAATATACATGTACAAAAAGGCGAAGGGCTTAATTGTACTAAATCCGAACTAGATTAGATAGTCTTAGTAATAGCATTTCGGTTATTTACACAAAAAAAATTTAGAGATCAAAAGAAAAGAATATTATTAAAAAAATTTAGAAATCAAAAGAAAAGAGTATTGTTAGTCGATCGGTTTAGTTAGTCTTGTCAACCGTACGAATAGCGAGAAGTTTGAAGTTCAAGATTTCACAGCTACTAAATTTCTCGCCAAATTAGTGAATAAATGAAAAATGAAAAAAAAAAAAACATTGAATTACGAAAACCCGTTTGAATGCCAGCTCACCTAGTAAACTTACGCGGCATAAACACATTAAAGCTAATTTTAAGCTTAGGTATACTTATCCAATAACTATCTGCCACGTATAACACAATAACATAGAGCCGTCTTTACCTTTTGACCTCTTTTATGATCAAAATTTCCGGCACGTCCATTGCTCATCACTGATCCTTCGAGAAAAACTGACGGAGAATGTATCGCTTGTTAACGTTACGTCGTCACCACCACCTATAATAAAACAAAAAAATTTTCAATCTCTGTGCTCTGATTCTCTTTGATTTCGATTTAGCCGCAAAGAACTCTCTTCAATGGCCGCCAGTTCGAGCCGAGGCGGTTCCTTCTATGGCGGCGCTGCTCCCTATAGATCGAAGTATGATTTCCATTACTTGATCATGTTTTTAGGGTTTCGTATTAGTTCTTATTTATTTGTTGTTGTAATCGATTTTCTTTAACATTATCATAAATTTTGTGTTTATATATTTCAGGGATGGGCTCAGCACGAGACCGGCGGCGAGCTCCGATGAAATACAATTACGGATTGATCCGATGCACGCTGACTTCGATGACGAGATCTCTGGTCTCCGTAGCCAAGTTAAGCAATTGAGAAATGTGAGTTTTCTTTTTCTTTTTTCAATTTCTTTTTGAATTGCTATTTGTTATCTTTTAAATTGAATTACGAGGCCTGTCTCGTGAGCTAAAATCAATAAATAGGGAGTATGATTCTATCTTTATGGATTTTTCTGGCTAACCATAACGTTAGCTGGATAGTTAGTTCATGTTGATGATAGGTATGAGTTAATTTGAATTTTTACTCTAATATAGGTAGGTACTGCCAGAGATTATATAATTATTGATTAAATGGCTATAAATGTGCCATGTAAAGACCTCAAATACCAGTGCCAGTTTGAATTTATTTCAGGTAGTTTATTGGCAAAAGGAAGTATGCAAATATGATAAAAGGCTGCTAATGGTTTGTTTTATCTGTATAGAAATAGTGTCACACATTGTCATTTTTCTTTGCGTTCATGAATAAATATTGATGTCTGTGTCTTAGGAACTTGGAGGAGAATGATGCAGAACATTGAAAATGGCTCTTTTAGGAGATTCTTTTTTACACCCACTTTCCTTGGATTGGTAGCAAATAAGGTTATCCATATGTTTCAGTCTGAAATCAATGTTTATTTTATAATATCTGCCTAAATGGAGGAAACTGCCAAGAAATGCTGGGAGATGCAATGCATTTAGGACTTTAATGGCTAATCATATACAAATCTTTTCCTGAAGCTGCATGTCTGGCAACTCAAAATCCCAAGCTATTCCTTGCTTATAAAGATTCTGTTATTTTATGAGCTTAGTGCTGTATTTGCGCTATTTCTTGCTTTTTCTCTACTTCTTGCTTTCTTTCGCTTTGAAACTGTCTGTTTTCGTTTATCCCTTGTCCAAAGTTATCAATATCATTACTGAATTATAAGTTTCTTTAGATATATCGTGTTAGTTCTTATCTAATTATATGCTGCAGGTGGCTCAAGAGATAGGATCAGAAGCAAAGTTCCAGAAGGATTTCTTGGATCAGCTGGTGAGTTTCCAATTGGCATGCCCCTTCTTGGTTATGTTTGGCTGTTTTATGTGCTCTTTAGTATTTTACTTTCCTTTGGGTTTTAGTTTGCTCTATATTGTTGATGCAGTGTAGTGGTATTTCTATTTCTGTGGCTAATTATGTTAAAGCCTCACTACTTTGAATCTGAAGCAAAATATAATTGCTTTACAACATGAAATTTCTGTGGGGGTAAGGAGAGGGTTATTATAAACTCTGAATTTTTAGAACAACATTCACATGCTATGTGAAATTAGGAGGACTTTATTGGTCCAGGAAGCCGCACCTCTTACCTAGGGAGGGGTTTGCAGTTTCATATCTACCCTCCCTTCCCTCCACCTCTAGAAAAAGGGTTTCCTTTCTGCATGTTCACACACACACACACACACAGAGACACTGATGTTATTATTATTGATAATGGCATTTTGATTGTTAAAAAGGAAATGAGGAAAAGAAGGGGAATGGCTGCCATCAGTTAGTATCTAAGAAAATATAATAAGAAAGATTGTATCATCACAATGTCATATCTAAACATATGGCTGTATACAATTTGCTCTATTGTATAGTGATGTGACGTATTCGTGCTCTCAATTTGAAGTCTTTATGGTCTGGGAACAATTTGGCTCTTTCAACTTATCTTTTTGATGGGTATGGGACAAAATGTCACTGATTACATTTACCCTGCCATTGGATAATTTTGTTCTTAATTATTAGTGCCCTCCTTTGTTTCTATACGTGTTTCTTTATCTGATTTTGAGCTGTTTTTATTATTATGTTCAGTGCAAGCTAGACTATAAACTGAAGTCTGTTTGCTTATTGCTTTTCTCATATGCCTTCCAGAAATTTGTTTTCCATCTATGATATCAATAAATGATTAGGACTTTTCTTACTATTATCCAATGATTTATAGTGCTATAAACTAATAGCACTTTGCCTATATTTCCTAGTACAAAATGCTGTAACTGCCTTGATGAATGTTCAATTTTGTTGAAATGACAGCAAATGACTGTGATAAAAGCTCAAGCAGGTGTGAAGAATAACATAAGGAAATTGAACAAGAGCATCATTAAGAATGGTGGAAACCATATCGTCCACGTGGTTCTTTTTGCACTCCTATGTTTCACTGTGGTCTACCTGTGGTCCAAAGTATCCAGAAGATGAGTTATGTTTAGACTGAAAATATGTTCATATCAATAGCTATCCATGGATGGACCGGTATTTGCGAGCTATATTGCAGGATCCGTTGTAAAATCTTCCCATTAGCTTCTTTATTGAACATTGGCTTTTGTTGGGTTATGCCTAAAATCTAGATCTTTCCTATTTAAAAAAGAAAAAAGAGATTACTACTATGCTTGATCTCTAGTTTTTGATGTACGAACACAGCAATATTCAATGCAATCAAGCTTTACTAATACAATTTATGCACTACGGATTTGTAGAATGGTAAATAGAACAAATATACTAGCATGCGCAGGACGTTGAATATGGCTGTGGCTTCTTGATGGCATTTTCTACCTTTCTTTGTTTAACTTGGTTGATAACAGTTCTTGCCCAGAGTGTAAAATGGGTTTCGTTGTGACCCACCTTGCCATTTTTATAGAAGTCGAAGCACTGTAGATCATTTTGAGGAAGGGGACATTCCTTTTTGCCTAAAGGTTCCCACCATGTGCCTTCATGTCTGATTCCAGTTTGGTCTGCCATCCAGTGATGTGCATATTGGCCTATACCAGCGAGCTCTAACCATCCTTTAGGGAAGAACTCCATTACACTACTGTTCCTATCCATGAAAAGCATGTTCGTCAATTGGGCACCGTGCGGTGAGACAACGATGTCTGTGTAAGTCATTACTCTAACCTGAATGCATAACAGAAACGAAGTGATAAGCACTAATAGACTCGTTTTTAGAACTGTGAAATTGTGAGTCAGGACATTAAGAAAAAAGAAAAAGAAAAAAAGAGAGGTCGTTTTAGCCCATTTACAAACCTGGTCACAAAAGCTTAGATCCTCAGACTGAGCCACCTCAAGTATGCAGCCCTCCACCTTTGCACATTCCCTAGCGAATATTTCTGTAACTGCAGTAGCATTCTTAAACGATCTCGAACCTCTTCTCATTAGCAATGTTAGCCTTATTATATCTTTGCTTTCTTTTCCTTTACCTGCTAAATCAATTCCACAAAATCTCCTTGCTTTACATCTCAACATATCAAAAACCTGAAGCTTCTTTTCCTTTCCCATGCTTCCCTGATTGTGTCTCATTACAACCGCCTTTTCAAAACAATAAGGCTTGTCTCCTTCTTCAAGTCCTTCTAGTTTAACTTGTCCAAAATTAGCTTCCATCAAATTTTGCAGCCAAGATCCCATTTTAGACCTGAGCTCTCCCCAGTGGAACAGTATCCATCTTGTTGGCTTCAAGCACTCGTTCTTTATGGACCAACCAACAAATGGGGCCATAGCACACAATCCATGCCATAAATTTACATAATCATAATATGTGTCTGATACAAAAGTCAAGCCTTCAATAAACTTGGCTGAGGCTGGAAGAGCTTCTTGAAATGCCAAGGCATATGAATTCTTGGTGCCATCTGTTGTGTCCTTTCCTTTGATGCATAAAAGCCTTCCTTTAGACATTTCTGAAGGGAAATAGAGGTATTCAGCTTCATTTTCCTCGCGAGTGTCGTTCAAAGAGCTCATAAACCAGGAGTTCCCTTCTGTGGCAGTTTTCGCAAAGCGCAGATCTTTAAGGGGAAGGAAAGTGACAGACTTTTGGAGCTTTGAGATCAAAGTATTGGTATTTTTGGAAAGGTTAACGGCATTAAGTGCTAACCCTTTCCAGAAAGGAGAGGTTTGAGATTGAATAAATAAAAGAGAGAACAACAGAAGAAAGGATATAATGATTATGGTTGAGTAGTATGAACTCTTCTTCTTGGTAAACGCTTTAGTGCTTCTGTCTAAATCCATAATTAGACTTGAAATGAAGTGATAAGTGAAAAGTAAACTCGTTGGTTTATATTAGACCAATTGTGAGTAATTGATCTCGAGATTGAGATACATATAATATTAAAGAAACCAGTTAAAAATTATATTGATACTGTTTTGGTCAACCACGGTATCGTCATCTCCGATCGCCACTACAGAGGGAATAGCAGATTCCGGAATACCATGAGAATTTAAAAAGAGAAAGAAGACCGACAAATGGCTTCGGTTGAAAACAGCGCAGGAAATGCTAATTTTTTACAAATTTCCTGCGTCAAGATCCACCATTGACGGTTTAACACCTTGAGAAAAATTGCAGTCACGTATACAGAGAACAAGGGATAGCTTCCAATCCCAAGATATGAATGATATACAGAGATACCAACAATTCCCAGCCGCATAGGATCAAACGAGCAATTTTATAGAGTAATCTTGCAATGTTACATCCAACCAACTTAGCAAAGCACTGAAAATAGCCCCCATGAAATAAGTGTAAAGAAATAACCTAAATCATAAAATTTCCCGCTAAAATGTTATTTACAGAAGAAACTGTACATAAATTTCCTCATTCTTATCAGGGTATAACCATTATTAGGTTAGTTTGCGAATATAAGAACAATTACAGTCATATCCATTGGAGGATAAAACACCACCTTGAAATTATATGGCTAAGCCGACCTGTAACCTTCATTGCCCACTGTATATTGCACCAGGGCATGTTAATTTTAATCCCCAGCTTCAAAAAACAGTGGAGAAAATGTTGTTAGCATGTCAGAATCAAAATGCTCTACAGAGATTGTTAGCTGTCAGGTTAGATGAATGCTGCTGCTCTATTGGGCCTGCAGGCCCGCAGACTCTGCTCCTCTTTGGCTCTGAAATCTTCACATGAGAAATTGCCACCGCCAATGCATCCACCACACCGCATTCATCCTGCTCTTCTGACTTGCTGCTTAGACTATCGGATGGCGAATGATTATTTGAATCCACACCAGGAGAGCCACTTTCTACTTTGTTTCCATGTACCTCTGGTCGGCAAGGAGTTGGTCCAACTTGATTCTTCAATTTTGATTTGATAGACAGCATCTTTAATGTGCGCTCTGTGTAGAACAAAATCCATGGGTGCCCTGAACCAACACCAATTCAATGATCACTTTAGTGGGATCAACCAAAAAGAAGAGGGGAAAAAAAATCGGGAATGCAGTTGCTACCTGCGAACGGAATGGTATATGGGAGATTAATAAGAAGATATTAACATGTGGAAAGAAAAAAGGATTTGATTAGCAATTTAATTGGCTAAAAGTGAATACAATTAATGCGAGTGAGAAAAGGACGTGAGATAAAAATATCATCATTTGCATACTCATGAGGTTAGAATAGTTCACAATATCCATACTGGAGCATCAGGGTAACTAATCAGTCAAAGGATAAAAAAGATACAGTTTGTAATATTCAGAAATTTAAAGCATAAGGGACTTACTTAGCACTTCATCTGCAGTTATCCTTGCTGAGACATCCCTAGTCAGCATTCTTGAAACAAGATCACGAGCAGGCTTAGATACAGACTTCCATAATCCTGCGTGGAAATCAAGCTTTACGTTCTTGATTGCTTCAAAAACAGCTTCTAAGGAGTCCCCTTGAAATGGAAGAACACCAACCAAGAGAGCATGTAGGAGGACACCAGCACTCCATACATCAACCTTCTCAGAATAATTGCCAGACAAAACTTCTGGGGCAACGTATGCTGGACTTCCAGCCAAACCAGACAGTGTCTGACCTGCATTCAACATTCAATTGCACAAGGAAATCTTTGAGAGTATAAACAAAATGTACACACAAAGGACGTAGAATTTAACTTGGTATATAAATTCCTAAAGCAGTTCTCTAACATCTTTTAGAAATATTTGGTATTGCAAAAATTCTTTCTAAAAAGAATTAAAAAAATTAAAAATAAACAAAAATTTAGAAGGTTGACTGACTGGGAAGTTTACAGAGGGTCATAGAAAGCTATAAATTCTACTTACACCACAAGAAGTAAATGTGAATGGACTCCTAATTGAAAAAAAAAGAAAGTAGTAAGTTTATGTTCGGAGAGGTTAAACATTGGATTATGTATAATGCAACCAGAGAATGGCTCTGATATGTTCCACATTTACCGCCCGATTTAGAATAACATGCAAGGGCTTTTTCTGGTTCCATGTTAAAATTGTAGCTAAATAAAAAAGAGAGAAATCTTTTAGCTTTCTTCTTGAACAAAAACACATAATTGGAGCTAGACAAAATGCCTCTTCATATTAGTTTTCATACACATTCATGAAATTAAACTCCTTTAATGAAAATAAAAGAAAGACACAATACTATCTCCAATAATTCACCATACTTATTTCCTAAAGACTGTGCTTGCCAAAGACATCTAACACCAAAATATACTCGAGACACCCTGTCATCCTGCTTTCTTGCATTGCCTGATGTGCGTACTTTGGCAATTTGTCCTATCAACTTCCTGGATATACATATCAAATTTTTCCATTTTAACTCCGTGCTTAAAAAATATACAGGTAAGTTGACAAGAGAAAAACAAAAATGTCATAGATAGCAAATAACATTATGCAAGTTAGGTTGAGAGACTTGCCATTTGAAATTCTCATGGCCAGACCAAAATCAGCTAGCTTTAGCTTTCCTGATCTCATGAGAAGTACATTCTCTGGTTTTATATCTCTATGCACAACTCCCATATCATGGCAATAACTGATAACTGACATCACATCTTTGAATATAGTAGCAGCCCGTTGTTCCGAATACTGACCCTCTTCCATCATCTGGTCGATCAAACGTCCCCCAGAGCATAATTCCATCACAAGATGGAAGCAATCCGACTCTTCGTAAACAGCATGCAATGTCACCACCCCAGGATGGCCAGACAAGTGCTGCATTATCTCCACCTCCCTATGGACTGTCTCCTCCCCTTTCCGCAAGGTCTTACAAGCAAATTCTACTCCAGTTGCCTTGGACTTACATAACCAAACGGACCCAAATTTGCCACGACCAATAGTGGCACCTGCAACATAGTCATCCTCAATCTTATTCTTTCTACCTGTCTGAGTAGCAGTATCTATGCACCCAATTTTCCTTTTGAGACCTCTTCCAGGTGGCACCAAGGATGATGACGCACCAAAAGGTGGAGCGGTAGCAATGCCTGCAAGCCTACTTTTGCAAGAACTAACGGGTTCGCTACAAGCATTTTCTTTGCATCTCTTCTTTAGTCTATTGTAATCTTCTAGAGAATAATGGGACCTGAGATTTGATGATTTCGTCTCATGGGTAGGTGTTAATTCATTTTGTACATCCTCGCTTGCTTCAGTTTCACTTCCTTTCCTCTTCTTCCTCATCACATCAAATGTATTGAATTACGAAAGAAACTAACAAAATCGTTCCATTTTCATTGCGCCTTAGGGTTCCATTCCTACAATCAGAAAGAAAATAAATTGATGTCAAAATTCGTTCAACAAAGCTCCGATCTCGTAACATACAATGTAGATAAACCCTAAACCACTCGAATTAAAAAGATGTTTGATGACTTTTCTTCCATTAGCAATATCAGCAATCAAAAACACGTCAATTATTCCTCAATCAAAATCCAAATAATCAAATATATTAAAATCAAAAACCAGAAATTAGGGCAAAACACAAACCTTATGAGTCAAAATGTCCTTCGAATTCAGAGGCAAAACTGGTAAATTCTGCCGCAAAAGCAAAAAAATATATGCACACAAAACAAATCGGTGGTTCGTTATAGAAACAGACACGAGAAAGTAACAGAATTTGAAAATGGATTGGTACAAGAAACCCTAGAAATTTCGGATTCAATATATGGGTCAAGACGCTACATAATCAAGAATATAAGGGGGAAAAATCAGTTGTTTTTTTTTATTTTTTATTATAGAATAGGGAGGGCGACACAGAGAGGTCATTGAGGTAGTAGTTTTAGTCAAAAAAGTGTTTTGGATTTTATATTTTCTTCTAAGAAGCGACAAGTCCGCTATATAAGGCTATGGCTTTTACAAATCCGGGTCTAACCCAAATACCCAACACCAACCCAACGCCAACACTAACGCCTTACGCCTCTACGCATTATAAGTTGAATTCCATGTGAACGAACAAACAACATAGAGAAGCCGACAGGGACAGCGAGAAAACAGCAGAAATGTCTCAGTGCATGAGAGCCTTAAACCCTGTAAAAACCCTTCTCAATAACACCAATCTTTCAATACCCAATCCGAATTTCCCTTCAAAATCTTCCTTTGAACCCAAGTCCAAATCTAAATCGAAGAGATACCCGAGAATATCAGTTATGTCAGCACAGAATGACACTCATCAACAAAAATTGTCACTCGATGCTTTAATCAAGGGTAGCCGCAAAGACGATGCCCTTGCCGCCATTAAAGGCTCATTGTCTAATTGTCTGTCGGACACAAATCTTCATTTGACGGTTCCCGGTCTTAAATCCAAAACCAGAGGCAAGGTACCTTTGGTTTTCGATTGACGTTTTTCTCTGAGGTTTTTGTTTGATTACATTGCCTTTTCTGCATAAAAAGGATCCTAAATTCGTACAGAACTTGCTTGATTGTTTTGCTGGATTGTAAAATGACTAAGCAGCTTGATTTTGAAGGTGAGAGATATATATGATGGCGGGGATTATCTTGTTTTGGTCACAACTGATCGGCAGAGTGCTTTTGATAGAATTCTTGCCTCCATTCCCTTTAAAGGCCAGGTCTTTGATTTTTTTTTTTTTTCCTTTTGATTTTCTAATTGTAGGAGTATATTGATCAGTGGTTGATTGAACTTAGATATTGTTCAAAATCAGGGTAAAACCACTATTTGTAAATTCATAACTATCTTGCTCTCAGGTTCTAAACGAGACAAGTCTATGGTGGTTCAATAAAACTCAACACATAACTCAGAATGCGGTTGTAACTGCCCCTGATGAAAATGTTACTATTGCAAAGAAATGTTCAGTTTTTCCTGTTGAATTTGTTGGTGAGTAATTCTAAAGGTTCCAGATTCCTCCTTTTTCTTGCTGGCTTTAATTGAACATGCTTTCACCAATTCTGTGGCAGTTCTATGTTATTTAAAATAGCTCGGTTAATGACAGATTCTAAAATGACTTGTAAACTTGCTATTAAGCAACTTTTTATGTTAAAGTTACAATGCCATGGATATGAAAAAGTGGCAACGCTTGGATAAAATAAGCACTTGATAGTGAATGATGTAATGGGATTTTCTTTGGAAAATATTTTATGTACTTAATTTTGTATGATGGCGCAACATGCTTAAAGACATTCACAAATGACATAAATTTGTTCTAAAATTCTTCTTTTGGCGGTTTATTTCTCATGGAAAAACACATTCATATGTGTAAGAGAGTCTTGCAATTTTGTTAAATTTGGTTGTTTGAGGCTTAGGATTCTTGGGCATGAGTTCTTCAGTCGATCTTACTTGTACTGTTAATTTGTAGTTAGAGGGTATGTGACTGGAAGTACTGATACATCGCTATGGACGGTCTACAAAAATGGTGTCCGAAATTACTGCGGCAATGCCCTTCCAGATGGTCTAATTTCCTTCATCATTGTTTTTTTCTCCATTAAAAATTTTAACCATTTAAAGGCAATGGGCTGATATATGACCATGTTTTAGGACTGGTAAAGAACCAAAAGCTAGCTGTGAATATACTCACTCCTACAACCAAGGCTGCAGATCATGATGTTCCAGTTACTCCAGAGGAGGTTTGTTCCAATTTGAACTTTGAAATATTGGCCGAGTCTTGAAAAAAAGAAAAAAAAACCTGTTTTCTATGTCATATCTCTAAATGAACGCCTCTGTTTGTTGTGTTTATGCCCTATGACGGGCTTATACTTTACAGAATATTGTTCTCCTTTTCTTATTTAAGCTGTTTAAGTGCCTTATCTGCTTCATCTGCCTAGTAGATAGTGGAACGTGGGTTAATGACTCAAGCTGATTATGATGAAGCCAGTAGGAAAGCATTGAGCTTATTTGAGTATGGACAGGTGAATTCCTTTCCTCTTGACAATTTTTTTTGCTCATGATTCGATTTAGATGAAGCATAATGGTTCTCAACAAAATTAGTACAGAGAAATATCCTATTTCCAAGGAGGATTTCTGTTTCCACAACATGTATGCTTATGGTTGCTTAATGGCTGCTGGTATAGTGGTCGATATAACTAGTTACATCATTCCTTTGTACTTGCAGCGTGTAGCTTTAGAGCATGGCTTGATATTAGTGGACACAAAATATGAATTTGGGAAGGGCACTGATGGTTCAGTTCTTTTGATTGATGAGGTTTGAATTTTTTTGTTTTCACTGTAATAATTCATTGTTTCACTCTTTCTTTCTCGGATCATAGCACATACATACACGTTAACATACAATTGCTCGTGCACCATCAATCTAGACCAAATAATGTCCTTACATAAGTTTTATTGTCATGTCTTGAAATGGTAGGTGCACACACCTGACTCAAGCAGATACTGGATTGCCAATTCTTATGAAGAATGCTTTCAAAATGGTCTGGAACCTGAAAATGTCGATAAGGTGTGTTTTTCGGCTTAAGCTTGCCTTTTTATCTCACCTGTTCATTCAATTGATGCATGTGGCAATATCTTTCATGCTTATGTTTTTTTTTTTTTTTTTAGATTTTGTTCCAAATCATGTAAGGGTTAAAGACCTATATGGTTGTAAATTAATCTTAGTAAACGTTAATCTCCTCTTCAGGTCTGCTAAACGAGGACAATCTTATGGTAGGTATTACAATAAAACTCAACACATAATCTCAGAATGCGTTGTAACTGCCCGCTGATGAAAATGTTACATATTGCAAAGAATATGTTCAGTTTTTCCTGTTGAATTTGTTGAGTTGAGTAATTCTAAAAGGTTCCAGTTCCTCCTTTTTTTGCTGGCTTTAATTTGAACATGTTTCACCCAAGTTCTTGTGGCAGTTCTAATGTTATTTAAAAAATAAGTCGTTTAATGATCAGATTCTTAAATGACTGTAAGACGTTGTAAGTACACGCAAACTTTTTATGTTAATAAGTTACAATGCCATGGATATGAAAAAGTCGGGCAACGCTTGGTATTAATTAATTAAGCTACTTGTATAGTGAAATGTGTAATTGGGATTTTCTTGGTAATATTTTTAATGTACTTAAATGTTGTTGTTGGATTTGATGGCTGCAACATTGCTTAAAGACATTCACAAATGACCATAATATTGTGTGCTAAAATTCTTCATTTGGTGGCAGGTATTAATTCTCATGGAAAACAAGCAGTATATGTGTAAAATGAGGTTGGTTCTTTTGCAATTTTTGTTAAATTTTGGTTGTTGAGGCTTAGGATTCTTTGGGCACTGGTGTGATCTATGAGTGTCTTCATAATGTGTCGATCTATACTTGTACTGTTAATAATTGTGAGTTATTATGTGTGGGTATGTGCTGAAGATTTATGATATTACAAGTCGTCTCTAGATGGCATGGTCTGGTCTAACAAAAAATGGTGTTTGTCTGCGGAAATGAGCTGCCGCAATGCCTCTTTCGGAGATATGGTTCTATCATTTCCTTTCATCATTGTTTTTTTCTCCCAAATTTTAAAAATTACACATTATAGGCGATATGGCCTGATATTTGTACATGACATGATTATTAGGTGTATGCTAGGTAAATGTAGACCAAATAGCTATGCTAGTGTATACTACTCACTCCTACATTCAGAGGTCTGGCAGTTATTCATTGAATGTTCCAGTTACTCCAGATTGAGGTTGTGTGTCCGAAAAGTTTGTTGAACTTGGAAATATTGGTGCGAGTCTTGGAAAAAAAGAAAAAATATACCAGTTTTCTTATGATCACATTATCTCTATCAATGAGACGCATCTCTGTATGTGTTGTGATTTCATTAAACCTCTGACGTGGTCTTTATTAACCTTTACGCTCCTAGTATTGTTCTCCTTTTCTGGGTATTAAGCTGGGTTTTAAGTGCTCTTATCGTAGCGCTTTACATTACTGACTCAGGCAGTAAGGGATAGTTGGAGACCGTGTGTAATGTACTCGATAGACTCTGGTTCTTCATGTGAAGACCAGTAGGAAGGAGTGAGTGCTTTATTTGAGTATGACAGGTTGTGCAAGTCTTTCCTTTCCTTCTGACTTGACAATTTTTTTGCTCAACTGATATCGCATTGTTAGATGGAAGTCATAATGGTTTCACACAAAAACTTAAGCCTTACAGAAGAAATATCCTAATTCCTAGAGGATTCTTGTTTCCACAACGGATGTATTGCTTTTGGTTTGCTTAATGGTGCTTGGCCATATAGTGGTCTACCTGTTATAAACAGTTATCTATCCATTCCTTTGTATCTTGACAGCGCTGTAGCTTTAGAGCATAGGACTTAGTATATAGTGGACACAAAATTTATGAATCTTAGAGGAAGGGTGCCACTGTATGCAGTATTTCTTTTGATGTTTGTGTAGGTTTGAATTTTTTTGTTTTTCACTGTAATAATTCATTGTTCAGCTCTTTACTTTCTCGGTCATTAGCCACATACATACACTGTTAAACAACAATTGGCTTTCGTAAGCACGCTATCAATTCATCTAGACGCAAATGAATGATGTCACTTTACATTAATTATTGTTATTTGTCTATGTCCTTGAATTTGGGTTGTATTGTGCACCATCACCTGACTCAGCAACAGATATCTGGTATTGCCAACTTTCTTGTTCATTGGTAAGTAATGCTTTCAAAATGGTTTCTGGAACCTTGAATAAATGGTCGATAAGTGTGTGTTTTTCGTGTCTAAGCTTGCCGTTTGATATCTCTACACCTGATTTATGTACAAATTGTTGCAGTGTGGCACAATAGTCTCTTGCTAAGCTATATTGGTTTTTTTTGTTTTTTGTTGGTGGGTGGTGGAGGGGTGTTATTATTGTCACTGATGATATACTATATCAATTAAATTGGGGGGGGGGGGGGGGTGTATTATTGATCACTGATGATATATATATCAATTAAATTTGACATTTTTAGGAGTTCTTGCGGCTGTGGTTCAAGGATCACTGTGATCCATACAAAGATGAGGCAAGTCAACCTAAGAAGTCCAATTAAATATATTAGTTTTTATGCATCTCATCTTGTATATATGTATAGCTGTATGCTAAATCTCATCTGCTGATGCAATTTTTAGGTCCTTCCTGATGCTCCTGAAGAACTTGTTTGCGAGCTATCATGGAGGTAAGTTTCATGTCACCGTATTGAGCTTTGGCACCACTGATTTAACTAGAGATTGAGGAGATCTCAGCAAAGTGGCTATTAGAACCTCGATTGTCTGTTCTAGAAATTTTATTTGTTTATTCTTTGGTGAAATGGACTCCTAACTGGGACAACTTATGTTTACCAATTTTCATACCTTTATGTTGAAAAATAGTGAATTATATTTCCCATACCAATTAACAAAGATTTTTAACCTTGTTTTGATGCTAGATATATTTTCTTGTACGAGACAATAACAAAATCAAAATTTGAGATGCCAGAAACAGAGGTAATCTACATCAAATATACCTCGACGTCTTTTGACATCATCCAAAGTAAATTAGTTCCTTAATGCTTGCAAAGGATATTAAGTGACAATACATTGTCTTTGTGCAGGAACCAATACACGATCGGATCTCAAGAAATGTCAAACTAGCATTATCATCTTTGAAGTGATTCTAAAATCTAAAGTCTTATGCTTCACTAATTGAGATTATAGCAGGAACTGGAGGGTTATTCCCCTATTTGACCGTATTAGAGGCAATTAGTGTGGCTATTGAGGTGCATAAGAGGCCCAAGTTTTTATGAGTCACTTTACTCCTTGCAAATAATGAACTGGTCTTTTGTATGTGCATTTTTTTTTCTTTTAAAAAATAGCAATAAATATGAAGGTTAAATTTTTTAATTTGTTAAAATTATACAATTTTTTTTTTTTTAAATGCTTCTACCATTTCATTTCTCTACTGCTCTCGAGGTGTTGTCTTTGATTTGTTTATGGATTCGTTTTTAGAGTTGATAATTATAAGCTACGTATTTTATATATTTTATCGCTCTGCAATAGGTTTCCAACAAGCAGCGAAGGAAAGATATCCCTCCTGTCCGGGATCCATGAATGAAGAGAGAAAAAAAAAAAAAAAAAAAAAAGAGTAGAAAAAAAAAAAAAAAAAAACTCAGGCTCTTATTCACTATTGAATTGGCATAAAACAATGCAAACTCAGAGCGGTCTGGTTATTCATCTCTTTTATTTTTGCATTTTTAAGATAGTTCCCCTTTTCAAATTTTTGAATAATGGGAGTAATCATCACTTCGCTCACAAGTACGACTAGTACATAGCGATAAGTTTGGAACATAAAAAAAAAAAAAAAAAAAAAGCTCAGCTCTTATATCAGCTATGAATTGGCATAAACAACTAAACTAAACGGGTCTGGTTATTCATCTTCTTTTATTTTTCCATTTTTAAGATAGTTTCCTTTTCAAATTTTGAATAAATGGGAGTATCAATCACTTTCGCTTCCAAGTACGACTAGTCATAGCGATAAGTTTGGAACATAGGAGAGCACTGATCCAAGTTGGCATTGGAAATAATTTATCATGCAGCAGTACCTTCAACACTTCTAAAGTCCACAATGGGTAAAGAGGAAGAAAAATTGCTAGGGTTTTTGGCAAGTCCTTTTGTCCTTAAATGGGCTTTGAAGCTGAAAGGGATGGAGTATAAGCGTCTAGAAGAGGATCTCTCAAACAAGAATCCCTTGCTGTTGCAGTACAACCCTGTTCAGAAAAAGGTTCCTGTGCCTGTACACAATGGCAATCCTGTGGCAAGAGTCAATGGTGATAATTGAATATATAAATGAAGAGTGGAAGGAAAATCCGCCCTCTCACATAGATCCTGGTGAAAGAGCTAAGAAACAGTTCTGGGCTAAATTTGCAGAAGAGAACTGAAGTTATATAATGTTTCAAACCAAAGTTTTCAGATGAACTGGTTAAGAAAGACCAAAATAAGAAAATTCACTAGCAAATAGCAATCACACTATCAGACATGCATTTTTCTTGGAAGTTCACATTTACTGCTATAGTAGAACACAAGATTAAAATCTTTTCTTCTTAAAATTCATTGATATGCTCATCTTCTATTTCAGTGCATGGCTGTGATCATGCATACATTTGTCACAGAAGGGGAGGAGAAGGATGAGGTAGTGAAAGAAGTTAAGAGAGAAGCTGAAGACTCTGGAAAGCATTTTGGAGGGGAAGAGATTCTTTGAAGGTGAAAGAATAGGCTATTTGGAGATTGCTACAGGATGGATTCAAATAGTTGAGGAAATTGCGAGTGTAAATGTGATTGATGCAGAAACCATGCCTCTGCTCGACACTTGGTTTGACAATTTCCTTCCAGCTCCTGCTATCAAGGAATTTATCTCTCCCTGGAATAAATTGAAAGAACACCTAAAAGGGTTGTACAATTTGTGGAAGGCTTCATCATCAACCTTTAGCCCTTAGCATCACTCCTCATTGTAACATATTAATGGTGACTGTCTCTCTTATGTGCATGATTGCTTGTTGGCTCTATTATATTAATAATCTGCTGTATTGATGACTGAAATATCATGTAATTAGAATTAAAAAAAGAAAAAAAAAAAACAAAAAACAAAACTCAGCTAAATTACGCAGCAGTAGCATTTTGTGCATTTGTTGTAACATAAAAATAATAAGAGCAGTTAAGATATTGATTGTGGGAAACTGATACCTCTGTTACTTCTTTATAAATGTTAATTTGTTCCAAAAATACAAGCAGATGGCTAGTCCGTCATTGAGCCTGCTGATAAATCTAATGTGCCTGTTAACAAGTGAGCAAACTCAAATGAGAAGCTATGAAACCAAGTAAACAACTTTGAGAAACAGAATAATAAAATGCTCATGAATTAACTGGAAAAGGAAAGGGAAATAAATATATTGAGAACAATCTCCCAAACAAGATTTATTAATGTGATGCAGGACTATTTGCTCCTTGCATGAGATCCATATGGGAATTCCATAATGGACGGAATAAGCTGGCTAAGTTTGCATCTGAAAAAGGTAAATGAAGAAGTTAGCTTTCATGTCTCGTTATTATTCTATTGTAGCTGTAGGCTTATACATTTTACTCCACAGCTTTGCAATTAGAACTTTGTGGCTCCAATACTTCAGTCATTAAGAACTCTGTAAAGTTAAAATGTGAATTTTTGTTTATCAGAAATCATACGCATATCGGATGAGAGACTTGGATTGGATGTGTTTCAAATGTCATATGATTATTTTCTTACACAAAAAAGGAACAAAACCAGAATGATTAATGAATCCTTCAATTGCTTTAACAATGTGTCAGCTTTAATTTACAATGGATGATATACAACTTACAAAATCTAACTCTTCCTTCCGTCTAAACAATTAAGTGGCCCAGATGCTATTCCAATCCATGAAGGCAAGCATGCGTGCATTTACAGCGGAAGGGGGTAAGAAGAGAGAAAGTTATAAATGAAGCTGAAGCAAGGGGTCTAAAAGGAAGACAATCCTTTGGAGGTGAAACAATAAGCCTTCTGGTTCTGTACATTGCCTGTGGCTGTATTGACATCTGTAAAGGAAGTCATGAACCGGAGACCATTACTTAGGTTGGTGATTGGTTTGAAAATTTGGTTGAAAATCATAATTTAAAAAAGAGCACTACCTTGCCATAAATTGTTAGCAAATATCAAAAACTTCCTCTTTAACACCCATCGCCCGAATGCCACATTAAGGGAAGAAAGTTATATTGACCTGGTTAGCACCATTTGTGGCTGCAAATACCATGGGATACCAGCCATTGTTTGTAGAGTTTCATGATGAGTATTATACAAGGTGTCAGTTGTTATCCACCAGTGTCTGCAGACATCCACTATAAACATCAATGCGCTGATATATCAGACATGCGAACTGAAAGCTTGAACAAGGACAGAAGTCTCATCATCCATCTCAATTTTGTCCTTCTCCATCATTTTAAGGATGTGAAAAGGTGCTCTGCGTGCATGCAGGTGCATTCTAAGGAGGATTTTATACAGTGGTAAACTTGCAACACCAAAATGATGGATAACCTGAATACAGCAGTTTGCATCTCCTAAATTCCTGTTCTTCTCCAAGTACTCTGCGATGGCCATTAAAATACCATGTGATGGTCTCCAATCACAATATTTCAACATAGAAAATGCTTCCTTCATGGCAATAATGGCCTTATCCATCTTTTGGCTTTTCACCCATCCCTCCATTAGAATCTCCCATGTCTTATAATTTGGGCATCCACCTCTTTCCAATGTGTGAAGATGTAATGACTCAGCTTTGTTTATCATTCCATTCCGCACATATGCACCAAGAAGGACATTGGAGACTCTAATGTCGTATTTCCAACAATTGGACTCCCATTCCATAAACACTTTTTCAGCTTTTATAAATTCACCTACCTTAACCAAGCATGACAGTATACACATGTAGTTGGAACATGTAATTCTTCCACCAACGGCTTTACTGGCTTCCCAAAGCCTCCAAACTCCCTCATTATTCTTCAATGAGGAATATAGTGTAATAAGGAAGAAGTAACCAAGGCGATTACTGGTAGAGAGCTTTCTCTCTGCATTTTTAAGGGATGAAAGAGCTTTATCAACAAGGCCTACCTTTACATAAATATTGGCCAAAGTGGACAGAGTGCTCCATCCAACTTCAACGTTTTCATCATTCACCATTTGTTTGTATACCATCTCTGCTTTAGTGACATCAGATGCCTCACCACATGAACTCATCCAAAGATTGTAGGAGAGAATATTTAATGGTATTTTATTGTTCTTCATTTCCAGGATAACTAAGGGTACTTTCTCATAATTTGACGTGGCCATATAAAGTTTCATCATCTCATTAAATGGATGAGGGCTCACAATCAACCCCAAGCCATTCAGATTCATCATCAAAGCCTCAGCTTTCACTATGTCTCTCTCTTTTACATAGCCATGAAGAAGAGGAAGAGAGGCAGCTTTTTTTGAAGCAGAATCAGGTATAAGTTTGAAATATTCTTCTGCCTCCTTTAAACCTCGCACTTCCATGATTAATTCCAGTCTTACGGCACGATCTGCTGCTGACATGCGAAAACCTTTTTGAGCTTCCATCCATGTGCCTATCTGCAAATTAACAAAATAACAGAACTACATATAGAGAAACGCAAGATGTTTTGCCACATAAGTTAACCAAAGACGAACAGAATCACCTAATAATTGTAACAAACATCTAGTGAGCATAAAGAAGAAAGTAATAAAAATTCCTACAAGAAAAAACTTGTAATTGCTAATAGCAAGTTAGAAGATGGCGAGATAGAGTTTTCCTTCAGACATTAATACTCTGTTAAGAAAATGTATCTTGAAAATGTAACACTTTCCACTATTTGTTGATAAATCAGACATCTACCACTTCTAACCATTTAATTGTGCAATGTCATATAAGTATGAATCAGGATTGCAAAGAGAATCAAGACAAAATAGAGAGAATTTTCTTGAATTGCATTCCAAAGGGATATTAGGCCTACTACAGTATCGAATTGGAAAGCGAGAAACTAAAACAGTTATTAGAACGAACCTCAAGTGCATGCTTGTAGCGCCTAGATTGCACCAGTAGTCTAGAGATGTATCTGAGCTGAGAGATTGTAACCTCGCGGCCATTATCGACCCATTTCTGAAGGATAGAGGTTGCGCTTGCCTCAGGCGATTTCATTCGCATAATTTCGCTTTTGAGATTGCCATTGCTATTGCTGTATTGCAGGGACGATTCAGCGAAATTATTGATTTGCGTGAACATCGACAGTTTTCTCTCCTCTAATTCAGGTTTACAACTGCAATCAAATAACATTTTCATTGAGAGAACTTGAACTATTTATTTACGCAAACTAAAAAAGAAAAAGGAAAAAGAAAACTGAGAAGTGAGAAGTGATTTTACCGTCTGAAACAGGAAATGAGTGAGCGACAGCGTATTGCCATAGAAGCGAAGCTTACTTTCGGTTTTGCTCTCGAGGTGGAGGCTCTGTAACCTCTGTTTAATTAGGTGCTGTTTGGATGCGATATGTTTTTTCGTTTTTTGCCGCGTGGCCTTAAAATACTTCCAGTTAAACGGTACCGTTTTTCTTTCTTAACCCATGTGTAAAACCCTTGCACGCAAACCGTTTATGGAAACGATTTATTGCTGTGCAGTGCACGAATAGTTGAGAAAATTCAGAGAAATTTTCTTTTTTCTTGCCAAACACGACGGCTTCATTTGCCTCTGCCATTTCTTTATTCTTTTTTGGAATCGACGCAATCCTATTCGGTTTCCGATTATAACTATCTTTCAACTCTAAATGGGGAGATACGGTTGGCTGGCAGCGCTAGTAAATCACTGAGCTTAACCTTCTATACTAGAAATTAGAACTGTTTTCCATTTGTGAAAACGATAATCTGTTAATTTGATTTCTGCTATTACTGATTTGTTTGTCAAAATTTTCCTGCACAGTGCCGGCGGCATTTGCTATCATCTGTGGCTGTAGAATCTGCCGTCAGTGGAGGATGTTGGCACTGGAAAATCTCTACATTGCAGCAAGACCTTTTTCATGATCGATGTAAGCTCTTTGTTACAAACTTAAGGTGCTTTACTATATACTAACATGGAATTAGTTTGCTTTCCGATGTTAATTAGTCATTTTTTGGCTTTTCACTCTTGTTTTTCCTCCTTTATTCAGTTGTGCACAGTTGGGCTTTTCTCATTCGGCAAACTACTGGTTTTGGGAAAGCTGAAATGCGGTTGATGAAGTGCAGATATATTCATGCTACAGGTCCTAGCTTAACACGCCTGCCTTAGAATTTAGATTGTTTAATGGTCTTGTTTTGTTATTTAGTGGTTTGTTATTTTTCCAGGTACTCACAATGCTAAGGAACCGAGCTACTATGAAATTCTTGGTGTTTCTGAAAATGCTAGCCAAGATGAGATTAAAAAAGCTTTCCGTTTGGTGAGTGCATTTTTGGCACTGTCTGCTTCATCTTAACTGGCTGGAGATCTTTTTCTTGTCATGGTTGATGTATGCTTTTTTCTTTTTCCTTTCTATCTTTCCTTGCCGCTTTGTAATTAATGCTGTTAGGTGGATGCCTTTGGTATGCATTCTAGTTCTTGTAAACAACTTTTAGAGCAGTTAACGTAGGTTAGAGTATACAAAATCATTTTTATATAATGGAATAGTTGTTGCTAATTCAGCTATTGAGATTGACTTGTAGTTGGATATAATTTAAGGCCCGTTTCTCCCTGGTCTTTCATCTGCCTTGGGGCTAATTGTGATTTAGTTTTAAATAAAATCTTAAATTGCAGATCCCTTTCTTCTTCGCTTGACCCACTTCTGCATAAATTTAGAGCTTAAATTCATTCCATTCAATTAACAATTCTTCACAGAGGGGAAATCAGAATAAAATTTGTGATTGACAAATTAATCGATATACTGCAAATGAGAAGTCTCCCTTGAAGTTCGTAACTTTATAAAAATCTCACACCAGAACAAATATGTTATTCTTCTCAAACAGAAAAAGAGTAGTATTCATGTGGTTCCCTTTGTTAATTTGATGCAGCTTGCTAAGAAGTACCATCCAGATGCAAATAAAAATAATCCTTCTGCAAAGACGAAATTTCAAGAGATAAGAGAAGCCTATGAGGTTCATATCCATCATTGTTTAATGTACCATATTCTTGTGTCCTTTTCATTTGTTTGTTCCGTTCTTCTGTGTGTGTCGTTCTCTTACTATCAGCATTGGGATGCAATAATCGAATGTTCTTAATGTTAGGAAAAGGGTTATCAATTTGCCTAAATTTTAGTTATACTATAATGTTGTTCATTCCTTTGCTCTGGTGAAATTTAGACACTGAAAGATTCTGAGAAGAGGGCACAATATGACAGGGTAAGAACTTTCTTTCCTTTTTATTTATCTATAGTTTCTAATATTGCTATTTTGTTGTTTTTCCATATCACTAGTTGCTTTTGTGGACATATATTTGTTATCCTTTGGTATCTGTACAGTAGTTAGTGCTGACTTTTAGTTTCATAGATTAAAATAAGTTGAGCTTTCAGTTTCAATATGGTTTTTACACTAACTGAACTGCTCCTTGTATCTTTGCATCTAATGAAGAGGTATGCTAGAAGTTCAGAGAAGGCAGAATATAGTGCGGATTATGCAGATTGGTTTGGATACGGTACTGATGATGCAACAAGTTTCAGATATGGTGCTGGTAATACTGGGGATTTTTCATATTCTAACCGAACCAATTTCTCTGATTCATTCCACAAGATATTCTCTGAGGTACTCTGCATTACCATGTTTACACCTTCATCAGATACACTTTGTTTCCCTGATATGTTGGATCATGAAACTCCAATGCATTTCATTCTTTACAGATCTTTGAAGATGAGGCCAATCAGTTTGCATCGGACATTAAGGTGCACTGCTTTGCTTTTCGTCTTCAATGCTTGTTTAAAACTGATATTCTATTTTTTTTTGGAGCTAAATACTTCTATCATTTCTTGAAATTACACAGGTGGAACTAGTGCTCTCTTTCACTGAAGCTGCGAGAGGATGCATAAAGAATCTGTCTTTTGACGCATATGTTCCTTGTGATTCATGCGGTCGGTAATTAAAACTACCATTTTCTTTGAATCATGTTGCATTTGGAAATCCTTGCAGCAAAAATGTCCCTTTTGTGTGCATGAATCCTTCTATACCTCAAACTGTTCTTCATTTGTTACTTTGCATGATTATTTTGAGGGGGAATCTTGATTAGCATCCATTCTAACAAAGAACTATGTAATTTTCTCTTGGATGTTTCTGTATCTTCTTTTAATGCATAAGAATTTAAATCTGCAATGATTAAAAACAACGCTTAGTAAATAAAATCTAATCTAAGGAATATAGCCATGGACAATTTTGAAGGTGTAGAATGTGATTTGATATCAGAATACACTTTGCAACTTGAAAAATTAGAATTACTGTTTGTTTTTTTCTTTTTAACTAGTATTACAGGACAAATTTCTCTTGGAAGACTTTTAAGAGATAAGTTATAAGATACTGAATTATAGAACTTCTCTGCTCTCAGTCCCCTCTAACTTATCTCCTTTGCGACTTTTCATTACCCTATTATAAACTATTGATTATCCCTATTCCCTGGCCTATTACATATTGAAGATGGGCGTGGCTTTCCAGTTGATGCCAAAACAGCAGTTTGCTCAACTTGCAGAGGCATGGGAAAAGTAAGTTTCTGGAAAATCTACAAGTATAACAATAAATCAGCAAGAAGGAATTCACTTTGGAATCATTTTATGTTTCCCTTTTTATATGATAATCCAAAATTTCAATCAGGTTACTATTCCTCCTTTTACAACAACATGCAGCACTTGTAAAGGATCAGGTCGAATCATTAAGGTTAGATGTGAATTCTAGCAAATACACTCCATTTGATTTTTATCTGTTGTTAGAACTATTATTTATGGTTTGCTCATTTGGCACAGGAATGCTGTCTGTCATGTAGAGGTTCAGGGGTGGTTGAAGGTGTTAAAGAAGTTAAAGTTATAATACCAGCAGGTTGGTTTTCATTGTTCCTGAGACTATTTCAATTTTTACTGCTCAAAAATAAAAGGGGAAGGAAGTTTACCTGACCTGTTACATGGTGATCATCTGCACAAAATCATGTTGGGTAAACATATCCTGTCATATAACATATCCATTATAGGGAGCATGCATCCATATGACGAACTATTGCCACTAGCTTCAAAAAATTGTCAGGATAGCTTTAGAAGGGTATGTCTTAATGGTGCTATTGTAGAAAAATGCTTGATTAGTTGATCTATATAAGATGTATTTTATTGTAAAAAAAATTTACATGCTGCCAAGGATGGACTTATATATGTGTAAAATGAACAAGCTTCTAGAAACTGAAAAAGTGATATAACTGAGGACACTAATTGAACATGCAGTCCAAGTGAGATTGTAACTATTACTGTCAAAATGCTCTGGTGGATTAAAAAGAAGAAAATAGGAAAGGTTTTTGCTTGAGCACTTCCCTTCTGTGCATTTTGTTTGACTCTGGTGACAAAAAGCATGTTATTAATGGTCTTCTTTTTGAAACAATTACACATATTTCATTTATTTTCTAAAAAAATTTTGAATCAATGGTTTAGGTGTCGATTCTGGAGATACAATCCGTGTGCCAGAAGCCGGTAATACTGGTGGAAAAGGACATCGACCTGGCAACTTATTCATTTATCTGAAGGCATATTCTCTTCACCCCATTTAAATCTCTGATCTAATTAAATTAAGTTTATATGGTAATAGAATTTACACATTTGGAATAACCCTTTGAATGATAGAATTCAATTGAATTATAGTGTTTGAAATAAATGAAAATTGAATTGAACTATCTAACTAGTCACAGTATTCTGACTTAAAGGACAAAGTTGCTTTCATAGTACCCTCCACCCACCTCACCAAAAAAAAAAAAAAAAAAAAAAAAAAAATGGTAAATGAGACATTTACACATTTGGAATAACCCTGTTTGAATGATAGAAATTCATTGAATTATAGTGTTTGAAATAAATGAAAATTGAATTGAACTATCTAGACTAGTCACAGTATTCTGACTTAAAGAACAAAGTTTCGCTTTCAATAAGTATCCCCCACCCACCTCACCAAAAAAAAAAAAAAAAAAAAAAAAAAAAAAAAAAAAAAAAAAGAAGGCCCCAGGATCACTTTGAACTGAATGAATTGAGAACTAGCAAATTATTCCATTTTTCGAGTGATTTTGCAATTCTTGCAAAATATCTTGTTGACACTTAAAAGTTGAATCCTATCACTGGATGGGTGGATGCACTTTTTCTTTTTAATGCTGACTGGCATGTACCATAATTCAGAAATATATGTTCATGCTATAGAAGCTCTCTTTCCTAGGCTTATTGCTATGAAAAAGGATATTGTTGGTTTAAGAGGTTCTATTCTCAAACTTGAATGAACTTTCCTTTCATGGTAATGCAGGTTGCTGATGATTCAACCTTTACTAGGGATGGTGCTGATGTTTATGTGGATGCTAATATTAGCTTTACCCAGGTGAGAACTGAATCACCTATAAATAAAATATTTTCTTGAGCTTATTTCTGTTGAGTAGATATTCGTTGGCTAACTTCAAGTTTCAACTGTTCCCATTGAGCATGGAAGTAAATCATCCCTGTTTATGCACTTCCTTTTTTGTTTTGCGTCATCAGATAAAGTGTTTTCCTCTGAAACTAGAAATTAAAGAGGCATGCTTTGTTATCAGCATGCAGTTTGACAGTGTGGTTGAAGTTGGTGGGTTAGGTTTTCTTGTATAATAGTACTGTTTCTCTTCCAGGCGTCATAACAGTATTTTTCTCTTGCAGGCCATCCTTGGTGGTACAGTTGAGGTACCGACTTTGTCAGGAAAATACAAAGTGAAGGTGATAACTATTATCATTATATACTTTGCTTTTCTTTTTTTTTTTTTTTTTTTTTCTTTTTTTTTTTTTTTCTATATTATGATCAAAACAACCTGAATGTCTATGATCTACATGTTCAAATCTTTTTTTTTTTTTTTTTTTTTCTAATATTATGAATCAAAACAACCTGAATGTCTTGATCTACATGTTCAAATAAGGCATCTATTTGATCTATATTTAATATGATTGTTAAGAGGTGTTGATGTGAAACTAACAAAATATACCAGAGTTTTTCAAGAAATATCCAATAATATTGCTTGAACATGGGCATGGGCCATATATTTAACATGATTTACATGCTTTAATGTGGCAAAGTCTGAAAAATAAGGATGGGGATAGGGGGAAAACTAATTGATGAACAAATTTTATCAGTTAAATTACTTAGAATCCAATAATGTTAACATTGTCCCCCTCCTTAATCTCTACCTGTAATTGTAGTTGTCATAAAGTTTCGCATACTCTGGTGAGTGACAGAATCTTCCCATCCTTTGTTATTATACAGATACCCAAGGGGGTTCAGCCTGGACAACTTCTGGTACTAAGAGGCAAAGGTATGTTAAATTACACTCTAGGTCCTGAAATCTACTCCTTGTAACTTTCCTCATAAATATTCTCACATTTTAAAGTACCTGCAGGACTACCAAAGCATGGTTTTCTTGTGGACCATGGAGACCAATTTGTACGGTTTTGCATAAAATTCCCCACGTAAGTTCTCTTTTTTCCTTTGTTTTTCCTCCACACAAGTTGGGAGAGATATTAGTGTCAGTGTCAGTCATACCTTTTTTTACACAAATGGTAGTCGTCATTTCATGTCTATTTGCGCTTGTTTTAAATGTAGTTCCTAATTTAACTATTCTGTAGTGTGAAATGTGCTTTAGAATTTGTGCAAACTATTAAAGCTAGATTGAGAATCCCAAATTTGTAGGCTCTAGGAGGGTTGGTGTACGTAGTCTTCCTACTGCTTTTGCAGAGGGTGTTTCCGTGAATCGAACTTATTTACTGTTACATCAATCACCCTCAAGAATACTTGACAATAGTAGCTGTGAATATATTGTCCTATACATCTGGGTAACAAAATGATAAGTTAGCAAGATACTTTGTAATCTAGAGTATCCAAACCATGCCTAGGCTAGCAGGTAGAGTTTTCAATGGAAAAGACCATGCCAAACTTTATACCCAATTAATATGACTTTTTAATGCGAACTGCGCTAACTTTGTGAAAACGGACAAGTATTTCATCTAAAATAAAGCCACTTGGCTCAGCTTGGCACTTCTTTTGTCCTTGCACAAATGCCTTTTTTCTCATTTGCTGGTAAAGGCCGTTGGATTTGTAGTATTACTTGTTGGAAAAAAAAATGAGCTGTTTACAAATACAAGAATAAAACTTTAATCTTCAGAATACTTAAAAAAGGTGAGTTATGACCTTTAATGTGGCTCCTGATCCTTCGGTCTTTTTCTTTTCCTTTTTTAAAAAGTCCTGTAAATTTTACAAATATGAAAAAGCTGCAGATCCATTTTTTCATGTTAATATATTTTCTAATCATGTTTCTAAAGGGCAATACAATAAAACATTGTATCCTGCGCAGCTATTGCTTTTGAAATTCATATGGAGTATGCTGTAGAGTATGAAAGTCTAATCTCTGCTGTTTTTATTCTGATTGTAGTTCATTAAATGAACGTCAACGCGCCATATTAGAAGAATTTGCTGTGGAGGAGATAAATAGTGAAAATGATACATTTGTTGAAGGCAATTGGTAAGCTTTTTTCTTCACATGTGCTTGTTAGCTAATGTTTTTTGTTCTTGCTACTCTGCTGCATATGAGGAATGTATGGACCGTTTCAGGTTTTAATATAATCATATTTAACATTAATGTGATTGTTTTATGAACCATCAGATAAACTTAGATACATTGCTTAGTATAAATCAACATCCTGAGAAATAGGAGAAACAAGGTCTCAAAATTACTAGCTGTTCAAAGGAATGCATCAATAGTTGTATGATGTCCATACGTACTCTAGATGACCATGATCAATTGTAAACTCTTTTGTAGAAGAAAAGGATCAGCAGCATATCTGTACAATTACTATTGTGATTGAAGAATTCTTGGGGTTCATTTCAGATCCATGATGGAACTAAAATTACAATGGTGGGACAACAGTTATACTAAACTCTGTTACCTTGTTTTGGTGTTAAATTTGTGTATAGTGTTGGCTAATGTTATATCTATTTATCTTCTTAAAATGACTAAGTTTCTCTATTGGATTAACTTCAGCATGCTAAAAATATTTCTTGAAAATAGCCAATTATTAGCATTCTAGATGATTGAAGTGCTATTGGTTTGAAGAAATAGGCTTTGCAGCAATCTTCTAATATTTTAATTTGGATTAGGGTATGTGAATTCCCCAAATATTAATTGAACTTTGTTGTCAACTTCAGTGATTTTTATTCTGACTGTAATGAAGATCCTGAAATGGATAACAGGCTTTATCAGCAGCTATCTACTGGTTGAACTTACAGGTGGCAGCGTCTTCTTGAGCATGTGACAGGCCCAACGTTTATGCTTGAATTTTCTCTATTCATTTTACTCCTGCTGTTCCTTCACAAAATCGTGGGATAAAAGCCGGGTTGAGGTGACATTCCGCGGAAATATTCATTTAAGGAATTCATCTTTGTTGGAAGTCCACTGATTAAAGGTACTAATTTCTGATATTGACATCAGCAGAATCCGGTGCATTTTCTTTTCTTGCATGTAATTTATTACATTCACTATCTGCAGATAAATGTAAAAGAACTGTTTTTCTAATCCCCCGGCACTCCAATTTGTTAAAAAACTGAATAGGTCAAAAAAAGTGCATTTCAGGCCAGCCATATTGGTAATAATAGTTGAAACCCGTCCACCAAGAATGTTTTGTTTTGCATTTTAGATATTTGATCAATTCTAAAGTAGCATTCAGAAATTACTTCCAAGTTATACTTGTGTTTATTGGCGATGTGGTTTGAGGTTTTAGGTTGGCTGACTCGCTGAACTTTGAAATAAATTACAAATTGATTGCAGCTAGTGGACTGACCTTCAAATAATTATTGCAGTTTGAAATAATGAGAAATTAATAAGTACTTAAAAAATGTGTGAAAGTCATTTTACACTTGGATGCAGATGATGTTACTGGAGCTGTGAAATGTTTTGATAATTACCGTGCTTATTTGTGTGGACATGGCAGACATGGACACTCCAAACAAATTTATGCTTCTCAAAGCTCCGATACTTGTTTTTCTGGAAAGTACTGAAGATACAGGATTAGATTGGAATAATACTTTTCTTACCAGCGGAAGACCACTTCAATGAAGAGCCACGACGCTGGACTTTATCATTTCTCTTCTGATGTAAAAATGCATATGCGTGATATATTTCTTTTGTTGGAGGTTATACTAGATTGACGCATACAAAAATGCATATACGTGATTAGCTGACAAAAATATTCAATTGTAACTAGAAATACGCATATGAGAGTTCCACTGATCTCAGAATGGAAGCTTTTTAATTTTCCTTTCAAATATGATATGATGGATTTACGTAGCTAGCATATATTTTATAACTTTGTATGCCATTATTCTCTATAGTTATTTTTCCTTTCTTTTCCTTGCCTTTCTGTTTTTGAGACAAATACTTCATTTCTCCAAGCTCAAACACTCTTGCTTCTCTTGGAATTACCTGTTAAAAAAAAAAATCTACATAGATTTATCTAATTCTTAGAATTTCAAACCAGTTATAATGAGAAGTATAAAAGAAAAAATAAATGTCTCTAATGTCAATACGATAAACATTTCAGGGTCTCTGAAAATGGAAACATGGACAAATACTTTGGAACGGACTAAGTATTAAATAAATATTTAGTGAAAATATGAAAATATATATAAGGAAACATGGACAAATACTTTGTGGAACGGACTAAGTTATTAAATAAATCTTTTAGTGAAAATATGAAAAATAGTATATATATGATATAATTATATATAATATATATATATAATATATATCAATTTTGATACACCTAGCTAAAACTAATAGTCGACAGAATTTAACCGTAGTAAGTAATGAGTCAAGAGTCAATCAAAAGAATTTGATAATGTAAACTAAACAGCTTAGTTTGATCCAATAAGCAAAGCAAGTTTAATTAATCTAAATTGTAAACAAGTTGAAGGTGAAAAAAGAAAGAACCAACCTTGAAATCATTGTTCACGATTATTCCTATGATGCAAAAGACAGTAGCAAACAAGCACATAATCATCTAAATCTCCGTCACAAAAGTGTCGCAGACAAAAACTCATGAAATCGGTCAAAGTTCTTGTGGAGGTTGTAGTACGAATTGTGATATCAAACTGTGAGCCTGTGTATTATCTTGATCTTTGACAAATTTTGTTTAATTCTTGCTAAATACTTAAAAAAAAAAAAAAAAAATCAAACCTCTTGTTTAAAAGTCAAAACTTCACCTATCAGTTTGTGGCTCAATTTGTAATGCAAACAGGACATGTGAAAAAAGATTTCGAGTACGATCTCTGCTAAACACACTTTTCAAGTAGGGACGAAAAGTTTTAATTATGATTAACCCAATGAATTAGACGATCTCTAATAATAGAGTCTGGATACCAATAATTTACAAAAAAAAAAAAAAAAAAAAAAAAAAAAAAAAAAAAAAAAAAGCATATTGACTTATTGGACTACCAACTATGAACCAGCCAATTATGAACCAGCCATAACTTGGTTCGAATTCCAGTCCGATTTTAAAAATATTGGTTCTACTTATTGGACTACCAACTGCCACTTCAATCATATTGACTTGGGTGTCTATGGGTATGGCTGAATTTTGATTCATTCTATTTATAAAAATTTCATTTGTTAGCTACATCAATGATAATAAGCCAACTGTTAAAAAAAATCCTCAATTTTAATACTTTTACAATATTGGTAAATTGTTTTAATTCCGCTAATTGATTTCAGTATTACGACTTTTGTATGATTGCTGTGAAAATTTAATCTTAATAAATATCATAAATAGAAAAAAGCATTAATAACCATTTGATTGGGTTCAAGCACCAGAACTAGGAAAGCACTAAGCAAGAAACAAAGCTCAAACTATCTCAAAATGTATCTAAACAAACATTCTTTCTCATTTGGGGCGGTTTGTTTTAGACAACTTATTAAACCTTCAAATTATGCATTCAGATAATAAAAAATAAATTTATTTTTGCTGAGATGAATCAATAAGTGATTTATCTAATATAAGTTGAATTTGTATGAAGAAAAAAAGTTTCTTTTTAAAATTAATTTAATAAGCTATGTAATTTATTAGATGAAAGAATAAAATTACTCCTATAATTATAAAATGACACTATATATCACTTCTCAATTATTTAGTAATAGACTTTAAATGCTGTTTTTTTTTTTTTTTTTTTAATTTTTTTTTTAATCTTCATTCTTAATAAATAGTTATAATTAAAGAATTACCAGATGTAACGACTGTTGACATTTTTTTTTTTTTTTTTTTAATCATTCATCTTAATAAAATAGTATATTAAGAATTACCAGATGTAACGACTGTTGACAACTGCATGAATGGTACGCACAGTTTACAAATTATTCATCGTTAGATTTCCGTCGCAATCTAACGGTCACCGTCACTTTACAGATTTTCTAATTTGGTTGTACTTATTGGGCTGCGGGCTGCAATTTCATTATGGATTTGATGCTCATGCCTTCTCTCTCTCTAACCCATCCCTTCTTTTTCTTTGTCTTTTGCACTTGTCTCTCCTCACCTTCCTCCACAACCATGATTATCTTCAGATAAATTCATCCCTTTATCATATACATTGCCCACCACTTCAAATACCCACCATTAGAAATCACCATCATCAACAAAAATAAAAAGCAAAAACAATGATGCAAAATGAGCAAGACAGAGAAAGAGCAAGAGAGACCACGTCACTCGATATCACATTACTATATTCAGAAAGGCCAAAAGTAAAGAAAAACGAGTTTGCTAAAGACACTGCAAAAAGGCACACTAGGACTGCATGAAGGATTTTCCAGTTTGGCGGTCCCCGATTATAAGTTCTCGTTGACCACGGCCTAACCTCCACACAACACACAAGTAGCTCTTAAGTTAAGGCAGTCTAAGCGGTACAACGAACCTGTCATGTCAATCCATTCATCTGAGGTGTTTTCCTTGTTAAGTACCTTAGGGCTGTCATCTTAGAATCATTAACAGAGTGTTTCACGGTTCGTTCTCTTGAAAACAGGAAGTAAGAATACAACCAGCATGTCGTCAGAAATTCAATCTGTGGTCGGGAACGCTTATTTGGCATTGCCAAACCAACCCTTTTGCTTCCTTAAGGGGTAAGGGGCTAACTTTCCCTTCCAGTTGTCGGATAGCAGAGCAGACGCCACCCTAAAAGGACGATCAAAGGAAAGATAGCATCATTGGCGTATTTTTGGTAGTGGAAAAAGGCTAGGCCCCCATACAGCAGGTAAAGGAATAAATGGTAATGGGTAAAGACGTTATTTTGGCAGAAAATCGTTCGTTTGTTATTATATTACTGGCTTGTTTGTGCAAGAAAGCTACAGACATGCAATTGACTCTTCTGCAGGGGTGTGCAGACTGAATTGAATTAAAAATGGAATCCCCTCGTCTCGGTTTGGTTTGGTCCAGTCCATTCAAGAGAGATTCAGTTTATTGGGTTGGTCGGTTTGAACCAAAGTTGCTATACTGACCCCTTCTCTTTTGTCATGCAAAACTTTATTTTAGCTTTTAGGGCTTGTTTGGTTCAACAGTTCAGTTCATACCAGTAGTGATAGCTAGTATCTGGTAGTGGTGGTGGTTAACTAATGAATGTTGCTTGGTAAAATTTTGGTAACCGTTGCTGTTAAATATAAAATGTCTACTAAGAGCATTGTATAAAAAGTATAATGTAAAAAATATACATATTTTTAAAATTTTTTAGGTCAATATAGAATTTGAAAATAATATTCAAAAAAAATTATTATATTTAAATAATAATAAATAAAATGATCATAAAAATTAATTTTTAAAAAAAAATACTAATAATTATTTTTATGAAATCAATGAAGTCCAAATATAATATAATCAGTTATCAGCCCATACGAAAAATCTCTAAAAAGTGACCAGTAGAATTAGCTATAGATATTAATTAGCTATCAGCTTCCAAACGCTTTATTCATGAATTTATTTGCCTATTGATACATCGAGAGATGACAAGTCACGTCGTTGATTAATCAGGGGAACTACACACTCTGTGGGCCAACCTAAAACTAAGTGAAGGTCGATATCCTGTTATGTCGTTGACATTGACAATACCTGGCTAATGGTCCAAACTAATAAAACAACATCCTAACATGATATTGATCTTGTCTCTTCTGATAATAATAATAATAATAATAATAAACGTGGATAAAATGGCTAATATGAGGTGGTTGGCCACCCAACTTTTGGCGGCACTGATTCTGTTATTTATTTTCTCTTCCTTTGCGATGCTGGGAATAAGTTGAGGGTTGATAATGGTTAGCTATAGGATGAAGATGAGTCTAACGAGGCTATGGATGGCTTGGATGATGATGATTTCTTTGGGATCATGAGAATTTCGACTCACATAAGGGACTACTAATGCTTGTAGTAGAACATTCTTTATTATTTTTACACATCTGCCTTTATTTAGATACGTGAGGAATAAACATGTTCACGGTTTGATTTTAAATCAAATGAAAACTTTGGTTCAGATTTCATCTTTTAAAATTGAAATGGATAGTTTTAACTTAAAATCAGCCGTTATATTTGAAATAATGAAAAATAAAAAGAGTTCTCCGAATAAATTTTCAATTTATTTTTTTAAAAATAAATTTTAATACTTTTTATTAAATTGATTTAGTCATTTTTTTTAAATAGTAATGTTTATCATTATTATTATTTATTCAAGCCATAAAACAAATTAGATTCCAACTCATAAAAGAATTAGAATCAACAATTTTAAACCATTTTAGAAACTGCATAACAGCAGTTCTTTTTTGGTTTCACCGTTCTTATAACCATAATCAATAATTTGAAACTTAAACTTGCATTTATAGACCGGTCATGCCTAGTTGGTTAGGGAGTGTGCAGTTCAAGGCTAATACTTTTATCTTCTTAAAATGACTAACTAAATCAATATTTCATGAAACAATAACCAATTATTAGTGCGCTTTATAATTGAATTGCTAGAAATAGGCCTTGCGGTGATCTTGTGATTTAATTTGGTTTAGGATATATGAATTCTCCAAATGTTGATTGAACATTGTCAGCAATTTCAGTAATTTTTCTTCTAACTATATTGAAGATCCTGAAATAGGTACCTGGCTTTATTAGCAACTATCTATCGGTTGAAGTTACAGGCAATAGCATCTTCTTAGCTTGTTACAGGCCTTATGTACTTTTTCCTATTAGAATCAGCATTTCTCCTCAAATTGCAGAGCGTACATATTTTCGGGACAGACCCTATTCATCTTATACTTGTCTTAGAATCACGGGATGAAACATGAAAGCTGAATCGAGGTGACATTCGCGAAAATGAGAACCAAAATCTTCAAGTGTTTCTTTATGGAATTCATCCTTGATGGGAATTGATTAAAGGTACCAATTTCTGACAATAACATAAGCAGAACACATGCATTGTTTCCCTTGCATTGCGTGAAATTTATTACATTAACTATCTAGAGATAAACGTAATCGAACAGTTTTCTAACCCCCTGACACTCCAATTTCTCTTCTTGGGGCAGACTAGGTAATACAGTCCTAGATCACCCACCACCACTATCTTCTTTTCCAGACAAATTTTCTTAAAAGATGTTAGGAAAAAAAAAAAAGAATTTAGCTCAAATGTTATATAGCTTAAAAAATAATCTCTAAAAGAGTATTTTTGACTTTTAAATGTACAATATTACAGTTATAATATAACAATATTGGAGCTTGTGCTTTTTACACTATGCCTGGAACAAAATTAGTTAAATATACAATTAACTTTCCAACATAAACCATTTGAGATAAATTTTTCGATTTTTACCTCCATTTTGGAAAATTACCCCTTTTCCCCCTCTATTTTTGGTTAAAAAAAACCGAAGAGGTCAACAGGAGTGCTTTTAGGGTCAGCCATATTGGCAATAATAGTTGAACCCATCCAACAAGAATGGTTGTAGTTTTGCATTTTAGATATGGTTCTTTATGCACTTGCATGAGTTTATCGACTTCAATGTGGTGTGAATTTTCATGGTTGAAGTTAGTGGACTCACCTTCTAATAATTATTAGTTGCAATTTGAAATTATTAGAAATTAATTGTTATTTGGCATAAATTTTCAAAGTACCCTCAAATCTTAGTCTGTGACTCTTGGTTGAAAGATTGAGATTCCAAATTGAGCCAATTGAAATGGAAATTTTATTCTCCGGTTATGTCCAACATTTCATTCCGACACTAGCGAATATAGAGAAGAAATTAGGTACTGCGTATATTTCATGCAGGATAATTAAATTCAGATCATAATTTGACAATTTAGCGTATTACATATATTCAGACATTTTGTGTTGGAATGGAAGATTCAGATGTTTCTATTTCTGAAGTAAGATTCGTTTTCTTGCTCTGTTTTATCTCACCATAGAAGTAAGAAAGAAAGCCCCAAAGAGAAAGTGCAAGAGCTACCCCTTTTTCTGCTTGAAATTTCTCTTGGTAGAAAATGACGGCTAGGATCTCTGTCACTGGAAGAAGAACAGCGATTACGACGCCTGATGCCAAAGAGGAGGCGCAAAACACGATTCCTATTGCTCCCAAGAAAAAGCACTGCCATATGATTGCACTCCACACCATTATCACATAATACTTCGTTTCTCCAAGTTCAAACTCTTTTGCTTCTCTTGGAATTACCTGTAAAAAAATGAATTTTGTTATTTACTTTTGTAATGACATATTTTATGTGAACAAGCTTAGTGCAGCAATGTACCGAGTCAGCCTTACATTTGTCTCTCAGTTTTCTCTTTCTTTCTAGAAAATAACTTGATTTTCCGATATAGAGTGTGCTTAGAAAAAAATAAATCAACCAAAAATACATATTTATTTTTTATCATGATCTTTAAACTATATATTTTTTGCACATCGACAAATTTATTATGACCTTTAAACTATATATTTATTAACTCTAAAATATATCTATTTTAGAATCTAAATTTTTGAACTCTGATAAGTAAGAGCATGAGTCAAGCAAAAGAATTTTATAATGTAAAATTAACAGCTTAGTTTGACCCAACAGCAAAGCAAGTTTAAATAATCTAAAATAAACAAAGGCTGGCTCTCCCGGCCGGCGAAGAGAAAAGTTGACGGTGAAAAGGAAAGAACCAACCTTGAAATCATTGTTGACGAGCATTCCTACGGTGCAAACGACAGTAGCAAACAAACACATGATCATCTGAATCTCCATCACGAGAGTATAGCTTATTTCTTGCTTTGCCTTCCTGTACGTCAATTCCACCAACGGCAAAATCAACCCGTACAAAACCGCAGCTCCTAAAGTCATCACAAACCCTAAATTATACTCTTTCTTTGATTCATGCTCAGGCCGGTCACTGCTCGTATGTAAAGCCAACACGCCAGCCCCGACTGTCAGTAAAACGACAGCGTTTATAGAATAAGAAGTGAACTTTTGTTTAACTAATAGAAAAGCAAAGCCAGCCGTGAAAGCCAACTGCGTTGCGATGATCAAAGAAGAAGTTGAAACAGGAAGACGTGCAACTCCGTAAGCGTAAAGATAGTCATCGAAGCCGGTGAGGATTCCGATTCCTGTGGCCGCGAGAAACAGAGAAGGTTTCATGTAGAAGAGTTTAGCGGTGGTGGGATCGGTGGTGGAGCGACGGTGGAAGTAGCTTATGAGGAGAGGAATGAAAATGATGGGCCAACCGGCGGTTTCCAGCCAGCTAGAAAGCCAAACGCGTTTGCCTCCATGTATGAAGTAGAGGCGCATTATTAAAGGGCCACCGCAGTTTCCTATAGATAAAATGACGCAATTTAGAACGAGTAGGGCTCTTCTCATGGTGGCCTTTGCCGGTTGAGGCTTTTCCTTGTTCTCGTCCATCACAACTCTATCCCTCCTCTATTTTCTAAGAGTTTTATACTCTATGACCAGAAACTTTTTTTTTTTTTTTTTTTTTTTAGACGAGTAGGGCTCTTTCTCATTGGTGGGCCCCTTTGGCCGGTTGAGCTTTTTCCTTGTTCTCTCCATTCACAACTCATATCCCTTTCCTCTTCATTTTTCTAAGGCAGTTTTATTTTTTTTTTTTTATTTTACTCTATGACCAGAAAACTTTTTTTTTTTTTTTTTTTTTTTGAATAATCATGTATCGCCCACTGCCCCACTAATCCGTATTTACCCTGATAGGTCCATAAGAATTTTTTTTTTTTTATTTCTCCACTCTTAGAAGTATTATTCACGTTAAACTCTTCTAACATGAATGGTTAACATTCTGTGTTATTAACCAACAAAGTATTGGTTGAGGTGATAAGTGATCTCAATCCCGTAAGGGTGACAATATAAGTTTGATCCTAGAAAATTCATTTGTTATGAGGATCAAAAATCGTTATCTTCTATGGACCGAGGGGATAGAAATATATCCATGAGAGAGCATATTACTTTAAAGCCAGCTGATTTTAGAAAATTATATAAAATAATTATGGAATGGAGAGAGTAGGTGGAATTAATTTAGATTTCTTTTTATTTTTTGGAAAGGAAGATTTCTTTTTATTTATACAACCATGAAAAATGTGAGTAAATTATATATGTGAATTCGTGCATTTTTGATTGTGCCAACCAAGTTTACGAGTATAATTAATTACTTACTAAAATCATTTGTGTATGACAACAAAGTAATTTTGAACTTACTAAAATATTAAATTATAAAAAAATATTATAATCCCTTCCATAAAAATATAATCCGTTTGCTAATCAAAATCTTTACCAAATACTTTTAGCTCAGCATTGGATGCAAATCAGCTACCGATTGAAACAAAACATTCCAACATCACTCTTTATCTCATCTAATTACTTCAATTTCAACATTTCTCTCTCTATTAATCTGAGATTAAATTAAATTAAGAAAAATAGATAGAGAGGTAATAAAATGAGTTGTAAGAAATTATAAAAAATAATTACTGTATTTAATAAAGATAAAAGGTAAAATTTCAAAAAAATAATTATTAATAACTTTAAACAAAGGAAAGGTAAAAGAATTTGTGATAGACACATGACGCAAGCAATATAATTAAAAGATAATTTACATTTTTCAAAAGGCAATTAAACAATGGTAAGAAGAATCTTCCATCCTGCCGGATTTAATATTCTAAAGTTGTTAACTCTTCCTCAATTGGATGGAATAGAAGACTAACAATAACAAGCGAGGCTTCTGATTGGGTGGCTAATCTATTGTGTATTCCCTCTCAAGCTCTGTATTAAATGGACAACTTCGGTATTTGTCTGATTCCCTCGTGGGTTTGACAATGAAATTGCATAATTGAGGTTGAAAAAATAAACAAATAAATAAATAAGGGTGGGAATGGGACCATTAAACGATTATTATTTGCTGATTAAGTATATCGTCATCATTGCTATACAATTTCAATCTTGCTTGACTTGGAGTGGGTGGACAGTTGCGTTCATTTTTATTTTTATATAAATATAATTTCATTGTCACCCCTTTCATTAAATAATTTAAATTCATTAAATATATATATACATGTGAAAGTGAAACTAATGTATAATTTAAATATTTGAGATCTGTGTCAAATATATAAATTAATCTCTCACACTACTCCATATTAATAACTGTAATTTTTTATATTATAGTTTTTATATGGCAAATAATAATTTAATAAATGGTTACTACGACGCCTAAAATAATAATTTTTATAAAATAATAAGTGCTCAATGGATGTAAAAATTAACCGTGTAATAAAATTTTTTGTTTAAAAAAATTTTTTGTTTAAAGTAGAAATATGAGTTTATGCATTGAGCCTAAATAGCTAAATATATAATATTATATATCTATTTTTTCTAATGGATTTTAAGTTTTGTTTTCTCTCTTTTAAGGATTGTTTACTTTAAAGTGGATTTATTTATTTTATTATTATTTTTTGAATGTAAAATGAAATGCGAATATATTAATAAGAGGCAAAAGTCTTAAAGTCGTTAGATCATATAAAAATTTATAGAGTCGAAAAATGGCTATAAATTATTAGTAACCGCAACATGTTTACTGTTGATGGCACCAATTTGGTGGTTCAGCACTATCAAATTCCTCCAAGTACTGCTTTTTTTTTTCCTGGGAAGAAAAAAAAGGAGAGTAGAAGCTGTAAAAGAACAAGCACGTTCTAGGATAAACAACACTAATGGCAACATGCATCAACCATGACGCCATCCTTAGAGGAGATATGAACTGTTGTTTTTTGTATAAGGGATTAATGTTAATTCAGTTAATTATCCAAAAATTGGAAAAAAAAAAAAATATAGCCATTGCCCATCTCTATGACTATATTTCAAATGGATAAGTCATTCGCAATTTAATGAAATATGATTTCATTTTCTTCTGAAAAAAAAATTAAAACACTATTAAACCAGAAATACTTTAAATTAGTATATTTTATTACAGTTGAAAGAGATTTTATTTTATAGAGGGAGATTATATCTATTTTTTGTTTTCTTTTTACTAAATCAAAAAAAAAAAATTTGTGGAAAACCGAGCTGAGAAAAATAAACAGAAATCATGCTTTGCAAAATTTTTTTGACAGTTTAATTTTTTATTGTAAGATACCAAAAAAAAAAAAAAAAATTAAACATTGGATCTTTCTTTCAAATTTAAGAAAAAAAAAATACAATATTAGTTAAAATCTCTATGAGTCCAACCCTGGATGTTTGTGCAAGAAAGTCGGAGTTATAAAATTTCATCATCATAACTAATTAAGTGGTCCTCACAAATATTGGGAAAATGGAGGTTTAAGATGTGAAGTTATAGAAGTAACTGACTCTGCAAGGACATGGTCGCAATGTTGTCTTCGTCTGGGTTAAGGATTCCTTGAATTATTTAAACCATAGTAATGCAGAATTGTGTCTTTTAAGTCTTTGAATTTTTTTTTTTTTTTTACTTACTTAGTAGCCATAGTCATGGCCACCGGTTCATTTTGAACCGAAACTGAATCGTATTGTATATGAATCGAATCGAATTAGAACCGTCGGTTCAAAATTGTAAACTGGAACGGATGGTTTAAGGGCCGGTTAATGTTCATGTGAATATTAAAATCTGAACCTGAACTGGCCCTGAACTGTTGGTGAACCAGCAGTTTCAGTCCGGTTCGAACCGAAAATTTTTTTATTTTTATTTTGAAAATAATAATCATTTACTCTATTTTATACATCTCTAAAAGTCTCAATAATATTTTATTGCATGATATACTTTACTTAAGTTTTTTTTTTTTTAAATAAAATACACTTCACTTTAAAAGTTAGAAATCTAAAAAGTAAAATGGTAAAAAAAGAGAGAAATATTTAGTATAAACTTATATTGTTTTTAACTTTTTTTTTTACCCTTTTAAATTAGTTACTAAGTTTAAAATTACATTCTTTTTAAGCATTTTTCAAAATTTTCTTATAATTTATTTAATTAATAACATTTAAATAAAATAAAGTGATAACTTATGTAATTATTTTGTAAAATTAATTAATTTTATTCTTATATGAGTATGAGTATTCTAAAATTATTTAAAATAAAATATATCAATATTTTTTAAACTCATATTAATATTTTCAAAAGAAAGATGTAACGTTATGATCGATTTAAAAAAAATATATATATCACCAGAAACCGTGATCGGAACCGTCAGTTCATCAAAACAGCACTGGAACCGATCGGAACCAGAACTGAAACCTACAATTTAAAGGCTGGTTTAAATTTAATATTTTAAAAATTTTGAACCATCGGTTCCGTGAACCAGAACCCGCGGTTCATTGAACCCGCCATGCTTAGCCCATAATCTTTATGGGGCCTTTGTTATTTGTTGTACTTCTTATTCTAAATGTGTAGCTAGTTTTATTCTTTTGCTTGCAATAGTGGGCCTTGGGACCAACAATCAGTGAATTACAAGGCTGGGTGTGGCTCTATATACTAATGGGTAGTTTTGCAATCCTAATTCCATGGTTTATTATTATTCAATTAATACACATCTAGGTTATTTCCGTTGTTGGTTGTTCTATAATTGCCAGGTGTTTTCTTAAAACAATAAAAATAAAATATAATTGATAGATGTTTTTATTAGCTTTCAACTACACTTTAAAATGAATAACCTTTTAAACTCGATTAGAAACAACCCGAGGCACTCCAACATAATCAACCTTCATATTGCTGAATAGTATATAAACCTCATGTCACTGAAATCTTATTGAGACCATATCAAACCAGGCCAAGTCCGAGCCGATCCAGTTATGGAACCACATGTTCGTAGAACTAACCGGCCCTTAATAGCAGCAAGCAATATTTTTTTTTTTTCTTTTGAAGTTAATTGAATCTGTTTTTTAGATTTTTTTTTTTTTTTTTTTTAAAGTAATTGAATCTTTTTTAGATTTTTTTTTTTTTTTTTTTTAATTTTTTTTTTTTTTTTTTTTAAAGAACATTCAAAATTGTTTTTAAAATATTCAACAGTCAGTGATCACAACATATAATTATAGTTGTTAATGAAACTTTATTTTATTTGATAACTAACTGCTCCATTGTTTAATTACCAATACAAGTTCCACGTAATATACACACATTGACACTCATTGTACAGATAAAATAATCACTCATTTATTATATTTTGGCCAACGAATTGCAAATAAATCAATCATGTTGATATATAATATGAAACGAAAGCTCATAATGCTATTCTTTAGCTCTGACGGTAATCATGACCTTGATGATGATGAGGGGCGCCACCACCAGCCGCCATAATTGAACTACCAGCGCCGCCAGCTGCAAGTTCGTGAATTCGTACTTCATCCTCAATCGACTCCGTGATAATTTCCTCTCCATGCGATCCTGTGGTTATTGTCTCTTGAATTACTTCGTGTTCTTCAATAACAAGAGGAGGTGCAGCTACAGGAATCATAACTGGCTTCTTTTTCTTTTTAGCCAAACAAATAAGACCAACTAATAGGAATGCAAGAAAGAATGCACCTCCTAGCGACGCAAACACCACGACGATAGTCGTGTGGTGGTTGTTTCCCGAAGGTGGTGCCACCACGTCCGATGAAGGTGGAACTGCGTTAAGAGGTACTGGAGGTGCACCATAAGAAACAGGCGGTGCTGTAGCGTATGGAGGTAACTTTGATGGTGAAACTGGACCTTTTGATGGAGTTGGTGGTGATGAAGGCAGAGAAGGAGAGGGTGGTGATGCATATGGAGGTGACTTTGGTGATGGAGTTGGTGGTGATGAAGGGAGAGAAGGAGACGGTGGTGATGCATTTGGAGGCGACTTTGGTGATGGAGTTGGTGGTGATGAAGGGAGAGAAGGAGAAGGTGGTGATGCATTTGGAGGCGACTTTGGTGATGGAGTTGGTGGTGATAAAGGGAGAGAAGGAGAAGGTGGTGATACATTTGGAGGCGACTTTGGAGATGGAGTTGGAGGAGTATGGCTTGGCTGAGGTGAGGGTTTAGGCGGAGTTGGATTGTGTGGAGAGGGCATGGGTGGTTTTGGTGGTGGTGGAGGTGATTTGGATGATGGAACTGGACCTGGAGTATGGCTTCCTGGAGAAGGTGGTTTTGGTTTGTGGGGAGATGGTACCGGCGGCACCGCAGGGCTTGTAGGAGGTGGTGGTGGCAAGGTATGCAGTGGTGGTGCATATGAAGGAGTTTTTGGTGGAGGACTGAGATTTTTAGGTGGCGGTGCATTATAAGTTGGGGGTGTGCAATAATAACATGAAGGTGGCGATTGTGGAGATGGGGATGGTGGAGGTGGCTTAGGGTGGTGTTGGTGATGGTGTGGTGGTGAGGATGGCTTATGATGGTGGTGGTGGTGATGATGATGAGGTGGAAGTGGAGACCGTGATGGCGGCGGCGAGGGTGAGTGGACATAGTGGTGGTTGGCTGGAGGTGATGGGATGACCGGTGGTGGTGGTGAATAGTATGGATAAGCCATATTCAATGGAAAAGAAAAAGAGGTGTCTCAGACCCTTTGAGTACTTAATTAGGTGAGTGCTGTAATTGGCAAGCTAGAGATGTGCGCTCTATTTGTACTGATTTTGAACTAGTTCTAGTTCATCAAGTTTTTGGATGTTGAGTTGTCCATTCACATAAACTAAATTAAATTAAACCATGTGATCAAAAGTTTTGCAAAGTCTTTTTATATTTTGGTAAAACCCTAACTTTCTTTTCATTGAATGATCAACTATATAGAAACAAAAGAGTAGTTCTTTCTTTCTTCTTGCTTTTTTTTTTTTTTTCCAACTTGAAATCTTTTAACATTGGAGCAAAATATTTATTCTCGTAATCTTAAAGATAATTTAATGAGTTGATAAATATAGATTTATTTTTCACTTTATTTACAATGGTTATATATATATTTTCAATTTTATATATATTTTCATGATTGAGCTAAGGATAGTGTTTAAATAAAATCCTCTCAATAAAAAGTACCATCAAATTTCGAACTTTTGACCTTACAAGTTAAATTGGCTCAAAAATATTAGATATAGTTTACTTCTACTAATCTTTTATATTTTAATTATAAAAAAATTATCAACTTCAATACGATATATGTATGTAAAAAATTAAGATGTGATAGAATAAAAAATGGAATAGAATAAAATTGGTCAAAATGATCCGTAATTAACTAGCTAGCTATCCTATGAGGAAACGCAATTGACAGTTTGTTGTTGAGTTGATTATCAAAATCTAGTCAGACGACTTGATATAACTTTTAGTTGGTCCAATTGCATATCTAGGAACTTTTTTGTGAACTTACTTAGTGGGATTTTTATATTATGATTTGGTATTATTATTTTTTTCGATTAGGTAATTAATGACAGGGATAATTAGTAATTACAGAATGTACATTGTCCACTTCTGTTTGACGGCTAACGTCCACGCATTGTCGTTTTGCCTCACTTGCCACATGCATACAATTAATATATTCAAAACCATCTCATTTAGTCATTCACAAAAGGTTTATTAAGAACCAAAAAAAGTTTAACAAATTGGTATAATTAGAACCCGCCAGCCAGGCGTCTCACCTGGCTACTGAGATTCTTTTGGACAGTTTTAAATGCTGGCGGAAATTTTATATTTTTTCTTAATATATCTTTATATTAGTATTTCATTAAAATTAAATTATCTATATTAAATTGTTATTAAAAATAATCAAACTATAAATATTTATCTAATAAATGAAGCAATTGCTTACTATATAAATGAAATATTAAAAGTTTGATATTTTAATTTTATTTATATGAAGATTTTTATTATAGTAGTTTGACTAATATATTTATTGAAGCATATTAAATAAGGATAAAATAATAAATTTAAAATGTATGAAAAAGGAAACTATGATTACGAAAAAGGAAACTATGGTTACAATAAAGGAAGCATTTATTTATTCTCAATAGACAAAAATCAAATTGACGACTTTCCCCCATGAGGAAAGCTATGATGATTCACTGAGAATAATACTTGGATCTCCTCCTAAGGAGAAGTGCCTTGGCCATTGACCCAAGTCTACAACTAAAAATGAATTACATAAATATAATACACAAAAATGAATTAAATAATTAGATCAGAAGGCAAGCTAACATCAGTGCTCATACTCCTGTTCGAGCATCTTACCATCGTACTAGCTTTCAAATTTTTATATTTTATCTTGTTATGTTTGTTGGATTATTTTTCATTGAGTTAATATAACATTTGTGCTCTCTTTCAATATATATTCTTTCAAAATATATATATTATATAATAATATATATAAGATATATTATAGTATATATATAATATATATTATACTATAGTAGTATATATATATAGTAAATGGACCATTAATTAATTTCTAAATAATAAGAAGACTAAAAAATAAATTGAATAAATATTTAGACTATAGAATATACGTAAATTCTTGCATATTTTATTGCAATTGTATTCATTGTCAATTAATAGGATCCAATTATTGTCTTTAGATATAAAAATTATCAAATGAACTTGACATATTGTTAACAATTGTACTATATTTTTGTTTTTCTAATTACGTGGTGAATTAATCTTAAAAATTTCATTTTTCAGATATACTTTGTCAAAATGTTGAATATATGGCAGTTATAACAAGTTGAAAAATTTATATAGTAATGACATATTAATTTCTAATAATAAGAGACTAAAAATTATAAATTGATAAATTATTTTAGACTATAGAAATATACGAAATTTTGCATATTTTATTGCAATTGTATTCTATTTCAATTATAGGATCCAATTAATTGTTTTAGATATAAAAATATCATGAACTTGACATATTGTTACAATTGTACTATATTTTTTTTCTAATTACGTGGTGTAATTAATCTTAAATTTCATTTTAGCATATACTTGTCAAAATGTTAAAAATATAGTGCAGTTATAACAAGTTGCAAATTTCAGATATTTTTGTTTATTGAGCCCAGAAATGTAAGGAAACTCAAAGTACTTGATGATTATTTTCTCATTTAATCTAATTTAGATGGGGAGAGTAAGAGTGCAAGTGGATGATTTATATAGTTATACTCTGCTCAGGCTCCTATAAAATATAAATGCATAAACGGCACATCGTTTCATTTTTTCGTTTGTAAATGTTGGGAAACTACAAGAAAAATGTTTTCCTTGTTGTCGTCCATATGAAGGGAAAAGTTTTCTTTTATCCATAGACGACGCATCCGCAGTCAAGAGGAAATGTTTTCTCTGTGTTTTTTCATCTAAGTGTCTACAGTCGTTCGATTCATTAGCCCCAATAAAGCAACCGAATCAATCGCAACAATTTTAGCCACTTGATACGTGGCCCCACCTCATTGATTCCCTTCCAATTTCCACAGCCCAGCAACAACAGCGAATAGCCAACCTAGTCATGGTAATCGGAGAAGAAGAGCACCCCCTTCTAATTACAGACATCGCAGAAGAAAATAAACGACACTTTGGTAGGAGAAGCATGGCTAGAATCGAAAAAGATATGGCAAATTGCAGGTCCCTCTATCTTCAACCGTGTTGCTATGTTCTCCATGACTGTCATCACCCAAGCTTTCGCTGGCCACCGCGGTGATCTCAATCTCGCCGCCATTTCCATCGCCACCACTGTCATTATCGCCATTAGTTTCGGTTTCCTGGTAAACAAACAAATCCTTCTGAATTCTTTCACATTTTCTTTATTTAATTAATAGCCGTTAGATTCTTATTGTTTTGATTGCTCCAGCTAGGCATGGCGAGTGCGTTGGAAACACTCTGTGGCCAAGCTTATGGAGCTAAGCGTTACCAAATGCTAGGCATATATATGCAACGTTCGTGGATTATTTTATTTTTATGTTCCATTTTGTTACTACCAATCTTCTGGTTCGCAACCCCAATATTAAAGCTGATCGGACAGCCTGCACAGGTTGCTGAGCACACAGGTTTGGTGGCGTTATGGTTAATACCATTTCATTTTAGTTTCCCCTTTCAGTTCACATTGCAAAGATTTTTGCAGTGCCAATTAAAGGCAGGGTTTATTGCTTGGGTGTCTGGGGTTTCTCTTCTTATCCATGTTATTGTGAGTTGGGTTTTTGTTTATAGGTTAAAGGTTGGGATAGTTGGAACTGCAATTACTCTTGATTTCTCTTGGTGGGTTTCAGTTTTGGGGATGTTTGTATATTGTGTTTGTGGTGGTTGTTCACTTTCTTGTACTGGTTTCTCTTCACAAGCTTTTGTTGGGTTATCGCCGTTCTTTAACTCTCTGTGGCATCTGGAATCATGCTTTTGTATGTTTTATTATTCTCTCTTTTCTATTGATTTTTTGAATATTTTAATTAGTTTATAGCTGGAAGTTATTGAGTTTCTACATTTTTTTTAAAGGTTGGAGAACTTCTATTATAGAGTATTGATTATAGTATCTGGGTATTTGCATAATACTGAGGTCGCAATTGATGCTCTTTCCATCTGCTTGGTTGCTGTTCACAATTCTGGTAGCTTTCTTTTCTTAATAAATTCAGATATTGGTGAATTTTACTTTGATGTCATTTCTTTGTGTCCTGATGGGTTCTAACTTATTTGGCAGCCTAAGTATATATGCCTGGGAATCTATGATTCCACTTGGATTTTTGGCTGCCAATGGGTATGTTACTGGTTGTAAGTCTCTCTCTCTCTCTTTTGCCTTCTGTTTAGTAAGTAAAACCAGTATATGGTCCGCAAAGAACGAACAACAATTTAATCCTTCTAAGGAAAAATAAGAAGCAAAGATGGTATCTCTTCTGCAATAGCTTTTTAAGGTCGTGTTTAGTGTTTTCATAGTTAAAACACTTCCTTTATTTATATCATCTGGTGGCGCAATGTTTATAATAGTGTTTAGAGGTTGAAGGAGTAGATCATGAAATGTTACCCTCCCTAAGGTTTAGCTAACTAGTAAAACAGCTGACAACTATTATAACAGCTAATAGCTACTAAATCAACTACTATTCCCAAACATGGCCTAAGACAGAATAAATAATTATGTTACATTGGGGGACTAGTAGGAAGAAACTTTGGAAAATAGAGCTGCCTTTTAAACGCTGCTCTTTGCAAGTTCAGAATATTAGTTGCTGACTATTTGCTAACTCTTCCAATAGTGTCTTTATTGACTTTTGCTAGAGATGTTTTGTTCTGATATAGGACAGGAGTACCTTTTAGCAAGTTCAAAGCTTAGAGGGGATGGGCTTTGATTCAAAGTCAAACCTTTTTCCTGTGCATCCTTTTCGTTGGTCAGTTAGAGGGCCTAATAAACCCAGCTTTTTAGAATTAATATACCTTTTGCTTCTTTATCAGTTTCCTTTGAATCATTTTGTGTCTGTAAATTTTAACATCGTTTGAGTAAATAGGTTTCAGGAGCATTGCATACCTATGTAAAAAAGTATGGGTTTGTTTGCTTGTGATTAGTGGCTTATTGGATCAAATCAACAATTCATCTATCTTCCATTTACAAGTCAAATAATTGCATGTCTCACCTGACCATTTTACTGCATTTATTGAATAGGTGGCTATCAATAGTCTTCACACTTTCATGAAACTTTCACAGGGTTTGAATTATTTACTTGATATGTGGCATATGATATTTTTACCCTACTTTGATCATAATAAGCAGTCAAGTTGTATAAGTATTATCATCTTGTCCTGCTATTTTACTTGTGGAATTATAATAATTCATTGAGGAAGAAATCATGAGCTCTATATTATGCTTCTGAAACAAATTCACGGTGATTTTTCCCTTCCCTTACTAATCAATAATTGCAGGGTACGTGTTGCAAATGAGCTTGGGGCAGGCAATGCAAAAGGTGCCAAATTTGCTACCATAGTATCAGTATTGACCTCCCTAATGATTGGACTATTCTTTTGGTTGATCATCATAGCTTTCCCTGAGAAGCTTGCTGTGATCTTTACCTCAAGCTCCAATGTTATTGCAATGAGTTAGCTGTCTTATTAGCATTCGCCATTCTCTTCAATTGCATTCAACCAGTTCGTTCAGGTAGTAAATAAAACAAGAATTTCGTACCTAGTTAGGGTTCTGAAATTAGTATACCACTTTATGCTTTATCTCCATATTTCAGGTGTGGCAGTTGGGTCTGGCTGGCAACATTATAAATATTGGCAGCTACTACATGGTTGGGGTCCCTCTGGGTATCTGCTTGGGCTGGCCGGTTGACTTTGGTTTTACAGTTAAGTATGATTATATTGCTACAAAATACTGTTAAGCATTTTAGCATGTCCATAATTGAATTTGTATGATCAAATTAATTTATAAGCAGGGTATCTGGGTTGGAATGGTTGTTGGAACTGTGGTTCAAACGTTTACACTTGCTATCATCACCATGAAATGCGAGTGGGAAAAAGAGGTACTGTTCATGACATAGCTTTTCTCCGCAAGTCCATTTGATTTCGTTTTGGTTATACTAGTAAATTGCTAGTTCCGTCAATGAAATGTCATTGAAATGTCATTTACAGGCTGAAAAAGCTCGCGTTTACATAGCTAATGAGTAATGAAGCAGTTTGGTAGCTGACAGTTGAATACAAGAATGCTTTCATTTTGAAATGTAATTGCTGTTAAACGATGATTGGTTAACATTTTAAATGTCAAGACCTTGAGATGACGTGCTTCTCATTTTTTTTTTTCACAGCAAATAGTTTTGAGGATTAGGTGATATACTGTTAAAAACCCAAATCATAATTTCTAAACCTGAAATTTCAATAACATAATATTAATAGAACAAATACACATATTCAGTCTTCCGGATTTTGAAGCGATTTACGAAAAACGTATATGGATTGTATAGATTACTACGGCCTTCCAAAATTATTATTAGTTGTTTCGTAAAGGAGTGTGGTTTATTCTTCATTCATGTACTGTACTGCATTGTGTATTCCTTAATAAACCGATCGAGATGAGTGAATATATCCATTCTCTTTCAAAAGTCTGCTTATATAGATGGATAACATCAGAAATAACTAAAAAGAAAATGCTTCTTATTGATGGATACACGAAAAGACTTTGAAGGGAATAAATAATTCTTGCTTCTAAGCACTATCTGCATCATTGAAAAGGAAGTTTACCTAGAAAAGAAGAAAAACAGAACTGTAACTACCATTCTTGGAAAAGGTATATCTGACAGCCAACCTTTATAATAAAATGGGATTTTCATTAAGACGCATCGTGTAATTTGTTAATATTTTGTAATATTTGTTAAATAACTTGTCAAAAGTTGCAGTTTTTATTGTTACATTATTGCTGGTCACAAGACAAGCAATGCGGGAACGAAATTCAGAGAGAAACCTCACTTAATTTTCAAAGTGGCTGTGACCTGTACATAACTAATTTTCATCCTCCAAATTTGATTTTCCTAGCAAGATATGGAAACATTTTAATTTCTGTATACATACCATTTCTTCATTTCATTTTATTTCTACAGACACCTGTGTACATATACAATATACAATGTATGCATGTGCAATTACAAAAATACACCTTAAATTCGTCATACATACGTCGTTTAACAAACTTTCCGGCTTTTAATCTCACTTCTATGCGTTAATTCTTCTCCCAAAAACGAGGGCAGGAAGAACTAATACAGAATAACCTTTTTTTTTTTTTTTTTCAACTTTCTTTGTCTGTGATGGGGAGTAACAATAACGATGATCCTCTTATCACTGAAACCTTGTTACCAGAAGTTAGAGTTAACAAAGATGAAGACGATAACCTTGCATCAAAAGTCTGGACTGAAACCAAGAAGCTATGGCAAATCGTAGGACCCGCTATTTTTAGCAGGATAGCTTCCTTCTCTATGAATATCATAACCCAAGCTTTTGCAGGCCATTTGGGAGATATTCCACTCGCTTCTATCTCCATAGCCAACACTGTCATTGTCGGCTTCAATTTCGGCCTCCTGGTAATTTATATCTTAACATCTATTTCCATTTAATTTTTTTGCTGTGTACTCATGATACCATATATATCTGTCAATTAGTTAGGAATGGCGAGTGCTCTTGAAACCCTATGTGGACAAGCTTATGGCGCGAAAAGATATCAAATGTTAGGGATTTACATGCAAAGGTCATGGATAGTGTTATCCGTGTGCTGTTTCTTCTTGTTACCGTTTTATGTTTTTGCGTCTCCAATCTTGAAATGGTTAGGTCAACCAGACAACGTAGCCGAGGAATCTCAGGTTGTGGCTTTATGGCTATTACCCTTGCATTTCAGTTTTGCATTTTTGTTCCCATTGCAAAGATTCTTGCAGTGCCAGATGAAGAATCAGATGATAGCTTGGGTTTCTTTTGTGGCGTTAGCGTTAAATGTGTTATTGTGTTGGGTACTTATTTATGTTTTGGATTTTGGAGTGATTGGTGCGGCTATTGCTTTGGATGTTTCTTGGTGGTTTATGGGAATTGCGTTGTTCATATATGTTGTGTTTAGATGTCCTTTAACTTGGACTGGTTTCTCAATGCAAGCCTTTACTGGGTTATGGGAGTTCGTTAAGCTCTCTGCAGCTTCTGGAGTTATGCTTTGGTACCATTCTCTCTCTTTTAAGTATAAATATTTGTAATCAAATCATTGTATCTCTTCTTCAATTTGATGACTTAATTGATTAATTGTATTTGCAGTTTGGAAAATTGGTACTATAGAATACTGATATTGATGACTGGGCACTTGAAAAATGCAACATTAGCTGTGGATGCATTGTCAATTTGGTATTACATTTTCATACCTAGGTTTTATATATTACACATTTTAATAACCTTTTGCTAATATTTATGCTGGTTTGGATTTAATTTTGCAGCATGACTATTAATGGATGGGAAATAATGATTCCGATTGCATTCCTTGCTGCCACAGGGTACCTTTCACGAACTTCTCATAATTATATAAAGGGTCATTTGTTTAAAAGAATTCTGAATATTGAATTTGAATTAGTAATTTATTGAATTGAATGATTAGAAACTAATTACTAATACTAACAGTTGATAGTTGAGTGATTACAACTTTATATATAATGTCATTTTATGATAATAGATGGTATTTTCATCGAATAAGTTATATAGCTTATTGAATCAATTTTAAACAGAAACAAAATTTGGCTTGCAAATTTAGATAATCAGGTTATAGTTCAGTTTAAATATATAAGCTCATTAATCGTTGTTTGATGAAAGTGTTTTGGGCTCAAACTTTGCAGGGTGAGAGTGTCTAATGAGTTAGGAGCTGGGAATGGGAAAGCAGCAAAATTTGCAGCAGAAGTTTCTGTGGTGCAATCATCTATAATTGGAGTAATCATCTGCTTAATAATCATAATTTTCCGCGACAAATTTGCATTCATATTCACATCTAGTACGGATGTTTTAGAAGAGGTGGATAAGCTCTCTATACTCCTAGCAGTCACTATCCTTCTCAACAGTGTTCAACCAGTACTATCAGGTAATTTCATCATCAATATTTTAATTTTTATCTAATTAATCGTAATTAATATTAATTAAAGTCATAAGTTTCAACGCTTGGTGTTTAAATGTGAGTTTAGGAGTGGCAGTTGGATCGGGATGGCAAGGAATGGTTGCGTATGTAAATCTTGGGTGTTACTATGTTATTGGGCTGCCACTTGGCATTCTGATGGGGTGGGTCTTCAAGTTAGGTGTCAAGGTAATTAATAATTGAATCAGTTTCTTGCATGAACAATTAATATGATTTTAAATTGCAATTAATGGTGTTTTCTTGATTTTTTTTTGGTGGATGGTGATCTTTAGGGCATATGGGGTGGAATGATTTTTGGTGGAACTGCTGTTCAAACAATAATACTAGCCATCATAACTGTAAAATCAGACTGGGAAAATGAGGTAAGAAAGGATAGAATATAGTGATTATTCTTCTAATTAAGCACGTTTTCATTTTTTTTTTTTTTTTTGTCTTTATAGAATAAAGATAAGAAGAAACATTAGAATTTGAATTTCATCCATATATTTGATTACTTATTTTATTGATCAATGTGTAGGCCAGAAAAGCTCGTACTCGAGTAGCCAAATGGTCAAATCCCGAACCGGATGATCAATCAGAAGCTGGACATTAATAACTTTTTATGAATTTCTCAATACTCACAGTTTTGAGAACTCTTGAAATTTTGGTAGCGGTTTATCTGTTCGATTGAGCTTATACAATATGAATTTATGAATCATTAGATATTAAATTATATTGCAATAATTGCAGTAATTATTGATGCAATTTTATTGGCATGATTATAATTTTGAATCTAATAACTGATTATGATGTTGTTATATAAGATTGACTTCCTTTTGGTAGAAGAAGCAATGTCTACTGTAAAATATTTTACTTGCATCAAGATATTGTAATATCGGGGCAAAATAATTTCTTAACATCAAAATTGAAAAAAAATCATTAATTATTCCTTAATTAATATTCTCAATACAATTTATATTATTAAAACGTTTTATATTTGTTCTCATGTACTTTGGCAGAAATGATATTATCCCAAAACAACTTCAATTAAAAAAAGTTAGTTTCATGGCCATGGATTGCCTTTTTACTTGAGTTTATGATAACAGCTAAATCAGTGAATAGCTTTATACAACATGGACATGTGTAACCCACATAGAATAAACTACTCTTCCGTCTTAAGAAAATAGTTCTTTTTTTTTTTAGTTTGTCCTAATATATAATTTATTTTCCTTTTTCTGCATTATAGTTAATATTTAAATTGTCTATTATACCCGTATTAAATTTTCTTTTATTTTCATTAATCCTCATTAATTCTTACTTATTATTATCTTCATTCCATAATATTTATCACATATATGGTTTCGAGAAATAATAAATATTTTTTCCACGTTTACCCTTTATGTATGACCAATAATTATTACTTCAATTTAATAGTTTTCTTAGAGAATTAGTATTAAATTAAATGTAATATAGTTAATTTACTCAATAATTTATTGTAACTTAAATAAATTTAATGGTTTTCTTAAGTGACTTGAAATTACAAAAGTAACAAGTATTATGGAACAGAGGTTATATTTTAATATAATAATTGTTCATGTGCTATCTAAGATAGACATAATAAGAAAATTATATAAATAAAATTATACTTTAACCATAATAATACTATTTTTTTCATCTGTGTGAAAATAGAAAAGGAACTATTTTTTTTTTGATACGGAGTATTAGAAATAAGTTATGTTATTTAATGCATCTTAGAAAATGCCAACTACTTATAACTTCCCTCCATAAACGCGTTATATTTAATGCCTCTATAGCTAATTTACAAATTTATTAATCGCTTCTTATAAATTTTAGAAAGTACTTGTTTCAACCGCTTTTTGACTTCATTTATCCATCAAATCAATTAAAATAAAAATTTTTAAAAATTATTTTTTTTTGTCTTTTTTCTAAAAAAACTCAAAAATACATTTATTTTAATAAAAATTTATAATTTTATGGATTTGGTCCATAAGTTAGATTATAAATTCTGTCTAGGTAAATATATCACTCAAATTTTGTTAATTATAATTTTAACTTAACAGTTTAATTTCGTTAGGGGATTAGGAAGACCGGAGACAATAGGAAAAAACTTATATAGACCGGGTTCATGATCCCATTTTATAAACGAAACCAATGAAATTAATAATTCTTATTGAAATGATAATATTTTTGACTGTAAATTTAAAAAAAATGATAAAATCAAAACATTTATTTAAAAAATTTTTAATTTCATTTATTTAATATATAAATAGCGTCATGGTTTCGGACTAAAAAGTTTTTTTTCACTTAACCGGTGCATCTAGATATTTGCAAGCCCTTCATTGCCGGGTTTCCTCTTGGATTGACAATGGGCTGGGCCTACTATTCTGGATGGGTTACATCCGTTCCCGATTCAACTTTGTTTTTTTATTTTATGGGTGTTCTATATCTGATTTATTTCCAATTAAAGTAGTTTTCAATTAAAGTGTATTTTGATATTTCCAAGCGGCTGTGCCCGTAATTAACTAATTTGTAATTTTCACTCTCCAAATTCGGTTTTTGTTTACTAAATTGGAAATTACTTGACAAACGGGTTTTACTAAATTTGGAAACCATTTTAATCTCTGCATACACCCGCCGACTCTTCATTTGACTTTCTTTCTACACCTGTATAGACGTGCAATATACCCGAGCCATTGCAATAATACTGGTTTCCCATATACCCAGTAGGTTAATACATATTTGCTTTAATTGTTCTAAAAAAAATAATAATAATAATAGTAATACAATTTTTTTTTTTAAATTTTCTTTGTCTGTGATGGGGAGTAAAAATAATGATGGTCCTATTATCGGTGAAGTCTTGATACTGTTAGGATACCGGCAATAAATTACGAAAATAATTACGGCAGCGGAAAAATAAAAATGGGACACACAGAATTTACGTGGTTCACCCTCAACTGTTTAGGGCTACGTCCACGGGCAATATTACCCGAAGCCATTTGCAATAATAACTGGTTCCCAATAATACCCAGTAGGTTAATACATATTTGCTTAATTGTCTAAAAAAAATAATAATAATAATAGTAAATCACAATTTTTTTTTTAAAATTTTCTTTGTCTGTGATGGGGGATAAAAATAATGATGGTCCTATTATCGGTGAGTCTTGATAACTGTTAGCATACCGGCAATAAATGTACGAAAATAATTACGGCAGCGGAAAAATAAAAATGGGAACACTACAGAATAGCGGAAAAATAAAAATGGGACACACAGAATTTACGTGGTTCACCCTCAACTGTTTAGGGCTACGTCCACGGGACCAACTTCGAATATTTCTTCCACTATAAAATAGTAGGCTTACAAAAGAATAACACAAAAATAGTAGCACTCAAAAGTGTTTCCTAAAAACACCCCAATAATCTTCACTATTTTTCTAAACTCTAGTTTTAAGAACCCTTTCTTAAAACTAACTAACTCTCTAAATATGCGATTTCAATCGCTTGTTGGTGTGTCATAAATGAGGCAAATCCTCTCCTATTTATAGGAGAGGCAATGTGAGAGCCGTGTGTGAGTTACACACGGCTCTTCATTTCTGTCAAAAGTTGGTTGCCAATTTTTCTTCTTTTTCAAATAACACGTTTTTCTCTTTTTTTTTTTCTTTTCAAGCTACGTGGGTCCCACTTGAGTGGGCACGCCACCACCAACAAATCTCCCCCTGCATGCTCAAGTGAGGACGTTAGCCATACTCTCCATCATCCCTGCAGCTAATCGACAATATTCAAACTTGTCTTTTGGAAGAATCTTTCGTTAACATATCTGATCCATTTTCATCTGTATGGATCTTCTCAAGCTGTAACTACTTCATTCTCCAGTACATTCCCTGATCCAATGATATCTAACATCAAATGTGCTTTTGATCTTTGAATGAAAGCAGGACATTCTTCCTAAGATGAATCGGGCACTCTGGCTATCGCAGAATCAAATATCGTTCTTGTATGAAATTTCGAGTTCATTCAAGGAACTTCTTTTCATCCACAACAACTCTTTGCAAGCTTTTATTAGTGCTATAATTCTGCTTCAGTTGTTGATAGAGCAACGCACTTCTGTAATCTTGACTTGTTTCCAAGGTGAATTGCGCTTTGACTGTCACAAAATATCTGATATCATTCTTGATGAATTTCGAGTTCATTCAAGAATTTCTTCATCCATAGCAACTGCTTGCACGCTTCAGTAATCTTGACTGCCACGACACGGCTCCCCCTACAAATGTGATTGGATATCTTGAAAATCCATTTCACTGTAGTCCAATGTTCCTTTCCCGGATTTGAAAGAAACCGACTAACAACACCAACAGCATGAGTAATGTCCAGTCTTGTGCATACTATGGCGTACATTAAGCTGCCAATGGTGGATGCATAAGGAATCTTCTTCAGTTCTTCTTTTTCTTTCTCACTTGAAGGACATTGACTGAGACTTAATTTGAAATGTCCTGCAAGTGGGGTACGAACTGGTTTCGCATTGCTCATGTTGAATCTGCTGAGAATTTTCTCTATGTACTTCTCTTGAGACAGCCACAACTTTCTCTTTTTCCAGTCTCTGGAGATCTTCTAAGACTTGCTCTTCTTCTTCTTCTTGTTCTGATTCTAATTTTGCTTTGCTGGTCCTAAGTCTTTCATAGCAAAAAACTCTACTTAACTGTTTCTTCAAGCTCATTAATTCTGATAGAATTCTGACCAACAATCAAGCAACATCTAGCCAAGGAGCAAGAGAATAATGTAGTCATCATCAGAGAATTTCTTTACGAAGGACACAGTGATTTGAAGTAGTCTTTTTGTATAGGCCTTGCTCCCCCAAACAAGCTTCAAACTTCTCTGTACCACTTCTTGGTGCCTGCCTTTTAAACCATACAAGCTTTTCTTCAACTTAACATACATTAAGGTCTCTTTTTTCTTTTCGATGAAACCCTTTCTGGCTGCTCCAGCTGGTATTATTCTTCTTCAAGGTCAACATGCAGAAAGCACCACATCCATTGCCGACGCAGATTAAAACTGGCGGCCATCCGAGCACTGGTTTCAATATATGTCATTTCCGAATGAATGTCATTTTCACAACTGGTGAAAAGATCAAAATCAATACCCTTTCTTTGATTGAATCCTTTCATAATCAGTCTAGCTTTGAATCGTGATTGGGAGCTGTGTTCTTCCTGTTTGATCCTGAACACCCATTTGTTCTTCAAAGCTTTCTTGCCTTTAGGCAACTTCACCAACTCAAATGTTTCATCCTCATGTAAGGACTTCATTTCGTATTGCATGGCTTCAATCCGGTTCCTCTTGTGTTCATTTTCCTAGCTTCTTCAAAGCTTTCAGGTTCTCCCCCGTCTGAGGAAAGGATATTTCCTATGATCATTTGCGGGTGTTTGGCTGCAAAGCCTTCATGCATATTCCTAAGGATGAGAGGTCTAAGCTTGATGTCAAGACTTGACAATGTGTATTCATTGGCTATGACCAAGATCAATTTGGCTATAGATTTTATGATACAGTCCAGAAAAAGATGATAAGAAGTAGAGATGATGTATTTGTTGAAAATCAGACTATTAAAGACGTTGAAAAGACTCAGAAGCAAGTTGCCGATAGATCTTGGCCACATGATGGGACCGCGCATACCCTCACCAACCCCCGATTAGTATGATATTGTCCGCTTTGGGCCAAGCCCTCACGGATTTATTTTTGGGCACCTCCCAAAAGGGCCCATACTAATGGGTTGGGTTGAACCATTATATTTTGGTTTCTCTTTTCATTTTT